GAGGCAGGTAGCCACAGGGAAGAGGCAAAAAAAGAGTCCAGTCAGACAAGGCCAGAAGTCATGACAACCAAACGGCTCAGCCTCAGCACGCCTGACGGGCTGATCCTCAGGAGGCAACAAATGAGACTGAGGTGGCTGTCAAGGATTGCTTCACCCAATGCGACACGATCCATGGACAGCAAAGCAGGAGCCAAACCCCGGGGAGGGTGTGAGCGAAGCCTGCCAGCTGCAGTGCCAGCGAATCGCACCAATTTCAGGTAGATATGCACGTTTCGTATAACACCCGACCAGAACAAGGGTTGAAACAAAGGGAGATACAGAAAAAGAAAGAAAAAAAAAACAACGAAGTACATTCGCATCTTCTCTCGGATTCAGCGAACTTGGCTGACTCACATTTGTTGGTTTGGCCGATTCAAGTCGACATCACCATGCAACTCAGTTCCACTTTGAGCAGCAGCCATGATTATATTTCCATCAGGATCCAGTTGAAAGCCTCCACCACAAGTCGAAAATCAGAAAGCGACACGATCAAAGCCGGAGAGAAAAATGGGTGTGGGGTGAACTGGACTGGGACTGTCAAGGGAAGAATTAGTGGAGTGCGATGACTGATCTGTGTGCGGAGTCGGAAAATATGGAGGGAAAAATCAAGAAAAAAAAAAGAAGAGAAAAAAAGCTCAGACGGAGAAGAACGGACTAAGGAAGATTGCGGGAGAATGGATCCGATCGGGTTCGGATAGCAGTGGAATGGGAAAGAGAGGAGGGGTTGAAGCGGGAAATGCTCATGGATTAAGGTTCTGCGTTCACAATGATAGGGAAGATGTAAAGAAGATCGAAAAGAAGGAGTCGGTGGAACCTAAACAAGCATGATTTCACAGGGGAGGGGAAGGAGGGAAAACCAGGGAAAGCAGACGAAAATGGAAGAAAACGGAGATTACTCAGAAGAAACTGGGGCAAAATTACCTGAAAGGCTGGTGGTGAACGGTAGACTGGATCAGTGGGTGAAGAAAGTCGGGCGCAGTGAACCATATACTTCAAAATCAAATAGATGATAGTGACTCGGGCCCAGTTAGGGTCAAAGGGTTATAATGAAATTCATGCAATAAAGTGATAGTCGATAGGTCAGGTAGGAACAGATCGTACGTCAAGATTGGGCGGCAGATTGCGGTATTTCCCCGGACACTCTTTGATTCATTGACTGATGACTCACTTGCTCTTGGATAAGGGAGTTAGAATGGAAGAATAAGATAGAGAGAGAGGAATAAGGGGAAAAGAGAAGAGGAAAGGATAATAATAGAAGAGGCTGTGACAATGATAATAAATGAATCAATAAAATAAAATAGAATAAAATAAAATAATCCATTTAATAGACAAGAATAAAATCGATTTTTTTAATTAAAAATACTAAGAATTATAATCATTCCTCATTGGAACAAAGTTTTCATTCTTTTCCATTCCTCTTGATTTCCATTTTTCATCCCCCCCCATTTTTCAGTATCCATGAGTGTAATAAAAGTGGTCCTGACCGTGGTGGCGTTAAAAGACCCAAAGCTGAGAGTCCCCAACTGCCGCTGATACCGCTGGATGAGGGGGCAATGAATAATGATTACTTACTAACAATTGTGGCTGGGTATACTGGAATGATACTTGAGAAACATCACCCAAAATCCCTCAAGTAACAAAATCACTAGTGGTATTCAAGCGACCGAGTTCAAGTTCATGAGAAGGCAAGGTGTCGTATCACAGGAGCATTTTATCAGGTCGATGTGATGGTATCAATGGTGGACGAGAGTAATCCGGAGACGCGGGAGTAAGCTGAGCATAGATAACTAATCTACTAATCATTATACTAATCCATGGGAATAATATGATAATCACCGCAATACTACAATATTAAATACATTTGTTACAATCTGAACCCCGGATCAAAGACCACCTGCAGGCGATCCCCCGTGATAAGCGAACCCCCCAGACTGGAGAATCGCCACCGGGGCTGGTATAGTCCCAAGACCAAGGTTGAATCCGGCCGGATTTCGATAATGGATGATAAATTACAATGGGGAGTGTGGTGACTGGTAGGTCTCCCCTGGTTCCTCAAGAGACCGATAGGACATGATACCACGGAAACAGGAAGTAAGATACCCACGATGGTGGGAATCGAAGATGATTAATATTTCAGGTTCGTGGAGAATGGTATCCAAAAAGTAGTAATAATACTAAGAGTTTCGGGCTTGAGAGAACACAAGAATGGCCAAGTCAGATGCAGGATGCCGCACAGGGACAGACGCGCTTCAGCTGTCTGTCGAAAAGAGAGGGACCAAGCTTCAGTTGTCAACAGGAATGTGAAACTGGACAACTTGAGATATGATGTAGTGAGTCCAGATGATCCTCAACACCCCTGTTGGGACCAAAAGGGTCGGGGGAATGATCATAATAATAAGAGCAATTCAAAGTCGGATGATGAGTATCAGCAGCATCATCAGCATGTGCAGGATGTCGCCCCCTCATGTGGATTCGCCGTTCGTCTTCTGGTAATTCAGAACCGGGAACGGTCTAAGTCTGTCACTGGAATCCCGTACCAAGAAGGCGGCAACCCTACATCTCATTGTGCATTGATTGAATTTTGGATATTTTCTGCCTTTTTATGTTGCATATTCTGTACAATCTCCAAAACCTTCATATATCACATGGATACTCATAGTTCGTGGTTTCGAAACCTTAGGGCTAGCTACAAAGTTACTACCGTAGTACTGACTCGCTATCAATGACGGAACACAGCATGATAACAAGTACCTTCCAATAGAAGTGCCGGCTAGATAACCCGATGGATACACCGATTGAGAACTGCGCATCATGTCAAGAGCCATTTTCATCGCTCGGTTTCTGATCCCCTCACGCTAATCCAATCCCGAAGACTAGCTAAGAGGAGGAACAGAAGCGCCATCTCCGCCACCTCCTCCCCTCCTTCACCCCTCCAGAGAGGTGGGGTACATCCCACCGCAAGTTCGCAACTGTCGCAATTCCGAGGTGGCAGGTTGTTATTGATTTTCGTGACTGACCGACTGATTGATATGCGGGGAAAGACTCGGGTTAATTCGATTTATCAGTCAGATGAAGGTGGGGTTCTTGTCCGAGTGCCACTTCCAATGTATATGAATTATCTTGTCAGCTACATGGACATTACATTCAATACACAAGCCAAGTAGGCCCAGTTGGCACAGGGCTGATGCTAGCGAATTGGATACTAAGCTTGACCAACTCATTGTTGTCTAGACGCATTCCCTTACCGCGAGCACCTTACCGATCCATCGACATCTCGAGAAGATATTCTAATCAATGTTGGGGCGCTTCGCTGTCGTGGCGTTGCTTTTAGTTCATTCAAGGGGTTCTCCGATGATGTGCAGCCTTGCTGGTTTCAAGGCAGCTGCTCACAGCTAATACCTACGCAGTACTAAGATTTATTTCCACCACTCTAGCCACGTTTGGGTGTCACTAGTCGGGCAAAACCGCATGTGCTCGACGGAGAATCAGGGAATCCATCTAATATACTCTACCCGACAAGTCGATCAGATTCACCGACGTAGCTTGCAGGAAGGTGTTGGGGGTCTCGGCGCGGAGATCTGGAAGCTTTGGTCTCCTTGCTGCACACCTTACGGGGTCCCGAGCGGACTGCTTTACCGTTGTGGGTAATAGTATCGGGGAGGAGTGACATGGCTCCCAAAAGAGTAACCTATGTCAACGCAGCTGCCAGTTCCAGCTGGACTGGCCAGATAGGCAACAAGAGTATTTAAGTATGCATGCCAGGCAACGGGAATAGTTTCGAGGCCTGGTTCGACGGCAATCTCATCCGACCATGTCGGGTGTTGTCCAGTATAGATGCAGATCGAGGAATGCACCTCCCCAATTATCGAATCAGACCGCCATGCATTTTGGTCATTCCCGTGCAGACAAAAATTCCCGATCGTAATCCCTCTATTGATTCGTGCTTACTGCTATTACTCACATGCCGGTCCTTAATACACGGCGATTATTATTTTGATGTTGCATATCCCGCACCCTCCTCGGATCATCAACCACTCAAAACCAAGGGAATATTATCCCTTGGGCATTGTCTGGTCGCGAAAATGGAAGGGTCCGCCTAGTTTTCATCCTCGCCAAGGTTGCCTAATCACGATTGGTTTTCTGATAGGGAGACATCCTGCATCGGTGACGGCTACTTGCCTGCAAATCGCGGTTGGAGAATGGGTTCCCGACGTCTCTATTCTATATGCATGTACTGCATAGCCTCGTATAGGGTCGTTCACTGGAAGGGTAGTTTCCGACAACCTGTTTTTGTCTAAAACTAGAAAAGGCAAGTGAGAGATGAAATCCATCGTGCCATCGTCATAACCGCCATAGGCATGATTTCCGAGGGTCTGTGCAGCTGAAGCTCCTTACTAAAACCCTACCTTATTGTCGAGAGACGCCGGGGTCTTGACCTGGACCGGGGAGCCTCAAATTGTAATATCAGCCTGGCGCAGCATGACCACACAGATGACCCCGCTCCGGTGTAATATCTTGATCTGGTACATCCTTGTAAGCTCAGGCCTGCACCGGAAATGTCAATACATCCATCTGAATGGCGACACGGGTGGTCACGGATGGACGGATGGAATGGGATGGTGGATGGATAGGGAAGGCAGCATGACATCACTGCGCAGGCGACAGGACCCATCAGCAGGATCTATCCATGACGGTCGGAAAGCCAGACGAGCGCCAAGAAGCGGCCTTCGATCGAGGCATCGGATGGCCCGGGGCACGTGGCGGCACCAGCAGACCTGAATGGTGCCTGAGGAATACATCCCTTCGAGCACCCACAGTCATGTGATGTAAAATACGGAACCGGGTTATAGTTTGTCCGTCAAGTATTGTCCTCAGGCACGAACGAGCCTTGCGCGCCGACAGACTGAGGCGTCTCTGCTCCCTGTTTGGCGTCCCTTCCATTCATTCGCCTGGCAGTTCATCCTCAGAGTGCTTTCCAAAAACCACGGTCACCATGCCTAGGAAACTACGCGCAGCCGCACAGCAGGCGGCACAAACAATGAGTATGTCAATTGATCCTTGACTTTCGGTCCTTTTCTATTTTTATGCGCGTCTTTTCTTTTGCAAAAAGGAATCGAAAAAAAAGAAACACAAAACCAAAAAAAAGACATCCAAATGTTGACTCGAATTGACTCTCTCATAGAAAACGTGCCTCCTCCGCTCGGGGACGCCTCTGATGAAGAAATGGCCGAAGCACCGCCGTCCAACGAGCCTTCCTCGCCTGTAGAGGAAACTGGCGATGCGTCCGACAAACCCGACGCCGACGCCGACGCCGAGACCAAGCCCGAACCGCAACCCGCCCCCGTCCCGGAAGAAGAGCCGGCAGCAACACCTGCGCAAGCAACTCACACACCCTCGCTAGGAGAGACGCCCTCCTACACTGGGGGTCGCCAGTCCGCCATCCCGCGAAAGCGGCGCATCGGGCGTCCGCCGAAGAACCCCCCGCCAGACTATGACCTGCCAGATGATGGCACGCCGCATACGCCGATCCACGTGAGCACGCCGGTGAAGAGGAGGCGCGGCCGGCCGGCGGCAAGCGGTGGACGGTGGGCGCGAAATCGGGGCCCGTCGCACGTTACGCAGGTGCCCATTGACAAGGAGGGTAACATGATGGACGTGGTCAATGACGAGGTGCAAGTGCCCGAAGACCCGGTTGGCGAGACCAAGGTCGACAAGAATGGCGTCTTGCAGGGCGGTCGAGAGTACAGGGTCCGCACATTCACCATCCTCAACCGCAGTGATCGGTTGTACATGTTGTCCACCGAGCCGGCGCGGTGCATTGGGTTCAGGGACTCGTATCTTTTCTTCCAGAAGCACAAATTCCTCTACAAGATCATTATTGACGACGAGGCGAAACGCGACCTCATCGAAAGGGACGTTCTTCCTCACTCCTACAAAGGTCGCGCCATCGGCGTGGTCACGGCTCGTTCCGTGTTTCGAGAATTCGGCGCCAAGATCGTCGTCGGTGGTCGCAAAGTTATCGACGATTACAACGAAAAGGCAGCACTCGAACGGGGCGACGTCGAGGGCGAGCTGGCTGTCCCGGAGGATAAACTCCCACCACCCGGTGAGGAGTACAATCGGAACCAGTTCGTAGCCTGGCACGGAGCCAGCGCTGTCTATCACACGGCGACGCCGGCTCAACCTCTGCCGGTAGGCAAAGCCGTCGATTCCAAGAAGCGGAAGGTGACCGTGACGGGTGACAATTGGATGCTTGAGCACGCGCGGGAGGCCAGGTATGGACTTGCATCTCTTACGCTTACGGCCAACTCACGATACTGACTCAAACGCAGCAACTTTAACACGCTTATCTCAAACACGCGCCGCCAAAATCTAGCAGGAACGTACGACATCCACACGAACTCCATGCAATATCCCAAGATCATGCAGGCATCGCACGCCCGCTGGGAGCGTCTTCCCCCACCCGACCCGCGTCTATCAACCAAGTTGATGCACGACCTGTCGACCCTAAGCCTCACCAACGGGGCGGGCCTGACTCCCAAAGAAACAAGCCCATCTCACCAGCCGGACCCGGAACAACAGGAACCGGAGCAGCAAGAACAACAACAAGAAGAAGAATTCAAACCCACAGAGCCCAAGGACCCATCCCAACCAACCGACCAACCCACCCCAGCCCCCGCCACCAACCCCGAAGACCAAACCGAGCCCGAGCCCGAGTCCGAGCCCAAAAAAACCCTCTTCCCCCCCATCCCAGCGCCCTTCTCTCACCGCTTCGCCATCCACGACGTGTACTACGAATCGCCACCCTACTCCAACATGGGCCTCCCCGGCCCCGACGGCGACGTGCACGACCTCGGCACAAATGGCGTGATCAGCGTCGCGCACCCAACGAACCCAGAGTTCGTCGGACCGGAGATCCTCGAGGAGCTGCCAGCCGATTGCAAGGAGGCGCTTGTCGAGGCGGCCGCGCGCGAGTGGGAGTGGAAGTCGAGGTGGCGCAGCGAGGCGTCTGATGGGACGCGCACAACGCCGCTGAAGAGTTATGCTTGGTTTCCTTAATATATACTCTTTTCCCCCCTTCTCTTTCTTTTTCTTTTTTTTCTATTGGTATGTAACAGTACCTAGTCATGTCCTCACGCACCGATTAATCCATCCGTTAATCCATTACCCGTTAATTCACCAATTCACGAATCAATCTGGCAATAACCTGCAAATTTTCTACTTCTTTTGCTTCTTCTTTTTCTTATTATTACTACTATTCCATGACCAATGTTCTACGTTCAATGCTAAATGATGGGAGTGGGGAGGTTTATAGCCTGGCCTGACAAACAAACAGGAGAGTTTCTTCAAAAGGGGGAGTTTCGGCTGTATGTGTGCGTTGATTTACTTTTACTACCTATTTACTTTAGTTTACTACTATATCATATGTCGTTTTATATCTCTGGTTGTAGTTGACATGCTCCTCTATTCCATCGTCTTATGTCTTAACTTTATTTATCATGTTCCGATCCCAGTGAATGGCTGGCTACGGAGTACTTAGTCTAGAGACAAACTGTCTGTATTCGAAAAAGGTAGTAGAACAGATATAGAGACTCGTTTCAATCATGCATGGGATAGTAATAGTAATATAGGTGGAAGTACCTATAGATAGTAGGTAGTAGTAGATGGATAAACTCCGGTTGTTGGCGCAACGCAAATGACACTCCCAATCAATCAATCAATCAATCAATCAATAAAAATCAAAACCCCGCGCGTAGCATAGCGTAATATCCTCGCCAACAGTGCAGTGCAATGTAATGAAAAGGAGGCCGAGGGGGGAAGGGAAAGAGGAAGTACAGAGGAGAGATAGATGACGATCACATGGCCATCTCTGCACGAAGCTTCTCCAGCTCTGCTTCCTCGTCTTCTTCCTGTGACTTCGGGGGAGCGTGTTCTTTGACTGTAATTATGGTCAGTTTCGTTGTCTTCAAGACAAGATGTGAAAGGGAAAGAATATGCTTACTCGGTCCATTCGCAGCAGACGGTAACCTGCCCAGCTGGTCCGCGACAGGTACCGTTCCCGTGCTGAGCATCTTCTCGTCCATGGCTTCCTGCTCCAGGCCCTGGAGCTCTTCGTCCAGCTCTGTCTCGTCGGGCTGTTCGCCAAGCGGGTTGCTCGAGATCGCCTGCGCGATCTCGTCGCCGAGCTGGTGCTGTTCGCGGAGTTGGTCCCTATAATTTGCGTCAGCACATTTTATGTGTACACCCAAAACTGTAATGGAACGCACATAGTCTCGTCGACCTTGTCGATCGTCATGGCACCGTGGATCTGGCTCATCGCTGCACCAGCCGCCTTCATCGCGTTCAAGGTCTCCTGGTTGATATTCGCCGTTTCAATCGAATAGATCTGCTGCTCGAGCTGGGTGATCTGTGCCGTTGTCTGTTCGAGGTTCTTCTCGTGGAGCTTTTTCCGTCGCAGGGCCGCCTTGGCCGCTATTCAATCATTAGCAATTTGACCCTTTCCCCATTCTAAAAAAAAAGGCGAAGAAAGTGTTCAAAAAGCAAAAGCATACCGTTCTTATTCGCCGTGACATTCTTCTTAGCAATCGACTCCTGCTCATCCATCTGCGTCTCCAAGTGTTTCTCCCTCTTTTGCAGCATATCCAGTTGCTCCCGCAGCATCAGGATCGCATTCTTAGGCGCATCCTTCCGCTTCTGGGCCGCCGAGCCACCAAACCAAGACAACATCTCGATAAAACAGATTTAATCTCTATCCTTTTGCCAAAAAAGGGAAGCCTAAAAAAAGCCGATACCTAGGACGACCGTGCAATACCGCCCCTGGCGATGTATCGTATCCACGCTCCTTTCTTGTTGAACGCGGGTTTCTTTCTCTCGATCGGCCAGGGCAGATGGTACGGCGGAGGGCGGAGGTGGTCGGTGAGGGAGGGGCTGCGAGTGTGTCTCGGGCGGAAATGGGCGATGGTTATCGTGGGGATTTTGCCGCTCTCGATGGCGATAAGCAAGTGTAGGGCCGGGACTAGGGGGGGTAAATGACAGGGCCACGCAACGTCAATAGGCAGCCGTCAAAACAAAGGAAATTAAAAAGGATAAGAGTGTCGTCGAAGGAGGCGGAGGATCGAAGGGAGACGTTGGCAAACTGGCAAGATAGGATGGGAGAGACGATGGATGATAGACAGACTAACCTAAATTTCCCCTCGTTGGCCGATGACATGCCGCACTAGGCCTGTCGGAGCGTGATGTCACGTGCCCCTCCCTCTCCTACTGATTACTCCGAGGACTCGCATCTTCAATTACTTCACTACACTGTGTACTATCGGGGAGTAGTAATCCATCTCGACACTTTCTCTGCAGAAATGAGAGGAAACAAGGCAACCCCATGACTACCCCCCTCCCCTCAACGAGAGCTTTTCTCTCCGATCTCCCCTCCCTCCCACCAGACACCAAAGTCCGCTTCCTCGGTTGGTGCGTCTTAACGTCACAATCCTCCATGTTAAATGACAACACTGTCTGAATTTCAAGCACGAAACTCATTCCCCATGACAGCGTAAAAACCTACTCCATTACCACTGGCCACCTCACCGTGGAACACAACTACCCCCCGCAGAGACCCCCGCCTAGCGTCTCCGTCGACGTCAATGCTATCATTGGCAGTTTAACGTCTGAGGAGCTGCGCGTGGGCGCGTGGGTCAATGTTGTCGGGTATGTCAGGCGCGTGCCGACGTTAGAAGAAGTCGCTGCTGCCGCTGAAAGCCCCGTGCATGTGGACGCCGTGATGGTCTTTCCGGCGGGGGCGATCGCTTTGGGGGAGTATGAGCAGACGTTGAGCGATGTGTTGGAGGTGGACCGGTGGGTTCGCAGGCCTTGAATATTGGCAAATTCGTAAAGCATCGAGTATCCGGAGCGTCATCACTACCGAAAAATGTATTCTAGGTGAAACATATTGGTTCTTGCTATCTGTTCTTGCTATCTTGTGTGGTATAACCCTGTCTATCTATTATTTATTACCCAACCTATTCTGTCTATATAATGTTTGGGTGTTATGCATTAGTTCCAACCAACCATGCAACCCAGATTGAGTAAAACAAACGCCAACGCCAACCGTGCTAGATGGCTTTCGCAAACAAACAAACAACTTTTAACTTTTTTTTTGTGTCATCGTGACGTGCACTTGGTCCATGGTCTCATCAGATAAACCAGAAAACAAGCCGTGATGCCCGAGACTAGACATCCATCTTCACATCCTCGGCGTTCTGCGCCGCCAGCCGCTGTTCCAGCCGTTGCTCCAGCCGCTTTCGCTTTCCCTCCATCTTCCTCTTGTCCTCCTGCATCTGGGCGATAAGAGCGCTCTTCTGGCGGATCTTGTACCCGTACTTATAGAAGATGATCGGGATCGGAATGATAGCCACCTCGAGCAGACCGAGGAGCGTCCCAGCCCAGTTGGGGCCCAGCCCGGCATACAGATACGTTCCCACCAGGGGCATCACACCGCCGAGGACGCTCCGGACGACAGAGTTACCGGCCATCGCAGACGCAGCGTACACGCCGTAGCTGTGCGCGAGATAGTTCGACGCATAGATAAAGACACCCGTGTTTCCAGCACCGAATAACATGCCCGCCAGGATAGGCGCGATCCAGTGGATAGAAGCCGGGGAGCAAGTCCACGCGAACCAGAGTTCACCGGCAGGGATAAGCACAGCCGAGATACACACGATAGAGACCATCGCCTCCGCAGACACCTTACCCGTCTCAGGGTCAATGCGGTGGCTGTTGATCATGCGGCGGATGAGCGGCTCACACGCGATAGTCACCAGACAACCTGTGCCGATACCCAAGAATCCGAGCCCCGAGATACCCAGCGACCAGCCGCGGATCTCGCGGTAGACGATCGGGTAGGCTGTGAAACAGAGGTACAGGATGCCGTAGACGATGCCGATGTAGATGTTCCAGAAGATGCAGATGGGTTCCGTGACGGCCATGACGAACGGCCGGCCCAGCGCGACCTTGAGGATCTCGCCGATGGTCGTCTTCTCGTCGTAGCGGCTCCACCAGCGGGCTTCGCCTGTTTCTTCGCGCATGCGTGCCGCCTTGCGCTTGAGGAGGATGGGTCCGTAGGTTTCTTTCATGGCGAGGCAGAAAACGAGCGCGATGGCGGATAGGATTAGCGAGATCCATTGCATCCAGCGCCAGCCGAGGTACTCTGTGACGAAGCCTCCGATGATGGGGCCCAGGACTGTGCATGGTTGTTTAGCGTCCGGTTCGAATATAGGGAGAAAAAAAAGGATAAACCCACCTGGACCGTTCACAGGACCGATACTCCAGATCGACATGGCCAGAGCCCGCTGGTCGTCGTTTACCAAGTCCGATACCATCCCCGGGGCGCTGGCGATCATTACGCTTCCGAACAGTGCTCCAATGAATCGCACCACGATGAGAGTGGTCACGGATTTGGCCAGCGCGCAGGGGATGATTAGGATAGAAAAGATAAAGAGACATATAGCTGCGACGGGCCGGCGGCCGTATACCTCGCTCAGAGGCGCCGTGAACATCGAACCTACCGCCAGACCGATGAGGTAGAATGTCAGGCCTAGGGTGACAATTATGCTGGAGCTCTCGAACTCAGCGGAGATTTGCTCAGCGCCGGAGGTGTATGAGGTTGAGTAGATGACGCTGGTATTGACCGGGTTAGTTCTCGACAGTCCAGCCACAACGCAGTAGTGGTAGTAGTGGCAGTGGGAGTGAATAGGGGCGACAGGCTAACTTACATCATGACAGTGTTCCACGAGAGAAATGCGATGCACATGGCCTTGTAGGCCAGGGACCAGTTCTTAGGGTTTTCCGGGTCATCGTCGCCCTCCCAGTCCACTTCGTAGCTGGGGTCAGACGTTCCCGTCGTTCCATGCGACGTAACTCTTCGAGTGAGATTGGGTTCTGGCTCAGACATTCGAGAGATCCTTTGCGTCAGGGTCTCGATTTGATGTATGGTATCTTCCGAGGAGGTGGTCGAACCGCCGATGGAGTGGGTGTCCCCTTCCATGGCTTCCTCCTGGCTATGCCGAGGCCATTTCTCGTCGACTTGGGGAGGCGCCTGGGAGGATGACATCTTCCAGGCGCATATGATTGTATTTTTGAGTAGAGGTTTGTATGCTAGCCAGTGCGTATAGATAGTCGATTGGATCTGGGTCGATTATCTATGTCAATGTTGCGATGAGATAGTATAGTATAGTATGAGTCAATGGGCCCGCCAAGAATTTGTGATTTTGATCTGGAATAATGTAGTTGGGTTTGCTAAGGAAAATTTAAAAAGTAAAAGATAAATCAAGCTGTCAAGGATATAGACCGCAAACAGAATGGCAGCGGATGAATCGATTATGGCCGAGTTCGGTAGAGAAAAGCAGACTCATAGATCAAGAGAAAGATCCTCTCCCAAACACGATGGGAAAAGTTGAATTGTAGTGTTCACAAACCCGAAGACGCTCCAGATTAAAAGTGAAAAAAAATCCTGACGGGCAGGATTGATTGACATTCTTATTTCCAGAGACACCCTTAGTGGCCTTGATCCTTAATAATGTACTACTACACAGGTGGGGCGCCAAACAGGAGCACTGAGAACTAGGGCACGACAGCATGGGACTAACTGACAAGCGGGGGCGCCTTTGGCCGGAATCAAGCCTGAATCATGCTTGAGATGTCAGTATCTCCGTGAGCATAGGCTATCAACAGTCTTTTCCATATCCACTAGCGAGTTTGACTTTTCCAGAGTCGATTCTGGTAAACAGGGAGGATCCATATCCCGTAACTAGAAACGGAGACCCAGAGACCGAGTTTGAGGCATTTGATCCCGTCATGGTTCCCCACCCAGGCTTGTTCAAACGTTTTCTGATATAACGATTGTGATTCATGTATTTGAGTCAAGTGATACGCATGGTGAAGATAGGTCATTGGGCATGGTATGCCTGCTGGTATGTGGCGTAAACGTTTCCCGACAGCTCCATGACTCCTAGAATGGGTCTGACTTGACCGCAACCGGATCCATGCAGCATTTCTCTTCATGTTTCAATTTCTCGCGGTTTCTTTTGTAAACTGTATATTTGATGCAGACTCGAAAAGATTGATCTCATGAGACTTAATGAAAACCAATTCATGTTCGTCCTCATTAACGGGAGTGACTCCACGCTCTGCTACCCCATAATGTCCAACTCTATCTGGAGATGGATACGGGGGACCCGAGAATGGAGAAGCAATATCCAATGTTATCCATATCCAACTGGGTCCCGGGTGGGCTTGAAACTTGGGACTCGACTCGGATAGCAGACCTAGAATTAGTGGTGCTAATGTTCCCGAATACCAAGGCCGGACAGTCCCCACACCGTCCCGAAAGTCTTGATAGGGACAAAGGACCCAGTGACTCATTCAAATCAAGTTATTCCTTCATGACAGGTAAACCACAGCATAGATAAAGCCATGTACCACCTAAGATATGCACCTAGGATGTGGTGGTAATAGCACCAAACGCCCAGACTCAGCGAGAAAATTCGTCCAGTAAGGATGAAGACCAGCCGGTTCCGGATTGCCGTCTGTGCCGGATTGCCGATCGTTCAGAGAATGCGCGTTTGCGATGGGGAATAGGGGGAGGAAGACCCGAAGTGTGGAAGGTACACGTTGGGCATTCATGCTCCTGCTGCTGTATTCTCGATGTCGGTTAATGTCCGAATATGGAGCTTCAGATGGGGTTTCCAACGTGGACAACCCTAGGAGGTTTTGTCACATGCAGGGTCGTGGGAGTAGACACAGTAGCTTCGGAGGGAAGTTCCTGGCTGATATGATGGAGTATATACCATTATACTAATGTTAAACATTGCCATCACTGTGGGTATTGAATTGTAGGTATTGATGAGAAGTCAAGATCTGTAAGGCAGGGAATATTGTATCAGCGCACGTTTCAGGCATCATGTTTTTGAGTCCTCAGGCACACACTTCTGCCTGGTTAAACCACAGATGTCTTCTCTTATTTCTACCACTATGTTCATGATCCTTGAGTGTCTATATTTTTTAATTGATATGGTTTATTTTGACTATTTACTGATATCCCCTCTATCTTACTCCCAATCCTAGCAAGTCTGGTCATTGCCTCTTGTCGCCCCTTGTTTATACCGAAAACTCTTATCACGTGCCCTGTCACCGTCAAAGGATCCTATCTCCATCGAGACATGCAACGTTCGACCCATCCGACCTGCTTGTAATCTATTCCTATAGTCAACATGATCGATTGCGATCATATTTGGGATTGAGCTCCTCAGTGAGCTCGGTCGCGCCGTTTGAAGAGACTCTTCATCCAATGAACGAATCAGCGCTAGCGATGATGGACTACAGGTGGGTAAATCTAGAACTGCTTCACTAACCGAAGCAACTAACTCTGGAACCCAGTCGCTTCGGGTGTTAATCCATGGCTCGATCCTAACGCCCTTTTCTTAGCAATGATAAGATTCAACATTGCCTCTGGTACCTTTCTTATCCCAATATAATAAACACACATTCGTTATCATCACGCCGAACAACCAGACCGGCGCTTCTTCCAGACAGATTCTTGGCAATATAGCCTAACGGTCATTTCCTGTGACGGATCGACACTCCCTTTCTTTCTTGGTTCGACGAATCCTTTTGCCCAGCATCTACGACTGTCGCAGTACCTTAAAAGGGTGTGGCGCATAATCTCTGATATCAGGAGGATCAAACAACAAGGGTGTCTCTCCCATCAACCAATTAATAAAAATGTCAAACACAGCCATCGCATCATGCGTCGCGGGAGCCGCCTTTCTTTACCTTTACCATGTAAACCGCGCAATGATACAGGTCCCTGAGGAGGTGCGCCGTCTTTCTCCTCATCGCTGGACGGTCGAGGAAATCAAGGCGGCGTATGAGAAGGCCGCGGATTCTCCTGCCGACATGGCCGGCAGTCTCCCGCCCAAACAAAGCCGGCGTTATATCGTCACTGGCGGTTCTGGTATGTACTGCTGTCGCCCGACGTGAGCTGTGGTCTGACGGTTTCTAGGCCTTGTGGGGAACTGGATCGTGACGCATCTTCTTACTCGCGGGGAAGACCCCGCTGCCATCCGAATTCTGGATCTCCAGGCGCCGAGTGATCGCATCCTCAATCAGGGCGTAGCATATATCAAAACCAACATTGTCGACGAGGAATCCGTGCAGAACGCCTTTTCCGCACCATGGCCGCAGGCCGTCGCCCAACAGCCATTGTCCGTCTTCCACTGCGCCGCGGCGATCAGGCCCGCAGAGCGATACCGGTGCTTCCTCCCCTTATGTCGCAACGTCAATGTCCACGGCTCGGTCAACGTGCTCAACTCCGCAAAGAAGTACGGCGCCAGCTGCATGGTGGCCACATCGTCAGGCTCAGTCGGCGTCCACCGCTCATCGTTCTGGATCGCTCCCTGGAGCAGCACCCCTCGAAACCTAGCCCAAGTCGTCAGCGACTCGACCCCACTACCCAAATCACACGACGAGTTCTTCGGCAACTACGCCGTCGCCAAAGCCGAAGCAGAGGGCATCATCCGCGACGCCGACTCCCTCGACTCCAACTTCCGCACCGGCTGCATTCGCCCCACAAACGGCATCTACGGCATCGGCGGCGACACCAGCGCAACCGTCACAGGCCAGTACCTCCGCAGCGGCGGCAGCCCCAGCTGGACCTACGACGTAGTGCACAGCTTCGTCAATGCGGAGAACGTCTCCATCGCGCACCTGCTCTACGAGCAGCGCCTCATCGAGCACACCGCTAACCCAACCACTCTGCCCAACATCGGCGGCCAGGCCTTCGTCATCACCGACCCCAACCCCCCCGTCAACTTCGGCGACGTCTACCGCCTCCTCTCCACCCTCTCCAAGTCCCCCGTGAACTTCCCGCGCGTCGCCCCCGTGCCATTCCTTCTCCTCTCCCACGTCCTCGAGTGCTACGCTGTCCTCCAACACAAGTACCTTCCCTGGCTGCTTCCCCGGATCACGGGCGATATGGCCCAGCTGCAGCCTGGGCTGTTTTGCATCTCCAGTGTGCACACTGTCGGCGACGACTCCCGCGCTCGCAAGTCCCCTGCCCAGGGCGGGCTGGGCTATTCGACGCCCCTTACTACGCTGGACGGCATGGCTAAGCAGCTGGAGGAGTGGAACCGGGACTTGGAGCCCAAGGATGCCGCTGCTATTGAAGAGAAGGACTACGTGAATGTTAGCTCGGATGGAGTGGAGGTTAACCTCGCTGCTCCTTCTAGGAAGCTGTGAGCCGCATCCTGATGAATTTTGCGGTTAGACTAGTCGTCTGGTGAATATGGTGTTCCGCGAGTTGTATAGATCATATCAGTATATACTCTGCTTATCATGCAAGTAATACAGCCACAACAGCATCCAGTGAGAAATGGTAGATAATACCTTAGCCCCCGTACTTTGCTTGCGATCGCAACGCTGACATTTATACCGGAGCAAAACTTTTCAACCAACACTCTATTTATGCCGCTATGTGCTGGTCAGTATGATGCACTGTCAAAGCTACGTCGCGAGTCTCTTGTTCATGCACACGGTAGGTAATGTAGATAAAAGCATTCACATAATCTAGGGTATCATTATTGGTATTGATGGATAGGATAGCCTGCGTCTGCCGGGTCCTCATTGGTAAACATGCGTCCGAGGCCGCCTTCTGGTCGCAAGCATACTCGGAAAAGACTGGTGTCATCTCTTGAGTGAGCCTGTGGGTAAACTTGTAGCGTTTCCCCGGGTCGCTCCCAAGAAGCCCCTCGCATGTCTCTTCTCTTCAGGACCAACAGATCGATTGTTAGGCCCTGAGATGAGTGTCCAATTGACTATGAAGGTAACCATCAACTTCCCAGTGTCAGCCATGGGGAAGATGGCTTTAGGTGAGCGCAATCAGCCAATCGAGTCTCTAGCCTAGCCAGACAGCCACCACCACCACCATCACCACGAAAGGGCGGAAAGAAAGAAGGCAGATGAAGCCTCCAACACCGCAGCCTACCGCGCCTGCTGCGAAAGTAGCCGTCTCTGCTCCAAAATCTGCAACCGCAGGTTCTCCGCCGCGAGCTCAACATCCAGAATAGCGCCAACCCCATGCTTCCACGACTCCTCCAAGCCAACCAGCTCGCCATGCCTCGCCTCCTGAGCCATCTTCCTTTCCTTATTCACCGTCTCGGCAGCCTCCTTCATCTCCGCAAGCTCCTTCTCCAGCCCGCGCAGAATCTCCTCCAGCTGCGAATTGCCAATCAACCACGCGTTCTTGCCGCTCTCTTCCAGCAGTGCCAGATTCTCATGCCGCATCGACAGATGCGAGCTGGCGGTGTATGCCTTCTGCAGTGTGCGACGCCACTCATCTAGGTCTGGGGGTGCGTCGGGGCCGGTGGACCGGGCTGGCGCCTCAGGTGCTTCGTACCGGGAGAGGTCGATGCCGCCGGTTAGTGGTTGGCCGGCGGCTTTACGGTCGAGTTCTTGTTGGATGAGGGGGGAGAATCGGGGGGCGGAAAATTCGGGGATGGAGGGGTGGGTGACTGTCGTGTGGTCGTGGGGGAGCTCCGCTGTGATCAGTCGTTCTGCTGCCGCGCGGGCTTGAGCGGAGGGTGCGGTGTCGATGTCTGAATTGATTGACGCGTTAGATGATGAGGAATAATGGATGGACATAGGTCTTAGGTGATGTCTTACAGGGAAGAGAGTCGTGAGACTCGTTGATGAGAGGCATGGTATCTGTGCGCCCGAAGGAAATGAAAAGATAAGATAGAAAGGTATTATAGTAGTGGACGTTCTGGATCAAGATGAATTGAAATCGCTCTGATCGTTGGTTCTTTTCTGCCGAGGCGGTGAGATGCTCATGATTCAGCATTTAGTCATCATCATGAGATCTGCATGTTTACAAGATGATACTTTTACAGCAACATGTTGTTTCTGAATCTCAAGATAGCTCTCTATCTATGAGAGTATGCGTCTTACCATTTTAGCTGTCAATGTCATCCTCCTTTAGTTCATACATGAAGCTGCACACTGCCATGCTACAAGTCTTGGACAAGCTTTCTCCCCACATGTTTAACATGAACACTCACCGGCTTTTTCCCTCTTCCCAATGGAGACGGTGGAGCTGCCCCTTATGCTGATCTCTATCTGATGATTCGACACTCGCTTCTTTCCACTTTTCTGGGACTTTCCCCGCTAAACTAGGCACGAATTAACAAGCCAACAATGCTACTGGATCTCCAATGCTGATCACGCGCCTTGGATGCGATGCGCAATCAATAGTGGATCCTGGCTGTCTCTCGGCGAAGCGGGGTCCCCGGTTGCAGAATGGTATGCCCAATCAAGGCCCCTGCTCTGGGGGGACGGACGGCCTGTACCGATTTCTCCAAATGTTACCCTGTTCCTCAACCCCGCGCCAATCGTATCATTGCGGCCACTTCGCTTGCACTCCTTAGCGTTGCAAATCACGCTCTTCCTTCGTTCAAACCGGCTGGGTTGATCATGCGCTGTAATAACGATCGCCTCACCTCGGCTTCGAGCTATACGCAGGACGAGTCGCTGCGAGAATAAGAAGCCGCCTCTTCCCCACAATCATGGCGGACGAAAAAGAAGAAACGAGCTACGCTGAGGATCACCACAGGTTTTCACCGCCTGCCCCTCGAGCTGTAAACATGGCTACTAGCGTCCGGTATAATGTGGCGTTTGCGGGGACCTTCATAGTCGCCGTATTGCTACTCCTCATTTCTTTTGTCCCGTCTCACAACGAGCCAGTCCGCGTCGAAGGAGGGGCTCGCTACAGATGGGCAGACAGGTCCTATGCCACTTCGGACGATAGCCTGTTTTTACTGGGAGCTGGCAAGGCGGATGTCACGGGGTATATACTCGACCCTTGGATGAAGCTGGAGCTACCATTGCTAATCTTCATTGTCACGCTAGACCGGTTGTTGAGTTGGCCTTCGGCGGCTATGCCAGCCTCGATCAGGTCGGAACGGGTCTTCGTCAACGACTTTATTCTCGCTCGTTCATCGTCGCCAACCCCAATAACCCGGACGATACCTTTATTTATGTGGTCTTGGATGTATTGACCGGCGACACGGCAGTGCGACGTGGGGTCCTCGAGGGCCTCGCTGCCTTGGGCAGCGAATACTCTCAGTATGGCGAACGCAATCTCGCCCTCACTGGCACTCACTCCCACTCGGGCCCGGGCGGGTGGATGAACTACTTCCTCCCTCAGATTCCCAATTTAGGATTCAATAAGCAGAGTTATCAGGCGATTGTGGACGGCGCCATACTGTCCATCAAGCGTGCCCATGAGAGTCGAGCCCCGGGCCGTCTGTCCTTTGGATCCATCGACGTGAAGAACGCGAATGTCAACCGGAGCCCTTACTCCTACGATCAAAATCCAGAGGAAGAGAAAGCGCGGTATTCGGACAATGTGGACAAGGCGATGACCCTGCTGAGGTTCGACCGGGAGTCCGACAACAAGACCAGTGCCATCCTCACCTTTTTCCCTGTGCACGGGACATCGATGTACAACAACAACACGCTGGTGACGGGCGACAACAAGGGAGTCGCTGCCTATCTCTTCGAACGAAGTGTCCAGCAGGACTCCAAGTTCACCGACGACTTCGTTGCCGGATTCTCGCAGTCCAACGTGGGTGATACGTCTCCGAACATTCTGGGCGCGTACTGCGAGGACGGGTCTGGGGAAAAGTGTCGGTATTCGGACAGCACCTGTGGTGGAAAGACCGGGAAGTGCCGCGCGCGCGGTCCCTTCTTCCGCGAGCAAGACAATGGCGCCAAGAGTTGCTTCGAGATTGGGCGACTGCAGTATGAAGCCGCCAAGACCCTCAATGACCAGATTTCGTCCAAGCCCGTTCAGATTCTGAAGAACTCTGAGGTCCGAGCCTTCCATGTGTACAGGGATATGTCTCAGTACGAGTTCATTTCGCCTTTCAATGGAAGCACCTTGAAGACTTGTTCAGCCGCCATGGGGTATCCGTTTGCGGGCGGCACGACTGATGGGCCGGGCATGTTTGACTTTACGCAGAATGGCACTGGGCCCGCCACCAAGAACCCCTTGTGGGAGGTGGCTCGTAAGATCATCCACGCCCCTTCAAAAGAGCAGGAAGAGTGTCAATACCCCAAAAAGGTCCTCTTTGACGTGGGCTCCCTCACCCAACCCTATGCCTGGGATCCGAACGTCGTGGACATTCAGCTCCTGCGGGTGGGCCAGCTGTTCATCATCGTTTCGACCAGCGAGGTAACCACCATGTCTGGACGGCGCTGGAAGGAGGCCATTGCCAAGTCAGCCAAGGAGGATCTTTCCATCGAGGACCCTCTCGTGGTTCTGGGATCCCCGGCCAACAGCTACGCCCATTACGTGACCACGGAAGAAGAATATGGAGCCCAGCGCTACGAAGGTGGCTCTACCCTGTACGGGCCCAGTCAGCTCGCTGGCTATATCAACCTCACTCTGACATACCTGCCTTTGCTGGGGAAATCTCCGGATCTGGGCAGTCTCCCGCCGGTGCCCTCTGGCGTTGAACCCCCGGTCAACACCAATAAGTCATTGAGCTTCGTTCCAGGCGTAGTTTTTGACGCACACCCCATTGGAAAATCATTCGGTGATCTCCTCTCGTCGGAGGAAGGCGAGACGTATGGTCCTGGCGATATGGTGAATGCCACGTTCCAAGGAGCCAACCCGCGGAACAATTTACGCCAAGAGTCCACCTTTGCAACCGTCGAAAGGAACGACCCAGACTCGGGTAAATGGGAGGCGGTCCGGACGGATAATGACTGGAGTCTGATCTACAACTGGAAGCGGACGAATGGCGCTTTGGGGTACAGCGAAGTCACTCTCCAATGGCAGATCGAGGACGACTATTACGGCATTGGGGACCCTAAGCCTCTCCAGGAAGGCACCTATCGCCTGCACTACTATGGTGACGCGAAGAGCGTCAAGGGTGAGATCACGCCTTTCGAGGGGTTCGGTCATCCTTTCACGGTCTCGACCAATTAAAGCCGTAATCAGCTGCACCGCGTGATGGAATAATGTATCTCCTAATTGCATACCTTGAAGCGAAGCTTTCGCCAATACTAGTAATACATATTCCTCCTTGTTGAAGGAGATTTGATGTGACTCGGTTCTTTCGAATAATATGTGCGGTCAATATGATCAACGCTGGTTGGTCGGGACTGTATCCGGGACGCCTGCGTTCATGCAACCTTAGACTGAAAAAGAAAGGCGGACTCTCATCTGCACCACTCGGTTCTTTATTGTAGGTGTCCTCGAGTTACACGCTGATATCCATGAATAAGGATCCACCACATGTTGCACAGGAGATGGCGGAGCCAACGAGCGCAACCCAAGTAAGCGCGAGATTGAGTCAGGACAGTCTTCTGCACCTGGATATCCGGCTCGACTGCAATTCCTTTGTCGCGCGCCAAATTCATTGTTATGGCTTCAAATCCAGGGGATCCATGTTTGCGCCAATGACAACAATCGCACTGGCCGGGTAATCCCTCCCTCGACCCAAGCCAGCAGGGAAGATAGCGCAATTCTCGAAATGCTTCATTGTTTAAACAGAAGCCACCCCCTCCCGCATCTTCCATATGCGTCATTTATTCCAGCACTAATGCTGGTCCTCTCTTTCAACTTGGATCTTTCATTGTTTGCACGAGTTGCCAACATGAAAGAATCCCCGGTCAAGGCCGGTTTCTAACTCAAAGCAATATGCAATGACCATTCAACAGCACAACTATATTTATCTTCTGGGTCCTCCCATCAGCCGTCATTGATGGGAGGTACTGTATTCTCTTGGCCATCGAAAGTCTTTGACCCAATCGCTCTCAACATGCAGTTCCCGCACTTCCTCAGCTGTATTTTCCTGCTCTCCTCTCTTTCTTTGGCTGGTCCAATCTCCCATCCCCTCCCCGACGCAAGCGATGAAGACCCTTCTCTCGCTGAGCGAGACATCCCCGGCTGCTTCCCCATAGGCGGAGGCGACATGCTAAGCTGCCCGGGCCAAAGCCCCGCAATCCAATTCGAGAAAAGCACCAAGAACTCGGCTCCCACCGGCAGACCATGCATCCCGATCGGAGGCTCCGACTTGACCTACTGCCCCGACTCAGGCAAAACCTACGGCGGACGGTTTCCAATAGACGGCAGATCGCCAGACGACGCACCCTCTGCCCTTGAGGACGACGTCGAAGCATCCTCCCCCTCCTCAGCAAACCCCAAAATCACACCCTTCCCCGACCCCCCCACCAAACGACAAGCCCCCCAGGCCTCCGAGACCTTCGAAATAACATTCAACTCGGGCCGCACCGTAACGCTAACCGTCCCCTACGGATACCGCCTAGACCGCATCAACCAACCCAGACCTGTAGCTCCGACTGCAGCCCCGGCGGCTGCAGCCCCGAACGCAGGCCTGACAGCCCGCCGCTCCACCATCACCTCCACCAGGGTCGTGACCGTAACCGTGCTAGGACCTTCCCCGGCCGCCCCGGCTCCAACTGCCGGCTATAGTGCGCTGCTGCCGGCTCCTCCCCGGCCTGCTCCTCCTGTTCAGGAAGAGCCTCAGATGGGATTAGCTGTTACGCCGGTTTCTGCCTCGTCGCCGGATACCGCTGCGGAGCCTGGTGTGGTGGTTCCTACTTCTGCCCCGGATGATGACGGTTACAACGATGAGGAGGAGGACGACGACGACGACGAATTAAAGGTCATTCCTGTTCATACTACTATGTGACGGAGAGGGTAACGAAGCGAGAGACGGATGTGAAGTCTGTTACTGCTAGCTGAGTGGTCTCTCTTCTCCAGGCTAGTCTGTTTGGTAGGTGTTGATCAGGATGTTTTCTAATTTTCCCTTTTTTTTCTCTGGTTTGAATGGTAAATTGATATTTTTCCTGGCTTCTGGTAGGCTCTTCGTCATCTAATGCATTCAGCAAATCTATTCCTCTTTCTTGCGTGACAACAATTTGAAAACACCGCCGTGCCAGTCCTACGAAGTTTAACGTTCTATACCCTAACACTCTCCTATTGTCTACCCTAAGTTTATAAAATTTAATCTTTATCCTCGCATAGAGGCACAATTTTACTTAAATCAATAAATAAACAAGACCACCAAGAAAACGATCAACCCAAGTACCAAGTAGATATCCCACACGCACCTCCCTAGCCCACTTCCACTCAGCCTCCATCGTAATAGTCAAACCAACAACATCATACCCCTTGTATACCCCCTAAGCATAGCAAATATTACGTAATAAGGGGTGATGGCGCAGCTGGGAGCGCGTTAGACTGAAGAACTCAACTTCAGTTTCCGACTTGTATCGGGGTTATCTAAAGGTCACCGGTTCGATCCCGGTTCATCCCATTATCTTTTTGTCTTTTTACTTTTTTCTGGATGGATATTTCGGGGATTTTTTTATGAGAGATAGTTTGTTTGTCTAGGTAGATGGATTATAGTAGTGATACTAGTAAATGTGACTTTCAATGGCTTTTACTTAGAGTTAGGCTTTTTCTTTTGGGTTTTGTTGATTCGTGGTTCTTTAAGTATTAAAGTTAATCATATATATAGACTACTTGTCACGAGAGTCATGGGGATGGAGAGGTACTGTCAAATGACTTTTGTTGCCAATCTTATCTACATGGGTAGCTCTCACGGGCTCAGCGTGGTTTGAAAGATGGTTTGATATTTGGAAATTGTGATGTATCGCGTTGATATTGATGGTTACTACGTTATTAAGATTAATTGATGTGGGTGAAGATGCTACTGCTTGATTGCAACGTTGACGGTGTATTGGAAATCGTTGTCTTGAAATATTCGTGTGTATATAGTTGTAGTACTTTTTTTTTCTTGAGGAGGGCTCGACTGTTGGGTGGAGGATTTATACACCGGTGTGCAACGTGCTTGAGCTCCTGTCAAAACAAGTGAACCAAGAAGAAAAAAAAAAGTGTAAAATGAAAAGAAAGATCTTTAGAAAAACCCCCCCTCAAAGCCACCCAGCGCTATATATCAAGTTGAAAGAAACAAGTCGCTCATCGTCAAGGTATAATGCAAAGTATAAAAACCAACTAGTCAATCAAAGCTCCGACAAGACTCCTCCCGCCTCCGCAAACTTCGTCTGGTATGTCCTGAGGCTCGCCCACTGACGCAGTTCCTCCTGGTCGCGATCCTGATCGCTCAGGTAGCTCATTGATCGCCCGTTAACCGGGGGCGTTGCGTCGGCTGGCTCCATGCTCGGAGTAGGCGCCGCGAGGCCTTCCAGTCGAACGAGGGTGTCGATGAAGGCGTGGAGGTAGGACTCGGCCTCTGCGGCGGTTAGCGGGTGGGGACCGGGTGTGGATGGGGTTGTTGCTGGGTTGGTTGAGCCTGAGGAATGAGGGAGGTTGAGGAGGGTGGAGGCGACTTGGCGGACTTTGCAGGTCTGTTTTTTGGTTTTCTTTGGTTAGTCGGAGGGGGGAGGGATCATTCGGTATACAGCAGGGGTCGACAAGACGTACGAAACTTGCGCCGTTGGGCTCCATGTTCACTGGGTTCACGGCCTGCAAGAGGACACACAAGTCGCGGATGACGAGACGGCGCTCTTCGGCCATTATACTCCCGATGGGATCGGATTGGCCGTGGGAGTCGCTCGATTCGGTTTTGCATCCCAGCGAGGACTTCTCTTCCGAGTGCTGGCGGCACCGCTGCCATACGCCGTAGAGTCCCCAATACTTCTCGACCAGATACGATCGAGTTCCTAGCTGGCTGGCGTAGATGTTGGCTTTCTGGATCTCGTACTGGATATGTCGGCGTTCCCAAGATTCCTGGTCTTCGCCCGTTGCGGTCAACCCGCGATCGTCCTGTGGTTGTCCAAATGGTGATGCCGGCGCCCGTCCCCCTTGTAGCGATAGCTCTCGAGGCACGTTGGCTGAAGCGTCCCTCGCCATCTGGAGACAGTCCCAGAAGACGGACCGTTGGCGCTCCCAGTCGACGATCTGACCGCTGCCAAATGCCAGTTCCCAGGCAGACAGAGAATTGTACGAGCTGAGAACGCGAACGTTTGTGTTGAATCCCACGAGTTGCGATACCTTATTGGCCGGTTGAGGGTCCACGTGCGTCGAAAAGATGTACTCGTCGTCCACTTCGAGCGGAAGAGGCGGATACCGTTCTGTCGGGGTCTCCGGAGGCACGTGGAATACTGCATCCGCAGATCCCATTTGCTGCAAGGTCCGGAACCCGACCAAGGTCGCGTAGAAGAGGCGCCGTCCAAGCTCTTGCTCGATCACGTTGGTCCGGCCGTCATCCAATGCGCCAGATGGGTCTTGCGATTGCGACGACATCGAGTTCGGGCTGATTGGACTGAGGGGCGGCGGCCGCGTCGACGCGCGGTACAAGTCGTATACATGGATCATTGTGATACATTCGACGAAATACGTGCGGCACCGCCGCATACTGTAAACATAGCCGGAGCAGAGCCCGAGGAAGTAGCTCACGGCCGCATCATAGACCGTCGCACTCCGATCGAGATAACCAGTGCCTCGTGCCTGGACGGCGATATCACGACACCTTTTGACCAGGGCCATTGAGTGTGGAAATGCGGCCTTTTCCTCCTCGGTCTTCAGATGCTGTTTGGGCCGTCGGGGGAATGATGTCACTAGGGTCCCGATCATGGAGGCTGTGAGCGCCAGAAAAATCCGATCTGTGGCATCTTCGCGGCGATCCAGCGCGGCGCGGAAGGTGGGTTCATGGGGAATCGGGACCAGGGGGTGGATATAGGTGAAATAGTCATCAATTAACAGTTTGATGGTGGGGAGTGGGCAGATGGATTCCACCGAGAGCGACGAAGGGGCGGCGGGGGAGGAGGGGATACCCCTCGATGGCAATGACGGGAGAGCCGAGGAGATTTGATATTGGTCTGAAGGGCTGGGGGAACCAGCAAGCGAGGAAGCCAGCTTCTGCTTCCTGAATGCCTCTGCATGGCGGTTAGGAGGGCCGCGACGCCGACTGGGTCGCTCATATGTACACGGGATTTCTAGGCTTGCGCATGATCGACACGGAGGTCCGCTGGTGTCGCACTGTACGCACGGAGTCCGTCAGCCTACACAATCTACAGGGTCAACTATAGAACAAAGGAATTGCACACATACCTTCACCTTTCGAATGCTGCAGGCATCGCAGGCCTTCCGCAGTCTGGTCCGTTGGTCCATGGAGAGGGAGAGAATGCAGTCGGCGTTTCCATGCTTTGCGATCGCACCAATCAGGTTAAAGTTCTGCCCGGAATCGCATTATAAATTACACTCGAGGGGTGAACGTTGGGGTCGAGATTTCGTCAAATCGGTGAGATGCGGAGAGAGTGCGGGAGCTATAGTCTGTTCCCAGGAGGAAGAGGGGGTTCAAGTATCCTTGTTAGCCTGCCGATTCCCCCGTAGGTTACTGAGAAGGGTGGTTACCAAGGGGGTATGGATGTCAGAATTCTAAATTAAGAGCCTTTGTCCGGCAACGACCCCTAAGAAGAGAAAAGACACAAGAAGGTTACAGATTTCCTCGTGGTCGCGGGCATCTCACCGTGGCTAGATCACGTGGCTTGCGTCATTCTCGAGGCCATTACTTATTCTTCTTTGTTATGGACTTATTATTGTTTATTATTAATTAATATTATGGCGACGAAGCCGTTTACCTCTTTAGTCATCGCGATTCAAGCACCATGGGTGACTGTAGTTAGTCGGTTCTTTCTCCGTCCTCCCCAAAGTCAATTGGTAGCCTCGGCGCTCTAGTCTGAAGTCTATTACTCTTAGTGAAATACACGCACCAGGCGGCAGAGATGGAGAACCAAGGAAAGGGGTACCATGGCGGAGAAAATCTCCACTCTGCAGAAACCCCCGGACGTACTCCGACTGTATGGATGGATCGGATTACTCCGTCAGGTTGCCTAATCCGGCGACCGCATCGAACGTGCATAATGGTTGAGAGAAGGGACGCTTCGTTCCCAGGTCTTACACAATTGCAAAGCCACGAAAAATTCGCGCACAAACTTCAATGCAATGGACGAGCCCTTGTGGGGAGGGGGATTATATATACTTGTCGTAGAAGCCTCGAGTACAAGACTGCGAAGAGTGAAGCCGCTTGAGAGGGAATCAAACAACAGCATCATTCTCGTCACCATCGTCGTGAAAATCTTCTACATCCTCCGGCTGTCTGTTCAAAGCGTCGCGCTTGTTTTCGATCCCCGCAGCCCAAAGCGCCGATCCCACGGCCGTCGACATGAGAAAGAACATCGAAAGAGGAGGGACCAACTGGAGAATCAAAGATACCGTTCCAAATCTGCATGGATTAGTTAGGCTTTCACACACCAGAGTCAGGGCATCAAGGATCATGATGAGACTTACCCTGTATACTGCAGCTGTCGCTCCCGGATTCTCTCCTTCCGCTGCTGCTTGGAGAGATCCAGCAACTGGAAGTATCGCCAGTGGTGGAACGGGCCCGCCCGGTAGCCCGTCAGGACGAGAAATAGGGGCACGCCAACGACGGGGATAAAGTTCAGCGGGAGAAGCACAACAAACTCCACAATCTGACGCAAGGAGAAGGGCGCGTAGACGGCACTGTGGAGAGGCTTGCCCAGCCGCTTCACGACGTCCTCACCCTGGGGGTACAGGACGCGCGAGGTGGTGACGAGATCACCATATCCCTCGCTCACAAGCACGGCATCGAATATATCCACCAACGTCTCGTCGACGAAGAAGGCCTCGAACAGGATGGCCACAATGGCAGAACCCTCACCCAGAACCAAGACTAGACCGTTGATCCACGCACTCCGGCCCTGAAAGATAGCGAGGAAGGCCACCTGCGGCAGATATGCGAAGATGAAGAGCAGTGCATATATGAAGATCGAAAGGAAGATGATCGGAATGAGACGGGTCTTGAACAAGGGCCAGAGGAAGCGATGGGTCGCGAAGTAGTAGACACCCTACGTCAGTCAGTAATGGTATAGTAGGTGAACACCGACAGAAAGGCCCGACAAACCCGAAAAGGATACAGCCAAGCAGCCCTCGGAGAATTCGACAGTTTGACCATGGTAGTTATGTGACAGATAATGTAACAGATGAATGTGTAGACTCGCGAGCAAGAGGAAAGGTCAATAGTTGATGCCTACACCGTCAGTGCACCGATCAAGCGAATAAGCGGACCGACGATGATGACAGAGGCTAGTGACCGCCAAGCCCCTTATCGATAAGCAGGCGGTGAGCAGGGTATATAAAGCGAAAATTTCCTCGCGTCTTTTTCTTCTTTTCTTCTTTCTCCAACTTACTGATCACACCTTCTTATTCACTCTGGGATCTAATTACCCCATGGATCATTGGAGGGGAAAAGAAAGGTCAGACGAATAATGCTGCCTTACCCCAAATTCTTCTTCATTGTGGAGCGTTTGGAAATATTTACAGCGTACATCACTTTTGCCCTACGCCCTTTGTGTGGTGAACACTCATCTTGCTAGACTGGACGAATAGGTATTCGTCCATGATATCTTTGGTCAAGTGGACTTGATGGATATGTCCTCTTGGTACACTGGTTGGTATCATGCGCAGTGTAAAACTGGTGCCTGTGCTCAGCCTGGTACAATGCTACTATTCCAACAACGACCAATAATCAGCCGCTTAGCTCAAGTAATCAAAAATTGAATAAACTACAAAGAATCATCTTAAGTTTTAAATAAACCTACACTCGTATTTGAAACATTGTACTCATGCTCGAGAACCTCACTGGCGGAGACGGTAAGATCCTGCAGGGACCAAGGAAGTGATGTCAGTTGGAATTCCACCAACGTCCAGCGACCCATCATCCAACTTCCTTTCCACACCCGCGATAACCATCCAACATCTCTACCCTGTATACTCCTCCTGAGAGGATAAAAAGACCACCAATGACCACACTCGATCCCAGCGACTCCAATTACCAAGTCTTCCGCGAGTGCCTATCCAGCGCGATCGTCGAGCGATCAACCCCGCACCGCCCACAGAAAGCCCCAAAACGACGAGCCCCAAAGACCAAGCGCAACGGACGCAGAGATGACAGCACACACAAGGACACAGTAGAGACAAAGCCCGCGGGCGCAAGCGCAGGCGCAAACCCAGAAGAACTAGCAGAATTCATCGACGTACGCAACCATCACCCTGACACCTACACATGTAGGCAACTAGCCAACTAACAACAACCCCAATTAACTCACGGTCCCCCCCAAAACCACAGTTCCTCGCCTCCGAAATCTTCCCCAACCTCCCAGACTCCCTCAAAACCCTCACCTATTCCACCCTCCAGCACGACGCCGCCCTGAGCACGCAATACGAGACCCCTCTCTCCGCCACCACCCGCGACGACCTCACCGCACCGCTCCCCGCAACCGTCTCCGAGACCCTCACCGTCTACGGCCTCGCGCACGACGTGCCCGATTTCCTCGGAAGAGTCCTCAACGAGTACATCGAGGGGGCGACGAAGCCGCCGCCCGTGTGGGCGAGCACGCGGACGGACGCGTGCGAAATCTGCGAGCGTGACTGGATTCCGCTGTCGTACCACCATCTGATTCCGCGGGGCGTGCATGCCAAGGTGCTGAAGAAGGGATGGCATGACGAGTGGATGCTGAATAGCGTTGCTTGGTTGTGTCGCGCTTGTCATAGTTTTGTGCATCGCATGGCGGGGAATGAGGAGCTGGCGCGTGAGTGGTTTACGGTCGAGAGGATCTTGGAGAGGGAGGATGTGAGGGCTTGGGCGAGGTGGGTGGGGAGGGTGAGGTGGAAGGCTACCTAGATTTGTTAAGGGGTTGCTTGATTTTTAATTTGCTCGTTTTTGGGCCGCTGTTTTTGGGAATTATGATTCATGTGTCTATGCTATACCTATACCAACCGCCGCTGTATTGTACATAGAGGGACTGTCGCATCAGGCTGCGCCGGTCCGCTGACAGCCGTAATTTTACATGTTGCGCACCACATGCGCACCGCCCGCCATAACGCCAATAAGTGTACATGATCGGAAGATCCGATAGGGGTAGATCCCATAGAAGAGATCACAGATACCTTTTCTCGAAGATTTCTTCGTAGCACTGGACGCGGTCGCCCACGGCAAACTCGGTCCACTCATCGAAGCCAATCCCACATTCCGTGTCTTTGCGCATCTCGGTTACATCTTTCTTGACGTTCTTCAGCGAGGAGATGGTGCCTGTGGGGACATGGGTTAGCTCGGAATCCCAACATGAAAGAAAGAGCAGGTCTAGCTTACCGTCGTAGATGGTCTCGTTGTCTCTCAGGACGCGCACCTTCCGGGTCCGATTGATCAGTCCGTTGCGGACTCGGCAGCCTGCGATCGAGACCTTGCCTCGGCCCTTCATGCTGATGTCGAATACCTGGCCGATCTCCGCTTCGCCTGTAACCCGTTGGGTCACGAGTGGGGGTAGTTGTTCGCTCAGGGTTTCCTTGATTTCGTCGATGAGCTTGTAGATGATGTTGTGGTTCATGATTTTGACCCCGCGGACCTCCGCCATGCGTAGAATGGCCGGCTCAATTGGCATGTTGAAGGAGACAACATGCCCGTGCGACGCCTCTGCATGTTCAATATCGAACTCTGTCACCGGTCCAACGCCCGATCGGATCACGTTGGCGAAGACTTCGTTGTTGCCGATCGCCGCCACCGAGTTCAAGACGGCTTCGGCGGAGCCGCCTACATCGGCCTTGATGATGTAGTTGACGGGCTTAGGGCCCGACGGGGTCGGGTCAGAGTCGGCCTCTCCCTGGTCAAATTTCTCCTTGCGACGCTTTTCCACGATCTGACGACGGGCTTCGTTGATCGCTGCCGTGTCTTCGCCCAATTTCTGTGTCTCTATCCGCTCCATTCGGTATTCCACGACGGCTCTCGCCTTTTGTTCGTTCGGGGCTTGCAGCACCTCTGCTCCCGCTTCCGGCTGTTCCCTCCAGCCATCGATTTCCACTGGCGTGCCGGGAGTTGCTTCGTCAATGGCCACACCTGCTTCGTTGCGAAGCGTGCGCACCCGAGCCCAAGCAGTGCCTGCCACGATGATATCACCCGTCCGCAGCGTGCCCCGGCGGACGAGCACCGTGGCCACACGGCCGTAGCTCTTTGTAGTAGCCTCAATCACCCATCCTTCGACGTTGCCTTGCGCGTCTGCGCGGTAATCCAGGACCTCGGAAAGCGTGACAATGGCTTCTTCGAGTTCTAGCATCCCCTGGCCCGTCTTGCCACTCACGCCGATCGCCTGGACGTCACCACCAAAGTCCTCGACGTGGACTCCATGCGAGGATAGGTCCTGCTTGACCCGTTCAGGATTGCTATCCGGCTTATCGATTTTGCTCATAGCGACGATGATGGGCACCTGGGACCCCGTAGCATGCTTGATGGCTTCAATTGTCTGGGGCTTAACACTGTCATCGGCCGCAACAACGAGTACGACGATATCGGTCACGTCGGCACCGCGGCGACGCATGTCCAAGAAGGCTGCGTGCCCAGGCGTATCTAAGAAAGTAATGGTCTTTCCAGATGGCATCGCCACGGAGAAAGCACCGATATGCTGGGTGATTCCACCGTGCTCCGAGGCCGCAACCGAGGAATTCCGGAGCCAGTCAAGAATCGTTGTTTTGCCATGGTCGACGTGTCCCATGATCGTTACCACCGGCGGTCGAGACGGTAGCATAGATTTGTCCTCGGGTTCATCAGCGGGCGTCAATTCCTCGCCACCAGTATCAAAGATGGGCTCGAAGTTGAACTCAGCTGCCACCAGACCAGCAGTTTCCGAATCCAGGACATGGCTGTACGACACTTCCTCAAACCCCATGTCTTCCATACGGGCAACAAACTGTGCCGGGCGCACACCGATAACATTAGCAAGGTCACCGACACTGATGAACTCTGGGAGATAGAGCGGGCTTGGAGTCGTATCCAACTCCTTGCGCCGTGTCTTTTCTTTCTTCGACCGTTTCCTTTCGAGGCGTTGCTGACGACGCTCCTCCGCGTCAAACTCCTCATCGGCTTGCCGCCGCCGATTTTCTCGACGTTTTGACGACTTCTCCTGCGGAGCGTTCTTGTCCTGCGTCTCAAACAGCGAGGCATCCCATGTCCATGATTTTTGCTCCGTTTCCGGCGTTTTGGCTTCCTTGAACTTCCGGTGTGGACGAGGCTCTTCCAAATCACCGACGACCCCTATCTCTGCGGATGGGATGTCCGGTTGCCCCGCCGCAGTATCTGTCACAGCAGGTTCCTCGCCTGACTCGTGTTCGTGATAGTATGCGTGCTTCAATAATGCCTTTTGCCTGTTATCCAGGGCACCGGTATCGCTACTTGTTCCCGACGGGTGTTGATGACCCAGCTTTCTGATCCTAAGACTTTGATCCGGGCGGGGAGCCTTGCACTGCGGGCAGACGATCTGTTTTCCAAAGCAATGGTACTGGCAATCTGGACAAGTCCAGTCCTTCTGTCGTATATGGTGCGGTGCCCTTGGCTGCCCTTCCAATTTTCTATCCGGCTGTAGAGATGGATGCTGTCCCCACCGATCATGACGAGGTTGGTGCTGACCGTGGTGTTGATGTTGTTGCTGGTGACGGTGGTGGCCTCCTGGTTGCTGCTGCTGCTGTCGTCGTTGTTGCTGCTGTTGTTTTTGCTGCCGGAACGCCTCTGCATTCTCTGCGATAACCTCTGCTGAAGCATGAGCACCGCACCGTTTGCAGGTGGTGAATTTTGGTAAGGAATTGAACCCGCAACTAGAGCATTTCCATGTTTGCCTCCAACGATCGCGGTTCTGGGTGATATTCTCAGGGGAGCCATGGGATGGTTTCAAGGATTCTGATGCGGAGCCTTCTGCAGAAAATCTCGGCGAATACCGCTTTCCTCCCCATTTGGACGATTTGACATCTCCCGGAGACGCCCTGGTGCTGTGGAGTTGTTCAAAAAGGTCGGTGCTTGCACTTGCCGGCAGTTTTGACCTCGACGCTGACTGTGCCTCCTGCTCCTGAGCGGCACTGTTGCGTGCGATCAAAGCATCGCGGATTGCTTGTTCCGCTGGACTCAACGTCGCCGGCTTTTGCGACGAACTAGAGCCCCATCGACCGCCAAACTTGGGCTTCGGGGTGGTGGATTTCGAATCGGAACCATCGGAAGAATCGAGAGAGACGAGCGAGGAGCGAAAGGTTCGCCGCAGCACGGAGGAGACTATGACCGGGGCGAAAGCTGCGTCACGGTTTCTTGCAGCCAAAGACGGCCAACCCGCACCATGGCTGCGAGAGAGCTGGACAAGGAGAAAGACAGGAATTAGAGCGACGCAATACCAAAGCGCGCAGATTGAAAGAGACTCACGTTGAGGGCAGCCCGCCGGTGCATTATATATTCATCGAGGGGTGGAGGCTCGAAAAGGACAACGGACGACGTTTCTTTTGCCGGTCCAGCTAGTACGTAGTTTGCTCCGAATTCCCCTCGGGGAAACTTTTGCGGCGTTTGGGTAGTCCGTCTGCCTGGATCCAACCTGATTGGTTCCTCAGGCACTCCGCCGACCGAATGCTGAGTCAGACTATCTGACTCAGCAGCAGTTTCCCGCGGGGATCACGTGTCTCGGAGTTCCCCACGAATGGGAGGCCGCGATCCCTTCATCGCGCCATCGTTCCCCAGAGGGTTGATAAGCCCGCCTAAGCTGTTTTTTAAGTCGAGCTGTGGTCACACTCTTAAACTCTCCCCAGTGTCCTCCTCCACTTCGGTCTTTGGCGTGTCTTCCTATCTCCTTGGATTTCCTCATACCTCAAATCCAAACCCCCTTCTCTGACGACGCGCAATGGAATCGGAAGCGTTCGAGGACATCCAGAAGGGTGGTGGAGCCCTCCGCACTATCAAAGATTTGGGTGCCGGTGCGGCTGGTGGGATTGCCCAGGTGTTGCTTGGTATGTCTGTAATTCCTTATCTAAATTGCACTTCACGTTGAGACATCTTTGCCTATTGTCCTGGTGTCCGTCTTCGTGATTGTTTTGTGTTCAATTGGAACTTCCAGTCTCCATGCAAGGAGCGGGATGTTGAAGAGGGACAATTGGTGCCCCGCCAAACAGGCACACATCACATGCCTATATCTATACAACTTCACAATCTCTGCCGACATATATGCTAATAATATCATAGGACAACCGTTCGGTAAGTACCAATCAAGTAATCGTGCAGGGTCCTCCCCCTAAGCATGAACAGATATTATCAAGGTCCGCCTGCAGACGACCACGCAGTACTCAAGCGCCCTAGACTGCGCCACCAAGATCTTCAAAAATGAGGGCCCCTTTGCATTCTACAAGGGTACTCTGACGCCCCTGATCGGTATCGGTGCCTGCGTACGTACTCCCCCATTCCCTCGCTTCACAGGATGCCCGACTGATGATGGCCCAGGTGAGTGTGCAATTCGGCGCGTTCCACGAGACACGCCGCCGCCTGGAAGAGCTTAACAAGAAGAAATACGCGGATCCGAGCCTCTCGTATGCGCAGTACTTCCTTGCCGGCGCCACCGCCGGTATCACGAACAGTGTGCTCTCGGGCCCGATTGAGCACGTGCGTATCCGCCTGCAGACTCAGCCGCACGGCGCAAACCGGCTTTACACGGGTCCCCTGGATTGCATCCGCAAATTGTCAGCCCACGAGGGCGTGATGCGCGGTCTCTTCCGCGGCCAAGCGGTCACCTACTTGCGTGAGGCGCAGGCGTACGGCATGTGGTTCCTGACGTTCGAGTATCTGATGCAACAGGACGCCAAGCGCAACAACGTCAAGCGCGAGGACATCTCCAGTCTCAAGGTTGCGACATACGGTGGTATTGCGGGTGAGGCGCTCTGGCTGAGCAGCTATCCGTTTGACGTGGTAAAGAGCAAGATGCAGTGCGATGGCTTCGGTGACCAGAAGCAGTACAAGACCATGCGCGACTGCTTCAAGAAGACCTATGCCGCGGAGGGCCTGGGTGGTTTCTGGAAGGGGCTTGGGCCCACTCTGCTGAGGGCCATGCCCGTGTCCGCGGGTACCTTCTTTGTGTATGTTTTCTTGTCCTTTCCAGTCACGGCTTTTGCTTCGTTTCTTCCCTCGGGTGCTAACTAGAGATGTAGGGTCGAAATGGCGATGAGAGCACTGGGTTAAGATGAATATCTAATTTTATCGTCCTCGTGCTGTGCCATCCCCTTTTAGAGTTCTTGATATCCATGCCTCGTTCAATTCAACAGAACGAAGGCAAAAGTTATTAGATTTTTTTTTAACATACATATGCTTGGTCGTTATCATCGTCTGCAGGTTTAGACGACTGATCTGTCTGGGTTCGTGCATTGGATGGATACATTGGTTTTATCTATGAAATGAATATCTACTGATTGTAAATGTTGTCATCTTATACCCGACGTATGTTGAATATGTTGACTGAAGCTCATATGCTGTTTTGCTTCTACATCGCACCGCTTTCGAAAGATCCCTGAATAATGGACCGTGGGAGTAGAACTGATTCATTCCGTAAACATCCATCTCGACGGCAGCTCATACGAATAACCATCTCCCTAGTCTTCAAGATTATTTATTCGACAGCTTGACTAATCGTTCTCCTTCTTTCTGCCCCAGGACATGTGGCTCCATAGCTACAGAATGATCTCAGGAGTCCACTTTTCATGATCAATTTTTCTCTCTGGGTCTGGGATCAGGAGTCAACCCCCTCATTAATCTAAGACACGCGAACAGGAATAGAATAAGACAGGGGGCTTCAAGAATAAACAGGACAGGACATGTGACTTTAGAGACTGGTTCATCGACCGATAAAATGCATGAGTTCTTTAGGTTTGTACCAGTAGTCAATCATATACAGTGGAGCAACGGTATAGCCAAAGCCATTGACATACACACTCCTTTCAAGAAATTGAATGGGAGGGTATCACTCCCAACCGGGCGTATGCTTTTGGCAGCCAGGATACGAGAAACAAGGAGACGCCATGTTACTAAAAATAAGGAGATAAGACTGCGGTTTCATCAGGCAAAGGACCTGCTTGCTATGGGATGAAAGGACCAATGTATGAATGAACGGCGGTCTTTACTACACTGATATTATAGATGTTGCTGACACTAACTATCGTTGGTTTCATGATGCATGATCAAAGGATGCTGACAATGCGATATGTCTGGTTCAGAAGAACTAGTACAATCAACCGGTGCGTCAGCCCAATACCCAGTAAAGAAGATCGCAGGCTTTTGAATTACTAAAGAACGCAACCAAAGTCTGTCTCAAAGGACTTGGAACAACTAGATCAATAACCTGAACGGTTTACATTGCTGACTCGCCGGACAGGGTATGGTAAGATGTGCTACATATACCTGAAGGCTGTGTTTATTCCTTTGTCAAGTCCCTTGAGATTCCCCAAGATTCTTCTCCACCTAGTCAGTAAAGTACTTGGACTTTTGCAGTGAGCTTTTCATGTCACCCAAAATCTTTCTTTGATTGTCAACTTTAGTGTCCTGTTATTCTGATCTAGTTTCCTGGGCCATTCTGTTCTGACTCGGGATATAAGAAGGGGTCGAGGCACCTTCTTGGATGTTGTGATCTCTTTCACTCATAAAATTTCTCTGTGCTCTAGAAAGTGGTCTCTATTTGTTAAACTGGCAAGAGCATTTGATCCAATTTCAAATCCCCCATCATGTCCGACTTCAAGTATACGGGGTATGTCCCGGGCCGCGAGTTGGTTGTCGAAATCGACAAGATTCTTCGTGCAGCTGGAATTCCGAGTGTCCTCTGGCACCACGTCTTGATGGACATATATGGTGTTCCTATGATCGGACTGGTACGTTCAGGGAATGCTTCCTCGTCTGAAAAACACGTTGTGCGATGATTAACTGCGATAGGTTATTGACTTCGTCATTCCCGATCATCAGATAGACGCAGCGGTCCAGGCTCTGAAAGACGCGAACTTCTCCGATGGCGACGATAAAGACATCGCTGGCAGTTGCCATTGGAATTGCAGGAAGAAGAAAGAGGACATCCAAACCACAGCCCCCTGGCCCTGTCACTGGTTCCACTTGCACTCGGCCCCGTGGACGCCGGACCTCCCATTCTCTGAAGACGAATTCAATAGCATGTCACGGGGGCATTTCCATTCTGACATCTGCCTACATCGAAAGTCAGAGACCTTATGGGCACTCCCAGATCCGAGTCTCGAAGACCCGGCGCCAGATGACCCTAATTACATGCTGGCAACCGACCCCCGGCTTCCCGACGGGGAATTTCCCGTTCTCAGCCGTGGCCGCTACACCGTGCCCGGCTGCCGAGTCCAGATCCCGACCCCCACCCGTTTCACGGAGTCCCTGATCCTCAACATAGTGCGGGAACTTGAAATGGTGGACCATGGTTTCTTCTGGGAACATAAATTGAAATATATGGGTCAGTATGTGTACAAGAAGTCAATTGATGAGGATTTTCTCAGCCCTGCTACGCTGGATCCGTCGCTTGGAAAGATTTGGAAGGCATATTTGAAGAGCCCTGCCCCTGTGATGGAGTTTCACCGCAAGCACTTTATTCCCTTGCGGGAGGCTCTGATTAGGAAGGGTACGCTTCCGGATACTGCGGTTCCATGGGTGATGACGGCCGACGAAGAGATGGTCTTGGTATACGCAAGGGCTGCTGAGGATAGGGCCATTCGTGAAAGGTACGCTGCTGAAAAAGCTGCCGCTGGAACGGATGCCACTGGAACGGATGCCGCTGGAACGGATGCCCGCTGAAATGGCTGCTGCTGAAAGGTTTGCTGCTGCACTCTTCAATCAAATTAAAGGTGTGTCTATCTGGAGAATTCCGTTTCTAGCAAACAAAGGAGCTCGTATACCTCTCGCTTCTAGGAAGGAAGAGTGTGAAATAGGCACGGCTCTTGCCTAGCGTTTTATCGCTGCTGTTTTCGTCTGCCTGCTATGTTGTTTACTTTTGCTTCGTCTCTTCTCCATGAATACATGAATCTTCTCTTTTTGTTGCTGTACCTGGATCACTCATTTACAATGTCTGTTCAGTCTTTTGAATAAATTACAATCGGATGTGATCTCGATACAAAACACTCAATATAATGTTACTAAACCTCGGAACCGCCAGTGGACCTCCAGCATCACATCACACATCGAGAACAAGAGAAGGAAGGCACCACCATGCTCATATCTATCCATCAAGACACAAACGAAGCTTTTTTACCCAGGCATTCCTTGTCTTACGGAAGAAGTAGACAGCATCATCCAGTCCTGCCTGAATAGCATCATGGTGCCATGGCTCCCAAGTAACGCCACTGGGTAGTCTGGCGGCCAGATTCCACGCAACACGAGCATCCAAATCGTTTTTCTCTTTGGTAGAACGCGTCCCGCAGCAGTATACTTTTATTGCAACCATATCCTTCACAGAGAGGAAAGGCGGATGCTTCACCTGGATGTTCCCGATCCTTATTGCTTCTGCGGGGAGACCCTCACAGAGAGGATTAGCGAGCATGCGACGATAGTAGGGAAGCGTAATCTGGTGGGAGATCAGATCCACTTGGACCAAGTCAGTACTGGAACAGTAGTTCAGAATGCCGGCACGAAGTTGAAAGTGTCGTGGATTAGTTTCAACAAGGTCTATCTTGATTTGATCGGTTGGGCAATCGAGATCGATCATAAAATCCAGGCCCTACCATCAGCATGTTAGAAGATGCGCATGTCGGTAATGGGGAACAAGTAAAGAATGGCCCTGAGCTGGGGTTAAACATCCGAACACATGTTGCAGATGAGGCATTCATGGCATGACAGTCTGGCATCAGACAAACGGCTGCAGTCATTTCTCTGTCTAAAACTGCTAAATATACAGACACTACAGGTCGTGCCGTAGTTCTTATGTTTGACCCTTTGACCCAAAAACACCATACAGCTAGCTCCCTGCCCACACAGCAAGACATACTAAATCAGGTAACCATCTTTTCTCCCGAACTGTCCACAAATCGTGTAACATATCGTACGCATCTACGTCATTGTCATCTTTCCCTTCCGTGTTATCTACATCCCTACAGTTGTACCAAGGGTGACCTATCAGAGACGTGGAACTGCAAAAGATGATCTCAGCCACTGCACCAAAAAGCCGAACGGCAGATTGAAAGGGCTTTGACTGACTGATTTCCCCAACAGATGACCGCGACACTCCAACCTGTGGGCTCTGCTCTGCGTTTGGACACTCGAACCCGGATTCACGGACAGCTGCAATGGCAAGATCGGCCGTCGGTAGGGCAAACAGCTACTTGGACAACGGTAGCGGTGATGACCAAACTAGGGCAATATAATAATCGGAGCTGTTGTGTATAGTCTTAGCCGCTACGCCAAAACGCTGACCAGCGTTTGGTATAGGGCTTAGCCTGATTGATATTCCCAACATATAGTTCCCCCGTTGGCACGTGCCTCGCAGTGACCCTAAGCGTGGCTATGTCGCTGACCCATTGCTGACCCATCCTGCCCTCTCGGACCAAATGATATACCATGATCTTGTACCGCCCGACTAAATGGTTATCAGTAGATGGGAGTCTTATCACTCAGACTAAACATACTGCAATTGCGTACATGGTAGTCTGGACACAATAAATGACAGCCACTACCCGAGGAGATTATAAGGCAATAGAGTAAAAAGAGAATCTCAAACTTGTTACCCCAGTTGAGCCTATTTCTACACTTGAATACAGGAGTCTCCAAGGCAAACTACTCGTAAAAACCTCGTTGTTGATACATGCTTAGCAAACGATGGGAACAAAAGAAAAAGAAGAGAAAATCATTTCTTTACAATGTTCTATACAATACAGTCCCATAATTATCACAGTGCTCGCGCGTAGGCAACCTACAAAAGAAAAATATCAAAAAGTGCCATAACCTTTTATTGCCGATCCTGGCTAGGCGTATCAGAAGGCTGCTTGTCTGATGGGGCCTCAGCAGCGGCAGCGACAGCCTCGGTCGAAGCCTCAGCAGCCGGGGCTTCGGCAGCCGGGGATTCAGGAGCCATGACCTGAGAAATGGAAGCCTGAGTTGTCGCAGCATCATCAACACCTTCGTTCGCAGCATCTGGCACCAAATCGCCCTTCGCAGCAGGGGGGAAAGTAAGTTTCTTATTCTTGGCCTGCTCCATTCTTCTATCCCGTCCAGCTTCCGCAGCCCTTCCAAGAATGCCGGCGATCAAGGCCGTGGCACGCAAACTGTCGTCGTTCGACGGGATGGGATAGGTGACACAGGTGGGATTCGCATCGGTATCGATGACGCCGATAGTGGGGATGTTGTTGAGACCACACTCGTGCAGCAGGACTTCGTTCTCGATGGGGTTGAGGCAAATCACAAGATCCGGCTTGAGGGAAGGGCGGTCGACCAGCGTCTCCTTGTACTGGGGCAATTCTTCGTCGAAGGGGTTGACAACCATGGTCTCGCAGTGGCCAAGGATCTGCTGGCCGTTGGTCAAGCTTCCGGGAATCCACCGCTCAAAGACATGGTAAGCACCGGCCAGTTCGGCGGCCCTCACCACGGCTCTCTTCTGGCCGGGGCGGGTGCCGACGAAGAGGATCAGACCAGCGCGGTACGAAACCTCTTCGACTACCTTGGCTGCACGGCGCAAATAAGCCGCCGTGGCATCCAGGGAGATGATGTGAATTCCATCTCGAATACCAAAGATGTAGCTCGAGTTTTGGGGGTTCCAGCGAGACGTCGAGTGTCCGAGATGCGTCTGGTTGGCAAGGAGCAGTTCAAGGGAAATGTGGTGGGGGTGCGGCGGGCTTCGGTAGAGAGCCTCTGGTAGGTATGCGTCTTTCACCTGGCTGCCAAGTCCAAGATATCTGTTCTCTGAACACAAAGGCGGGTTAGCATAGACGCCCAGGAGCAGAGCGCTCTGCGGCGAATCAAAAGCTGCGAGGCTCACTTTGGATTTGTTTCTCGACGAAGGCCTGGTGCGCAGGAGTCTTTATCCCGCTTTGTGGAGAATCAGTTGGCCGGACGGAGCTCTCTTGGTGAGACACCTGCTCTGCTAAGGGGCTTTGCACCGCGGTGTCGACAGGAGGTTCGGTCGAGAAGAAGCGATTTACGATGCGGGTTGGGCGGTTGAACGCGAGAAGTTGGCGGCCTGCAATGCGCGAAAAATTAGCAATGCATATTTCAGGAAATGTTAACAATTGGGAATGAGGATATGATACTCACTCTGCCGCGTGCACACATTTCGGACAATCATGTCGGCTTGCGATGGACTGGTGTTGGTTAAGAACTATCGCAACTGGTGAGAGAGCCTTCCGCTGAACTTTTGATGTCGGTCTTGGCGGCTATTGTACCTGAGGCATCAATAATGCAAACATGTCAAACAGACGGACTGAGCGGCCCGGCTTATCAGGCACCCTAACATACTGTATTTGATGCTCCACTTCGTACTGTAGGAGGAAATATCAAGCGAAAGGGAAGATTGTCTCTTGTACCGAACTCATCTTTGATACCATGTCTGAGCTGTTTATGCACGATTCTTACAGCAGGATTTTTACGATAGTCGCATCTTATTCAAAAAGGCCATGGCGGGGATAGGTGCGGCGTATCTGTTGTAAATGGGAAATATCAATAGGATGTTCACACATGAGGTTCCATTCGTTAGCATTCAGGGCAAATGCCGAAACTTCTAGAGTACTGTTCCGTCAAATCCTATATAGCTATTGAACACGGTCACTAAAGATGCATGATAAAGAAGAGTATGGTACGCGATCTAGGTACATGAAAGTGCTGCTCACCAGGTAGCCGGAAACGAAGAGAAAAAAGAGGGGAAAGAAGGGTAGGTAGACCTAATCCACCAAGTCCAGGGCAAGACAGTTCAACGATCGACGTCCACCTCCACGAGAGGCGGGCAACTCAATCCAATCCTTCAACACATGCGTATGCCGGAATCCAAGCTTCTCAAAGACCCTCACGCTTCCATGATTTCCGACGAAGGCAGTGCTTCTAATATACCGGGCATTCATGCGAGGGACGATCCATTGATAGATAAGCGTCTTCGCAGCCGCTGTCATGATCCCTCGGCCATGATGAGATGGAGATAACCAGTCTGTTCAAGTGTCAGCATGATAGATACAGGATTACCATAAATGTACGCCCATGGTTCTCATAGAATCAAACCAGAGCCACAGTGGGGTTTCAAATGAAAGAAGCAATAAGTAGAAAAAACACACCCCCAACAGTCCAAACAATCTCTGGATCCCCAGCCCGCCGCATCGAATTCCTCTCAACAGCATCCGCCCTCTCCCTACTACCTTCGGGTAAGTCCAGAAACTGATACCGGGCGATATCAATCGCCCCAATGAGAGCATCCTCCTCAATGGCACCATTCTGCCCTTCCTCCACAATCTCCCGGATACACTGGAACGGACACTCGTCCATAGGCTCCTGCGTGCCCAGCCGCGCAGCTTGCAGCTCGTACTTCTTGTAGTGCATGGCGGTCCAAGATCTTGCATCTTCCAAGGTGTACGGGAATGGCGGCCCAAGGAGCCAAGTTGCCACGAGTGGGTCGTTCATGTTTTTGACGAGGGCCGCTTCGTCGCTTGGGCTGGTTTGGCGAAAGGGGGTGAGTAAAATGTTGCCATGGGGGGCGGCGAGTCGAATATAGGGCTCGTCGGTTGAGGGGTTGTAGAGGATAGACATAGTCTACTGATGGGATGATGAGCCAATGTTGTATAGTAAATGAACCAGGAACACGCGTGGACTGTTTATTTATGCCTGTATATGTATCTAATAATCTATCAGTTGTCATATTTTTTATGCTTGATCTCAGTGACTCACACTCCGTTCAACAGCCACAGATTTCTAGCCGCAGCTATTTACATAATTTTAGTGTCTGAGACATAATCATCGCCGTGGCTGTTTTCAGCTGCTTTAAATTAGATGTCATCAATGCTGGCGTAGTATTAGTGTGTATATCACGTCCAGGATGAATCGAGGCTATTCATGACAATGTCGTCTTGGCTTCGTGGCGTTGTATATGACCAAGCGGATTCAGTAAGATAACATGTCTATCTTACGCTAAAGGAAACGGTCTACTCCTCCAAGTGGATGATTTCAAGAATGACCTGCAGATGCTTCCCTGCCTAAGCAGTTCTTACTTCTTACTGCTAACATACGTGTCCAACGGTATATGCCTAAGGCACTGAGACCGGCGATCGCATGACCCCACTTGAGGGGTTCGGGAGGGCACGGATACGCGACTGTCCAGCCGATCTCGATGTTGAGATTCGTGCACATTTACGGATCAATCTACTAGGATAAGATAGTTGTAGGTAATAAACTCTTATGATGCGAATTCATTAGAGCAACGGAGGAAGAATAGAACCATTCAATTTTGATAGAACGATGCAAAACTTGAACAACCACAAGCCGGGTATACAACAGAATTTTGACGAGACTCGAACTATCCAGGATTGTATCCCGCATTATCGTAGCCAGCCGCAGTGGCAAAGGAAATCTCACAACAAGAAGGAATGTCAAAGACCCGGCCGGCCAAAGAAGTCAAGAGAAAGCATCTATGAAAAAGGAAAGGAAAATCGTATCGCAGTCATCACAAACAAGAAAGGAAAGACACAGCAGCGGCGAAAGATAGAATAGACCGAGAGAATTATGAGGAAGCCCATTTATTTCTTGAAGAAACCGCCCAGCTGATCCATCATGCCACCACCGCCACTGTGGGAGCCGCCTTGGGAGCCACCGTAGCTGCTGTGGCCGCCGTGGCCGCCGTAGCCGCTGCTGTAATCGGGAGGGCTACTCTCGCCCTTGTTCTTGTGCTTCTTGATGGCGTCTTCAGCGATGCTTCCCATGATCGCACCACCGATCGTCCCGAGGATGCCATGGTCGGCCTTGTGGCCCGCAAACCCACCGGCGGCGCCACCGGCAAGGGCACCAGCGATTCCGCGCTCACCCTCTTGAGCTCCACCGGGTCCCTGCTGATCGTATCTGTGGATTGAACTCCGTTAGTGGGGTGTTCAGTTTGATGGGGGGGTGGGTGACGGAAGTGGCTGGAGACATACTCAGACTGGCCAGACTGGCCATACTGGTGTTGCTGGTGTTGCTGGTGTCCGTACTGGCCCTGCTGTTCGTACTGCTGCTGGCCGTAGCCGTGGCTGCCGTGCTGTTGACCATCGTGGCCGTACTGGCCCTGGGACTGGTCATAACCCTGGGACTGGCCGTAGCCTTGCTGGGAAGGGTAGCCGCCTTGCTGAGAGTAACCGCCCTGTTGACCATAGCCCTGGGGCTGGCCGTAGCCCTGGTTGTAGCCCTGGTTGTAGTGCTGGTTGTAGGGGTCAGACATGGTGAATGGTGTTCTTAAAGTGCTATTGGATGAAAAGCTGGATAGAAATAGAGAATAGAGAGGAGGAGTAAAGATGTGTGTTGATGGATGAAATAGGAAGAAGGAGAACGGGGTTCCCCTGTCCCTTTTATAATAAAAAGGCGCCCACGGGAGCAATGGTTAAGATTACCTGGACCAGAGGTTCAGCCATTTTGGGCCACAGGGCTGAGTCGTTGCTGCAGCAGTACCCCACCTGAGCACCACTTCCCCCAGTACGCCAAGCTAGATGGATGTTTACGGAACGCCCGGTCACCGTACCATTCATTAGTCACTGCTGAGATTGAGTCTACGCTCTCCGACTAGCCAGACAGGCGTCTAGAACACTTCCCGCGTGGCTGTGTTGACCGAAATGATTGCTCTATCATTCTAGAAGACAGTGAGGCTGAGCCAGTGAAACACATAATAGTGATCTCATTTCTGAGCACCAACTTAATCCCTAGGTTCGATCGAGTCTTGATCAGTATTCATGCCCCGCTGATCGTCATATTATGGTGGGCTGGGCATGCTGGAATACTTTGGATCTAGTACGGTCCTTCTACTTATGGAGTATACTACTCCGCAGTCCGGAGAGATTTGAATGGCTGCCTAGATTACACTGTAATTTTACCTGATACCATTGTTCTCGGTAAGACGTATCGGAGCGAGTAGCCTAGCTACTACTGCAGTCATTTCAGTGGCAAGTACAAGTACACAAAGATATAATGCCCAGTTTGTGACAATATTTGGAGGTGAGTGATGGTACTGACTCGGTATGTATGATATCTGTCTTGGTTGGAAGTATAGTCATTTACCACACATCACTAATAATAGCCGAGTATGGCGTAAGTTACTGCATCGCGTACAGGAGGCGTACAGATCGTGGCTGTGTGGTGAGCCACACAGTGGCAGTGTGGGGAATAACGTGATCTTACGTCAGTATCCAACTGTCCATTGCCTAATGCTTCCTTTTGCATGACAAAAGTCTTCCAGAAGACTATCGAATCTATGCTGACTCTCTTGCTGATGTCCATGGTCACCTTTGAGCAGTGCCTCTCCGAAATTATGGTACCTTGTTCTAATTTCAGTTCTGGTACGCGCCCCATCGGTTATGCCCGAGATCCGTACAAACTCGGTTCCGCCGTCGCAGGCAGCCATATTCTGGTCAACCGAGTTACGGAACCATATGATTAACCGTCTTAGCCGTCAACTTCCGATGCTGCAGTCTTACGTATATGGTCTTGTTCGATGCTGCTGAAGGCGATGGCCACGTAATTACTAATGATCATTACCGTCGCCAACTATCGCCCACCGTTTGATGATCCACCCGCTATTTACTGTGCAGGTACTTGCTGTAGGGGCTTTTCCAAATCTGGCCAAATTGGAACCACGCGATCCTCAAAGAGCCTATTGTCTTGTGGTTGAGTAAGTGGCGGTATGTTAGTAGTACAAAAGTGACTCCTGTCTTACTCCGCGAATTAGGCTTTGTTGAAGACTCGCTGTCGTTCCGAGACCGATGACAACGAACATATCCACCAAAGATGACGATACTCGAGTATTTGAGACAGTGGAGATATCAACCGGTCAACAGTGTCGAGACTCGATTCAAGCTTTCTTCACAACAATCTAACTGCTGTTGCACTCGGCCCCGGTTGAAACAATGAGTATGCAGTATCCCTATAGACTGTGTAGGCCTTGGATGCAATGCGGTATTTCATCGCACCCCTTTCCAGCATAGCAAGCAACTTACCCATGCTATCTTTGTCATTCTTGAACTCCGGCCGACTCATGCCGCTCACATGACTTTCCTGTGCCCGCGAGTTCAATCCAGGATTGGCTCCTTTGAACATCGGTTGCACTGTGGCAGATCGCCTGACACCCTATCAGTATCTGAGTATTATTTAACCTCTCGTCCATCCAAATAGAAGACTTCCATATATCCATGCCAGTTCCATTGATGGACATATCATGGACATTAGAAGCTGAGATTCGTCAGATTCTATCCAGATGATCATTTCTACCGCGTGTCACCTGCCTCCCCCATGACGCCTTCCTGGGTCCACAGCATCTGCAGGTCTTATCATTCCTGCCCGGTAGACCAAGGCACAATGCACGCGATGTCCTTAAAATCACCTTTCATGTTTATCACCAAGTGCCATGGCTTCTCCATGGACCGGACCATTCATAGAGTCTCTGCCATATCGCCCAGCTATAGTTCAGCCAGCACAATGTTCTGCCCTGCTATATCGTACTATGCCCTTCTCTTCGCCTTCTTTCTCTCGCAGGCCACAGCCTGGATCCACAACACCCCAAATGTATACCTCATCCGCCATGGCGAAAAGTCGGGACTCTCCAAAGATCACGGGCTAAACTCGGAGGGCGAACTGCGCGCGGAATGCCTACGTAACGTATTTGGTGCCAACTCTACCTACGACATCAAGTATATCCTCGCGCCCAAATTCAACAAGGGTATGTAATTCCTGTCGTTGACATTGAAAAAAAAAAACATCCCAAGATCACAAAGAAAAGAAAAGATTAGATGGAACCCCAAAGTACATACTCGCCACTAAACAGAATACTAACCCAACTCCCAAACAACAGAAGGCTATCACCGCCGCTCCTACGACACCGTCCACCCGCTCGCCACAGACCTCGGCCTCCCCATCGACACCTCCTGTAAGCGGAACAAGCTCGGCTGTCTTGTAAAGAGAGTCAAGGCATACCGCGGCCCAGGCAACATCCTAATCTCCTGGCGCCACAGCAAAATCGGCGCCATCGCAAGCAAGCTAGGCGTGGACGAAGTACCGGATTATCCGGACGAGCGGTGAGTCGCGCAATCTTCTCTTGCACTGGGAATTCCGTATAAAGACTTGCACATACACATAGTATATCCATCTTTGATAGAGTGGAGTGAGGTGTTTTGTTTTACGCCTCGTGCGATCGGTCGATCGGCTGGCTGATTATGGTCTACGGTCTAGATTTGACCTTATCTGGACGATGGTCCATCCGTATGAGAATGTCACATCGGTAGAGAGTGAGAATTGTCCGGGTTTGGATGCGCAGTCTGTGTTGCGGGTGCAGGTCTGATTTTACGATGCTGTCGCTTTGGAAGGATGGGGTTGGATTGGGTCTTATTGTAGTGTGGGTGCTGTGGTGGGATTATGAGTGTCATGATCTAAGTATCAGCTACTTGGTATGGGTGATTTCGCAAGAGATTGCCTTGAGCAGGTTGTATAAATGTTTGGGTGAAGAAGACTTGTTACTGTGTGTGAGTCTATACTCAATAAGCTGTATGCGTAGTAACTAAGCTATAGATATATAATCACAAATGTTCTCAGCTCCACATGAATGTCTATAATTGTTGGTAGAATTTATCCAGATTTTAATCAGCATTCTGTATCGTCCAAATGAATATAATCCTTATGGTAGGTGACTGTTTGTTGTAAAACCTCATAGTGAAAAGAAGACACTACACAGTTGATACTCAGTGATAGTAGGTTTGTAGACAATGTATAGTTAGATGTGCATATAATAGCTAAGTCAGCACCAGTTTGAATAAACGTGCACACCAAGGCGGTCAGAAGAACTGCCCGGCGGAGTCGTGCCAAATGCCAAGATTTCATCCACCCAGCCGATTTTTTCGAACTGCTTCGTTCGACCGACTGCCCGTTGGATTTCCAGTCCAATCACCCACCAGGTTACAGCACTGTCATTTTTACTTCTGGAACCCTGGATGGTCTGCTGAATTCACAAGTTAAGCAAGATGGATGATATCGAGGTATGTTGTTAAATTGCGCGCCTGAACTGCCCCACCTGAAAATCAAAGGACTAAAAGTCGGGGTTTTTTTTTTCTTCGCTACAGGACCGACTGCGCAGCCACGCACAGGCCTTTGACGGCCTTTTGTCTTTGATCCCCGCGAAGTACTACTACGGTGATGATGGCAGTGTATGTGATACTCTGAATTTCCATCTTCTGTCAATTTTCCACTGCCCCGGTGTTCCAGAATTCTCTGCTTTTCTCCCTCTCCTCTCCCCCTCCCATTCCCTCTCTGCGACCGGTTCGTGCGCCAGGACATGTCTGACCATCCAATCCTTAGCAGGACCAATGGCAGCGCAAAAAGCAGACCAAAGAGGAAGCTCGTGAGGCGAAACGGGCCAAGTTGGACCCCGACTCTTCCAAAACCGCCAAGGACATCATGGATGAAAATGCCCGCAAGCGCAAACGGGAGGAGAAGGATGGAGCCCAATCCGACGACGCGTCCGAAGGGCCTGAAGATCTCGGCTCCGAGGCTCCCAAAGAGGGACTGAAGCGCGGCGACATCAAGCAGAAGAAGCAGAAGCAAACCGAAGACGTTTCGAAATCCAACGAGGCCGCGGAGGCGCGGAAGAAGATGAGAGAAGAAAAGAAGGAGCAGAAGAAGGCCAATCAAAAGGAGAAGAAGAAGGCCAAGGTCGAGGCGAAGAAGTCTCCACAGCCTGCCCGGAAAGAGCAGGAGACGGGGACGAAACCCGAGGCGAAACCCAGCAAACAAGAGTCAAAGGCTGGAGCGAGTGATGATAACGACGATGATGATGCTGAAAACGAAGCCGCGGCAGAAGGGTTCTCTCTCGAGTTCAACCCCGAGCAAACAGAGAACCCCTCGTCCGTTTCCTCGACGCCAAACTCCCCCGAGTTTGATGCATCCAACGTACACTCCGGCAGCTCTTCCATCTCCTCCATCGTCCCTCCCACCGCCCCTACTGATGCCTCCAAGGACTCGACTTCCGAGAGCAAACCCCTGAAAGCCACCCCCGAAGAGTTGAAGCAGCGGTTACAAAAGCGCCTCGACGAGTTGCGCGCCGCGCGGCACGCCGACGGGTTCGACGGCAAGCCCGCTCGCAACCGCCAAGAACTGATCGAAGCCCGCCGCCAGAAGGCCGAAGAGCGCAAGGAACACAAGAAGGTCCTGCGACAAAAGGCGAAGGAGGAGCTGCAACGCAAGAACGACGAAGCCATCGCCAAGCGCTTCTCCCCCGGCGGCTCGGGATCCCTCCTCGCTTCGCCGCGGTCCCCCGCTGACTCGGTCGGCTCAAACAACAACAGCTACTCCTTCGGCCGGGTCATGTTCGCAGACGGCCAACACACCGACCCGACCTTGTCCAACATCCGCGACGAGCGCAAGCGCCAAGTGGTACAGGACCCCGCGGCAGCCCTCAAGACAGCCGAGTCCAAGAAGGCGCGATTCGACAGCCTGGACGCCGAGAAGCGGGCCGAGCTCGAGGAGAAGGACATGTGGCTGAACGCGAAGAAGCGCGCTCACGGCGAACGCGTCCGCGACGACACGTCGCTGCTCAAGAAGGCCCTCAAGCGCAAGGAGTCGGCCAAGAAGAAGAGCGAGCGCGAGTGGCAGGAGCGTCTGGACGCCGTCCGCAAGGGCAAGGACATGAAGCAGTCGAAGCGCGAAGAGAACCTCCGCAAGCGTCGCGACGGGAAAGGCGGCGGTGACAAGAAGGGCAAAAAGAAGGCGCCCTCCCGGCCTGGCTTCGAGGGAAGCTTCAAGACCAAGGTCGGCGGGAAGAAAAAATGATCACGTCCCTTCTACTTTACCTAGGCATCCGTCAACCTAGGGCACCGTCCTTTATACTACCTTACCTCGGCCTTTTTTTATCCTCCAGATGTAGCCTGTTCTCCCCTTTCTCCCATGATTTATCCCCGCGAGAAAAGAAGCCATCTACATGATCGCTTTCTCACAAGGACCGAATCCAAAAAATGGAAAGATAGGCTGCGGGCTACATACAACAGGAGACCCCCCAAAAGAATAACGAGCAAGGAAAGTGCGAGGATTCCAACCAAAAAAAAAAGAACTCGGAGATTTGGTGTTTGGGTGCGTTTGGGAGGGGGCTTTTATCTTTTCATCTGCCATGACATTTTTTCTTCTTTCTTCCTTTTCTTTCTTCCCTTCTTCTCTTCCTCTCATCATTTCTTCATTTTCTTGATCTTCGAGTCGTTGTAAATGTGCATACCTAGGCAGCGATCTAAGTGTCTATACCAAATCCATGGAGTTTTCTTGGTCATCTGTCTTTTGTCGGTTGTGTGACGGGAAGTGAAATGAACTGTATATGCGTGTGTGATACCTAAGGTACCGTGCCTACTCCTACTCCTACTATGTATGTATGTGTCTACGGGGTAGGTAGGTAGGTTGGGGTAGTGAACCTGGGGAAGTGAATCTACATGTAGTCAATCAAAACTGGCACACTACACTAAGTCTACTACCTGTTTGAAGTATAAGAATCAATAGAGGATTAAAATATGTAAACAAAAGAGAATGTTGTTATCTTGATTGATTTATCCCTAAAGACACAGTACAGAAATAAGTAGTGAACATGGCAGAACCCTCGACCAAATGACGTTACAAAAACAAGACAAAAAGAGAAGAAAATAAAACAGTCGCCCCAAGAAGCGAAGTTCCAGCAGATAATCCGACAAGTACACGAAAGTTTGGACGAGGGTAGACATAAAGCAAGGTCAAACGGTGAGTAATATGTACAGAGCTGGAGCGGTTGATGAGTCTAACAAACCCCCGTTGATAGCCGGGGGTAGACTCAAAGCCAGGGTTGATTTTTATGATTTTTTTTCTGCATTTTTGATTATTTGCTTTGCTTCTCATAGAAAAAAACAGGTATGGAAGGGTCTCTTTTTCTTCTTCCGTTATATTCCTTTTCATGGGAAGAGGACCCCCAAAAGGTATGACAGCTAAGGTACGCCACCGTGAAGTATATGGACTACATGTGTAGATTCGGTCGACCGGATTTATCGGTAGGGCGCATCGGCTCTGGCGGCGGCCGCAATCTCAGGCTCCCACTTATCACCGTTGGATAGTAGCTTCTCCTTGTTGTACAGCAGCTCTTCGCGGGTTTCCGTGGCGTATTCGGCGTTGGAGGCTACATCGGTTAGCAGGTGGCTTTCAACTGGTACGAAGTTAAAGACAAAAAAGAAGGAGCATACTCTCAACAATGGCATCCACGGGGCAGCTCTCCTGGCAGTAACCGCAGTAGATACACTTGGTCATATCGATGTCGTAACGGGTCGTCCGTCGGCTTCCATCAACACGTTCCTCGGCTTCGATGGTGATGGCCTGGGCCGGGCAGATGGCCTCGCAGAGTTTGCAGGCGATGCAGCGCTCCTCGCCGGTGGGATAGCGGCGCAGGGCGTGTTCGCCACGGAAGCGGGGGGAGATGGGACCCTTTTCAAAGGGGTAGAAGATGGTGTATCTGCGGTGGGATTGATTAGCTTAAGCTTCCGCACCTTTATATATGCAAGACTAATGAAGGAAGGCGATGTAGTAGGTGGCGCTTGACGAGATTCCGCACCGCCGCGCCGTTCAAGGCGGGTTACATCTGGGAGAATCGGGAGAGGGGGGGGATAACACTTACGGTGGTCGGAAAAATTGCTCCAGCACCACGTACATGCCGCGGAAGATCTCAGCCATGAGGAAGTATTTGCTGGCCTTGTCCAGAGAGGTCTCGGAATCCTGGTCCCATCTCTTGGGTGTGGGCAGACGGAAGGCGGACTGAGAAGGACCGGCCTGGGTAGCAGCCCGGATTACTGAGGAAGAGAAGTTTGCGGATGAGGTCAAGGGACGCAGGGACGAGGCGGTAGGGCGGCGGTAGGCCATAAGCCTCACGACCGACGATGAGGGAGCCATCGCGGATGACGGGGAGGGTGTGGACGGGAAGAGAGGGGGGGGTAGGGAGGGACAATTGGGGGGAGAGACAGGATTAATGAGGTTCAAATGGAGGCAGAAGTTCCATCGGGTCAACTTGTTGCTTTGCGCTTAGGTCATGCCTTTCCGCGGCAATATTATTGGCCGCCCGCAGGATTTGTGCTGCTTCCGAGCCGCAACACCAAAAGAGAGAGAGAGAATTCATTGCTTTGCTCCGTCATCCGTTCCATCTTGATCTTTCCAACCACCCTTCACATCTTCCCCCCTCTCCTCCCCCCGTTTTAATCTACAGTTCTTCTCTAGGCTACAAACGCCTTCTCTTTTTACACTCTCCACCACCATGTTTCGCTCCGCTGTCGTCCGCTCCTTGAGAGCCTCTGTGCCTCGTGCCGTCCGCACTCCGGCCTCCTTCCAGATCCGTAGCTCTCCCATCGCCCGTCCGGCTCAATTCGCTCCTCGCTTCGCCTACCAGGGTGTCCGTCTCTACTCCGCTCCCGCCGGTCTGAACCAGGAGGAGGTTGAGGGTCGTATCGTCAACCTGCTGAAGAACTTTGACAAGGTGCGTTTTTTCCGATCGCGTTCCCTCGGCTGGTTCCCTTCGGGGAATCCAGGGAATTTCAGGAAACCCTCCCAAACCCTTCGGAAGGGCGCAATGACTGACAGGAGTGATTCGATATAGGTTTCCGATGCTAGCAAGGTTCGTTGGACAAGCCTTTTCCCCCTTCCATGCGACTCGTCTGCGGCTAGGGAGCGCTTTTCCGGAATGCCGAGATCGTGGACCGGGGAACATATCCATCTAACCCGTTTACTATGATAGATCAACGCTTCCTCGCACTTCTCGAACGACCTTGGTCTGGACAGCCTGGACACCGTTGAGGTTGTGATGGCTATTGAGGAGGTATGGAACTTGCCCGGTCGTACCCGTTTCGGGATATCCGCTAACCCACCGCGTAGGAGTTCAGCATTGAGATCCCCGACAAGGAGGCCGATGCCATCCACAGCGGTAAGTACTAATCCGTGGGGGTGGACTGGTTGGTGGGATGATGAGTGGTATACTGATCGCTGTTATTTTCGACTACAGTGAACCAGGCGGTGTCTTACATCCTGGCTCAGCCCGATGGTAAGATTTACACTGCTATACCTATCCTTACTTTGAAGCAGCAGCTAACGATGACTAGCCCACTAATTTATTGTAATATGATGACGCGGACTCTGGCGTGGATGAGATAGAAGAAATGAAGGGATAGTATTGGGGTGCATCTGCGCGGGCGTCTCGACCTCGGGACCATGACCGTATAGTCGAAGGCGCTACTCTGTATGCTGACCATACCGTGCTTTTGGACCCTGTTATATCGTGTATATCACCATCAATGCAGTTTTGTCAGACCTACGGATCTTAGTGGAATAGATTGTGTTGACCTGTTACCATGGATAAGCATGATTGATGCATCGAGTATTACTTATCTGGAGACTGTCCGGAATGATTGGCAGGACAACGACTGAAATGGGACCAGATGAGTAGAGTGGGAGGTGACTGTAGGTGATGCCGGGTCATCCGGGGATAGAAGCATGGTTACAAGGCCAATGTCTATTTCGATCAGCAATGAAAACCCAAGAAATGGATCTATAAGTACTTCTACAAGTATATTATCCTCAACAAGTATATCCTTTAAAAACTCCGAAAGACAGACCATGGAGGGTAGTCTATAGAGTAGTGATAAGAGAGTAGTCATGTAGATGCGGCTTTCAGGTCCGTCACCGGCGCCGAAAAAAAGAGCCACATCGCAGATTCTGACCGGAAAGTCAAAATCAATCCGTCTCAATAGTTCTTTGACCTTGGATCGAGTCGCAATTGATGTAAATTATTTGATACTATTGTATTATTTTGGCCTTTTTGATTTATATATTTAAATCTATATAAATTTGCCCATCACACTGATCGTCTCAGCTATCTTCTTGGTGAGTTAATTTTTTTTCTGGGTCTGGTCTAGAGTTCTCTAATCTCTAGTCCTCCTCGTTCTCCGCCGCCCCTGACAATTTCCCGCCCCAACAGGAAACAATACCTTACCTGCTCCCTAACTGCTGTACCTTACTACTGCTACTCTTATTTGGACTACCACCACCACCACCACTTCTACTGCTACTACTTCTACTACTCCTCCTACTTCGACGACACCTCATCCCTACTACGACGATTCCTACCGCCCCGACCGAATCTATCTGTCAACTTCCCACTCCCCCTCAACTCTAGTTTAGGTTTCGGGTTTTATCTTAGTTCTCCTCTCTCGGCCACCCCTCTTTCCTCAATCAATAAACCCGTTCATGTCGCACGCGGGACTAGCCTAGATTCCGATTGCTACGACCTTCGTCGACTCCGTCCTCACTTACCTCCCCGCTCCGCTCACTCTCCGTCTCCGATCCCTTACTATCCAGATGTCCGCAGCCGGGGGCTTGACTCGCCGAAGGGGTGGCGGTCGGGTCGCTGGCGCAGATGATAACGACGACAGCAGAGTCTCGTCTCCCGTGTCCCGAAATGGCTCTGCGCTCGACCACCGCGGTCCCGAAACCTCCTTCACCAGCGCCGAGAATGGCCACAAGATCGCCTTTGACCCTCGGGACATCAGCGAGACAGAGGAACGCAGCAAACAGCCCAAGCTGACGCTGATGGAGGAAGTGCTGCTGTTGGGTCTGAAGGATAAACAGGTGAGATCGGGAACCGCTAGCTTTTCGCCCTCTCTGCGCGACGGGAGTCCAATCCGCTGACGTCGAATCTTGGTCTGGTAGGGGTACCTGTCGTTCTGGAATGAGAATATCTCGTATGCACTGCGCGGCTGCATCGTCATCGAACTGGCGCTGCGCGGTCGCATCAGCATGCAGAAGGATTCGGCTCGACGACGCTTCCCCCTGGCCGATCGCGTGATTGAGGTTATCGACGACACGTTGACTGGGGAGGTCTTGCTGGACGAGGCGTTGAAGATGATGAAGTCGAGCGAGAAGATGAGTGTGAACTCGTGGATCGACCTAATGAGCGGTATGTGCGAGGCAAACTGGGTTAACCACGACGGCCGGAGTCGAACAATACTGACGGGGAACGTGACGTTGCAGGCGAAACGTGGAATCTGATGAAGATCGGCTACCAGCTGAAGCAAGTACGGGAACGTCTTGCCAAGGGTCTCGTCGATAAGGGCGTCCTTCGCACCGAGAAGCGAAACTTCCTCCTCTTCGACATGGCAACGCACCCGGTTGCCGACGGCGGCGCCAAGGACGACCTCAACCGCCGAGTCCGCAACATCTGCACCAACCGCACCGTCATCCTTCCGCCCAACACATGGTTGCCGGAGGACTCCGAGTATCGGTACCTGCGGACGGTGGTCATGGTGTGCGCCGCATACGCGGCCAACGTGCTGGAGAATGCCCTGGTCACGATGAGCCACGAGTCCCGCGAGCGGGCCTTTGCCCAGGTGGATGAGCTGCTGGCCGAGTATTCGCAGTTTCCGTTCGCGCGGAAAGCGGGCGGCGGGCAGGCGATCGGGGCCAACCTGGCGCAGGCCATCAACGAGGAGGTGGAGAAGGGCAGTGAGAGAGAACTTCAGATGGAGGTATGTGCTAGATTGACGGTCACCTTTCCACCTTTTGACAAGGAGTCTTCACTAACATGATTTGATCGCAGATTGTTGCCGCATGCCTGAGTGTATTTACCCGTCTGGACTCGCTATTGTAGAGCAGTCATCCAGCTACTCTGGGTCATCTTGTTCCTTCCTACCCATACCAAGCCCTTTCCCCCATCTCCCCATCCATCCATCTTCTTCCTCCTTCATCCAGTTCCCGTGCGTAAACCGCATATTCCTCGCACACCCGGTAAGGGTTTGTACGGGCAGAGTAACAACCCATAGTGAAGCATTCATTATACCGAAAAATCCGCCATTCTTACAAAGCGGGGGGATCCCCATCTGCATTGTTGACTTTGACTTGTACGAGAAAGTTTGATTAATCGATCTGCAAACTGACACACCGTTTTTGACCTTTTTGTTCCTTTTCTTTTTTTTCTTATCTTTTGTTTCCCCCATCTGCGCGTTTCTTCTTCTCTCGATCGCACGACACCTCAAGCAATCCATACATACCCCTTTTGATCCAATTCAGAATTCCATGGAAAATTAAAAACGAAGGGAGAAATACGGGGCCGGTGATTTGAATACATTTTTTTTTGTCCATAGAGTGCACACTGACTGCGTCTATCTATCCGCTTGGTGGTTTGCCTCCGTCTCTGTCCGCGTGGGAGAAGAGAAGCCATATTACAATCCAAGGATGTGTATATGCGTGTTTTGTCAAATCACATGCCCATGTATATCCACCCAGTCTGCTGATTACCTACCTATCTGGTGATGGTTAAGCGCGCAAGCCTCACCGGATCGAGGCCCATCAAATCATGGAGAATGATTGAAGGAGGGAGCAGGAATCAACAACCAACCCAACTCAACAACCATGGCAGGACAAAGACCAAGATCAAGGTCGAGAAAGAGAAAGAAATAGGGGCCCATATTATCCTATCATCCTCCGATTTTGTCATTTCCGCTTCCCTCACTTCACTCCTTCACTTAACTTGTTCCGGGACACCGGATCAACAAGTACCTTTTTTTCTTCTCTATTTCTCACATTATCCCTTTATTTTCTTATACTTGTTTATGCCAAACACCGTTGTAATAGCGTCTTTAACTACTTTCTTATCTGGGCCCTATCTTTCGAATGAATTGCTTGATTTCTTGATTCCGGGTTCCTGTCCTATGCTATCTATACTGCTCAATTTAAGTCAACCCGCTCTGGTGTTTCAATCTACCCTATCGTTCATATCAGTAGTGATTTCGATATAATCTTCTTACCGTACCTACCGTCTTCGCCTATTTGTGGGTATATCTGCCTCGACCTTGACATGTTTGGACTGTATTACTGGGGTTTGCTGCATGGCGTATATGTGTGTGTGTATGAATGTATGTATGGATGGTCATGTTCTGTGTTGTTGTATTTAGTTGTTGGCCTTAAGACTGTATGTTTTTGTGATGGATTGAGATTGGTATTTCATGTTGTCTGTTATTGCTCTATTCTGTAGGGTGATCTCTGTTTCAACATATCAATGACTGTAAAGTATAGGCCAGTCCTATATAAGCAGAATGCGTTAGATACAAAACAAAACCACCTTACTCCTATCTTCCGCGTCTACCGCCAACATAATCTAAGCACATCAACCAAAAATCCAGACCTTGTAAGAGAACCAAACAAACACATCAGAAAAGAAATCAAGAAACCTGAACATTAACCCTAAACACATAAACCCCCCCTCTTAACGCACCCCCCGCCCCAGCCGCCCCAGCACTGAGAATATCCCCCCCCTGCACCAAATCGATAGTGGACTCGACCCTCCCCCGGATCTCCCCCCTCTCCACCAACTCCGCAATACGCCCCAGCGCCTCCCCATCCGGCTCGACGGTCACAAAGCGGCTGAAGATGTTCTTCTTCGAGGACCGGGCACTATCCGCGCTGGACATGTCGACCGCAGCATCGGTGTCCACGGCCGTGAGAATGACGCCGTTGTCCTTGATGACGGAGCGGGAGTGCGCCTGGCGGAAGATCTGCTGGCCGGCGCAGTCGAGGACGATATCGACGGGGCCCCAGCCGCGCGACTTGAAGATGTCCGCGAGGTCGAATTCCGCGGGGAGGGGCGGCGGGGCGTCGATGATTTCGTCGACTTGTGGGCGGATGAGGTGCGCTTGGTCTGGGGAGGAGCACGTCGCGCAGATCCATGGGCGATGGCTGCTGTGGTGGGTGTTGTCGTCTGTTGGGAAGAGGGAGGGGGAGCGGAGGAGTTGGATTGCTTGCGAGGCGACTTCGCTGTCTGAGGCGTTGGTGACGAGCACGCGGAGTCTGTGGCGCTTGTGGGAGTTGGTGGGGTCTAGGGCGGCGTATTTGAAGAGGGATTGCCAGGCTGTGAGGGCGGGCAGGGGGATGGAGGCTGCTTCTGCGGAGGAGATGTTTTTGGGCTTGAGGGCGATTTCGCCGTCGGAGACGACGACGTAGTCGGCCGCTGCGCCGTCGTGGGTGTGGTTGATCATGCCGAAGACGACGTCGCCCTCTTTGAACTTGGGGCCGGAGGGGCGGTAGTCGTCTTGTGAGGGGGTGCGGATGACGGTGCCGCAGAAGTTGTGGAGGGGGATTTGGGGGTAGGATTTGGAGGGGGTGAGGAGCTTGGAGAGGCGGAGCTCGTCGTGCGAGAAGGCTGCTGTGAGGACTTTCACGAGGTATTGGTTGGCTGCTGGTTGGGGCGTCATGAAGTCCGTGTCGAAGACGACGTCGGAGTCCTTTCTGGGGAGACCTGGGTCTGTGGTGTCGGTGATGGCTGTTGATGCTGGCCGGAAGTACAGGGCGCGCATCGTTGGGGGGATGAATGTCAACTCGTCCATTGTGGTGGATCTTGGTTTGGCTGGCTTCATTTTGACTGCCTTCTTCAATTTCGATATGTCTATACTCGATGTTGTTTCAATCAAGGATATCCCAGAGTTGAATTGAAAGATTGTCTCGCAGGAGCGTAACCGACACTTCGGCTTCGACCTGGGTGATATACCTGCTTAATCGCATTAGTCAATGCCAATAAGGCAAACGGATGGAAGTAGTTTCCAGCGCGCGCAATGGGTCATAAGTGGTGTCGGCTTCGAAGGCTCATATTGACGTCACGAGATACCCACTCCGGGCTACACCAGCAATCCAGCCAAGACAGCGGTATAGAGCCCCAACGACAAAAGGCCCAACAGATGGTACCGATAAAGTTTATTTCCTTCTTTGTCCTTCTTTTCTTTCTCCTAGACGGAGTGACGCGCTATGGATTCCTTCTATAGCCGGACAATCAAGTCCCTCACCTCCTCCGGCTCTTCAAACACCCTCCAAATGTGATTGGGGACGTTCTTGAAAGCAGCCTCGAACCGCTGCGGTGAATTCTGATCTTCCAGATGGGGCACATCCGTGACCTTCCGGATCCAGATGGCCCTGACCCACGTCGGGTGGTTCTCGTAGATCTCCGCGTATGTCTCGGGGTCTTCCTGGGTAGAGTCGCCAATGCAGAGCACGCGGCGGTGGGGGAACCACCGGTGGATCGTCTCGATCCGCTTCATTTTATATGCCTTCGTGTTGACAGTGAACGAGCGGACCAGCTCACTCACATCCAGCCAGGATGAGTCACGGAGCATCAGCGTCCCCGCGGCAAAGTGCGAATGGATGAAGCGGCGCAGGAACGGATATAAGTTAAACGGCGCGGCGGAGACGTAGAACCAGGCTGGCTGTAGTTGTTTTTCGATCCGATAGTAGAGCTGCGGTGTTCCGGCGATGGGTTTAGGCTCGTCAACGAATGTCGTGCGCAGGATCCCTGTCGATTCCGAGGTCTTGGTGTATTTGATGGTATCGTCGATGTCGGATATCACGAGCCAGCCTTCCGGGCCCGCGAAGACAGTGTCCATGGTCGCCGTGCTGTCCCAGTTGCGAAGCTTAGATCGAATTCTGTCCCCATGCTTAACGCCGCGGCTGCCGGTTGTTACCGTTTGGACGCTGACGCCGTTGTGGTCTGTGGGCCCGATTTGATGTATCTGGGTCGTGTGGTTTGGCAGTGGGATTTCCAGCATCATCATGTGTGCTTCTGCTGTGTGGTAGAGGAATGGCCGGAGTCGCTCGGCGATACAGCGACGGATTTCTCGTTGGGTGCCCACCTCTCCATCCAAACCGATGAGGTCGGCGATAATTGCAACCAACTTGCTAATATCCTTCCGACTGTCCTTTTCGAAGACACAGGCGATCACCTCTGCGTGCCATGCGTGCCCTTTTCCAATCGTCTTCGGCATCGTGCTTTGGTATGCGGTGTTGTCGAACAGCCAGACGGTATGTTGGTGCGAGTCTACCGCTTGGATGGATGGGTTCCTCCACAGGTAGGACGTGACGAGACGCCGCACTCCCGATGAGCGAGCGATCTTAACTAGCCGTTTGATGGCTGGGGGGTCGGTGAACTTTCTCTTGGGGAGATCCATTTCGACGGGTCGATCTGGACATGAACGGTGCTCGTTGGGATAATCTGTTGATAGAGCTGAATCTGACTATATAGATAAACTAAATAAAGCATATAGCAGTTTCGCAGAGTAATGTAATGACGCGTTACTACTAGTTACATTCTGGTTCACTGCTGGCATGCTAGCATTTTATACAACCCCGACCCATACAAGGCTGCAGCGCCTGATCGCCTCTGCGCGACATCATAACCGTAATATGAGCCACGAGGCAGTGAACTCCCAATATAGTCGGGAGGCACAAGGCGTTGAGTCATTCTCGTCAGAGAAAGTCAGGCGAACGGAGATATAAGGTTGTGTTCTCTGGGCGGGAAACGATCAACCTTCCTCTCCGCGAATGAAGTCCAGAGAAACCGGCGATGCAAAGGCATGCCGCTTGGCGCCGGGAAGTATGTCAGCGCAGGGGTGCTTGTGATCCCATCATCAACCAATGAGTATGACCTTGCTCCTGAGCGTTCGCACAACGAAAATAAATCTGGAGGCTGATCAAATCAAGGGATTCATCCTGCGGGCAGCAGGGTCGGGACGATGCAGGCGACGAACGAGTGGCACGCGTCCATGCGTTTTCAACCACTTGATGTACTTTTTTTGGACCGGGAGTTTTGTCAAGTACCACAGGGGTAGTAAACCACCATTAGTGTAGGATATGATGTAGTGCTGTGGCTTGACGTTATCTCATCAGCTGTGCCTATGTTTGGAAGGTCAGAGGGTAGTGACACATGGGAAATACGGAATATGTGTGAGGTTATGGGTACGAAAAGTAATCGATCAATCAACTGCCCTCATCCACCGTAGACCAATGATTAAGATCATCCCAGAAAACAAACAAGATGAATGGGGAGGAAGAAAAAGAAGAAAAAGAAGAACAGGGAAGAAGAAGATCGATGGACGACCGGGAACCTGAGGCCTCGACCTTCCTGTTTGGGCATCTCTGGTCTGCGTGGATCACGAGACCATGAACACCATGAACTTCACGCCCAGTTGGTCTCCATCCCTAATTACTTGATCTAGCTATCACATTACAGGTGTCTTCTATCAGTGTCTTGTTGTTACCTAGGATCTCAATCTGCTGCCCCGGTTCTCTCCCACCGCCAAGGCACCCAATGTCAATCACCGTGTTGGATGGTTTGGATGAACTTCGGTCCATGAAAGATCATATCCTGATCGCAATCATTACTATATACGACAATTTATGAATATCAAGATTCCTTGTCTACTGCGTACTAAGAACTAGAGCGTCGGATCGCCCCGACCTCCCAACGAACGTTGGGGTTATGCCTATGGATCCGTCCCACTGTTGAGGAAATGATGGCCGTACATTATAGGGTATCAAATGGTAGACTACCTCGATTCGATCGTTGTGACAAACCAGGGGATTATCCGATCCCCGAGGCACGGATTGCGGGGTTGTTTATGGGGTACTCCGTAATGCACACGCTACTAGTGATCCTCCATCTCGCAACCATTTCTATTCCGGGAGCGATTTACGGATCCTCGTCATCGCCAACGGTCCAGGACATACACTTTATTTGTCGACACAGACGGATCCGCACACCACGCTCAGAGAACCTTCCATTACTTCACATGTTGTTGAGTGACTCGCCCCTCCCAAACCTGGACTTAGTAGCGCGTAGACAATGGTATTAAAGCATGGCTGTGTCAGCCAGCCCTTCATCTGTGGAACGGGACAAGAAACAAAATATCAAGTGAAAGTGCACAATGTCCATACCCATGGATAACCCCAAGTCCAACCCAAAGGACTCGATGAAGTCTACCTGGCGCACCGCCGACAGGAAGACATGGAACCACAACCACTGGGCGATTGAACTGCTCAACGCCCATCCCATCGACATCACCAAGGAGGTGCCCGTCCACGCAAAAAGCGACAAACTGCCCTACATGCCTCAGCTAGGCCTGAATATCTGGGTGCTCCTCTATGCGTCTTTCCCACTTCTCTTCCACCAGGCCTACGCTACCTACATGGGGAAGAACCTTGGTCCCATCGCCGTCTTCAATCTTTACTTCATGGCGTTCAACCTGACGGTGCTCTACGAGGTGCACCTACTCCGCCGCATGGGTCACAGATTCGGGTTCCTCGACGGTGATCAACATGAGCGGGACGGCGTTCCAGACGTGGGGATTGCCAAGGTGGTCACTTCGCTCTACAAGACCACGGGCTCGCGCATAGCCTTGTCGACCTACCTATCCTACAACATGAACATGCTGCCATCCCACATGAACTGGCTGGTTCTTCCTCTGGAGATCGGTCTCTACGGGATCGTGCTAGACTTCTGGTTCTACTGGTACCACAGAATGATGCACGACGTGAGCTTCCTGTGGAAATACCACCGCACACACCACTTGACGAAGCACCCGAACCCACTACTCTCGGCGTACGCAGACCACGAGCAGGAGTTCTTCGACATGGTGGGCGTGCCAATTATGACATACGCTACGCTCAAGATGGCCGGCCTGCCCATGGGTTTCTTCGAGTGGTGGGTCTGCCACCAGTATGTGGCGTTTGCCGAAGTCTTCGGACACAGCGGCCTGCGCGTGCACATGACGGTCCCATCGACCATGAGCTGGCTGCTGCAGATGTTCGATGCTGAAATTGTCATCGAGGATCATGACCTGCACCATCGCAAGGGGTGGAGAAAGAGCCACAACTATGGCAAGCAGACTCGTCTGTGGGACCGTATCTTCGGTACTTGTACTGACCGGATTGAGTCGGTGGAGGAGAACGTCGACTACTCGACTACGGTGAATATGCCGCTGTTCTAAGCCAGTAGAGGGTGGATATCTGGTATGGCTGGTGGGAAGAGTGGTCGACCCTCAGAACAAAGTCCACTTTTCTCGAAAACCAAACACATTAACGACTATATGACTATATTTGAGAGTGAGAGGAAATGTCAGCAGACCAGCTCTTGTACATACAAATTTCAACTATTATGAATATTATTTCCTGCACACAAAGGCGTCCTCCAGTCTTCTTGACCCACTCAAGCCCTATATTATGCCAAATTATGTAGCGCATAAATCCTCCATGTATGCAGAACACAGGGGTGTCCACTTCTCCCTGACAAGCAGCGCAAACCCACCAACACATATGACAATGCTCCCACAATCGCTCCTTTTGATATGATACTATACTCAAAGTCATCTACTCAAGGCAAAGCACAACCGACCCACGACCTAGGAGGTAAAACGCAAAGAATACCCAATCGGGAAATCCGGTCACGTGTATCCCATATACGGGGATCAACAACAGGTTCAATCTCATTGCACAATAAACACAAACAATATGACCCATCAATCCATCGATCGAGCTAGCTGCAGGACCGCATAGGTACTACCCACCTAGATAGTGAAACCCCGCAGTACCACTCCCAACCCAACCCAACACCACACCAACCATGCCCCCAAGGGCAAACGAAACAACAACCACCCCACCGCGCCCAACCCGCCGATTCGACCGGGCCAGCGGCCAAGTTTTCGCCCAAAGGACGATCAAGCCCACCGCGTCGAGCCTCCATGGGCCAGCCTGGGTCCACGAGTCGCCCTTCCTACGACATTGCTGGGACCGGGGCGGTGAGCGCGGCGCGGCGTCGTTGAAACACGCTGCGATGCGGCAGACACTGTCTGATCAGCGGAGTCTGTCGGTGGAGTTGTTTGCTTGTGTGCCGTGGAGGGTGGGTGCTTATTTATGGGGGTGTCTTGGGGAGGCGTAAGCTTTCCCCCCATTCTTTTTTGGGTTTTTTTTGGTCTTTTCTATTACGGATTTGTTTTTCTTTTTTGCTGTTGCGCTTGGTTATTTGACTATGTTGAGTAGATGCTAAGACCAAACCAGGGATAAGAAAACACTACACATGTGGAAACTACTCTCTACAGCCTACCCCACCGAGTTCAGGGACATCGCACCACACTACCGGATGAAAGTCGAGAGTCCAAAGCTAACAATGAGACAGTACCTCGATCTAGTGAAGAGCGACAACGATCCCAGCTGGGATGTTGTGCTGACCGTGTGCGGGGCGCGCGCACGGGTCCCGGAGATGGTGGAGATGGCGCACGTGAAGAATCTAGCAGCGCTGGAGATCGACAGCCTCGAGCGTGAGCATGGGGAATCGGAACTGGAGACGCCCGTGGCGAGGCTGAATGACCGCATTGTGCGCACGTGGAGCGAGCTGGTGCGTGGGTCGGGGGCGTTTGCGCGGCTGCGCGTGCTGCGGCTGCAGCATCAGGGGGAGTTGACGGGTGTGGCGTTGCGGTATTTGAGAGGGTTTCCGGTGTTGCGAATGGTGGTGCTGTATGATTGTCCTGGGGTGGTGGATTCGTCTGGGGGGAGGGGTGGTGATAGGGGACGGGTGGTGGTGGATGGGTGGGTGGTGTCGAGAACGGAGTGGACGAAGGACTGGCCGTCTGAGCTGTGGGAGACGTATGTGGAGAGCTTTGAAGATGAGAAGGAGATGTCTGGTTTGCAAGGCTTGGAATTCCAGGTTGGACAACGCCAGGAGAAGCCACGGCGCCTGCGCAAGCAGGTGGTGTGTTTACAGCGTGCGACGGACACGGAAGCAGCCGAAACCGTCAAACCCGCCAAAAGATCCCCAGAGACGCCAGCGAGCGGATCGGAGAAGCGCCGGCGGGGGGTGATGAAGGAGCGTAAGGGCCCAGATCTAGGGGGGATGTTAGCCGATTTAGGTTGGTAAGATTTTGCCAGGTTATCATTATGGTAATTATAATGAAGTATGATAATGGAAATGCGGGACAGATCCGCGGTGATGTCACCTGCAGAGATGCTGCAGCTTGTCAATGCGCAACTGCCCACCTTGATCAGATAAACATACTAATGCACGATAGATAGATCAGATCATATATATCCTTCCGTTTCCATCAACTCAACAATGCGTTCGACACGTAACCTTTTCGAATGCGATGCAACAAGCAATCGGATACGATGACGCAGGCGCGACTGAGGACCGACCGTGATTGGCCGACAGCCGCCCGCCAACCGCCGATTCCCCCGCCTGATTGTCTCAATCGAACAACAGCTTCGCCATCTCCCCATCTGCATCTCACCATCTCCGTCTCTACAATTCTCGCTCTTGCCAGTTTCTACTCTTGGAGCGTTCTATCTTACTCATACCTTTGTACTCCGGAGTTGCATGAGCCAACGTTGAATATCGACCCCCCGGGTCTCACCACACTCACATCGTCGCTGCCAAACATGGCGGACCGGGTTCCCGCTGAAGCCGTCTCCGATCCTTCGAATGGGTCGTCGGCGCCGTCGCCACGAAGCAGTCTTGACTCGCGGTCTCCCCCGTTTCGTAGCCCATCCTTGCGACTGTCCAATCACCAGAATCGCACCAGTCAAAACTATAGCGAATCGCTGCGCGGGGCGCCGCCGGGGTCGCCGCGTGCGCGCCGCCAGCCGTCCCTCACGCAGTCGGCCATCCAGAGCCTGATCGATAACCCACCGGCGCCGACGACCGCGGATCCGGCCTTTGTGGGGCGTGACTGGCGGGAGATCTCGGTGGGGGAGCTGGTATCTCGGGACGAGCTGAGATTCGTGGAGCTTGACACGGGTATCGAGGAGGCGACCAATGTAGGATAATTCCACAAACGATGAGGCAAGCACGCGGGAGAATGTAGTGGTCACTGACGAATCAGATTTTGATCGAGTCTAACGTGCCGGTCCTGTTAATTCGCGAGTCTCGAGACCAGAACAGCGCCATCGGTACGTTCGATTTTGCCGATCTGAACGCTTATTTGCTGCTGGCGACTGGCTTCACGCAGCCAGAGGAAGAGGACATACCGGCGTATGAGGAACTGGCGCGCAAGGCCCGACTGGGTCTTACGATTCCACTGAAGGATGTTAAGGACCTGGGACGCAAGGAGCCTATGACGACGCTGCCAGCGTCCGCTAGCGCCATGACGGCGATCGAGACGTTCGGGGGCGGCGTGCACCGCGTGGTGGTGGTCGATCCGGAGCGCGGGGGCGCCGTGCGCGGTCTGTTCAGTCAGTTTCGGCTGGTGAAGTTCTTGTGGGAGAACGCGCGCACGTTCCCGGTGATTGAGCAGCTGCATACGCAGGCATTGCAAGATCTGCGGATCGGGTCTCGGGATGTGGTGTCTATCAAGTACGTCCTTTTGGTTCGAGCTGCGTGTGCTATCTAACTGGTTGTAGCGGTGATAAACCACTATACGAAGCCCTGCAGCTTATGTACCACGACGGGCTGTCGTCTCTGGCCGTGGTGGACAATCATTTCAACGTGATGGGCAATATCTCGACGACAGATGTCAAGGTAGGCCTACCACTCATCCACGACGGGAGGGTGCTGACAGGATAGCTCCTTACTCGGTCATCGTCGCTCCCCCTGTTACGGAACACGTGCACACACTTTATCTCTGTGATTCTGTCCACGCGCGGTTTGATCGATGGGCAGGACTCATTCCCGGTGTTCCACGTACACCCTGGATCGACGCTGGCGCATACGGTGGCCAAGGTGGTGGCCACCAAGTCACACCGGTATGAACGTTCTATTGGCTGTCGTTCAGAATAGAAGTAAACTAATAAGTTAGGCTCTGGGTAACCGACCCCCTGTCCCCTTCATCATCCGGTCCCCCGACCCCTTCCATGTCAAGCGTGCACATCCCGCTCGCGACCAACTCCTCCGGCTCCAACTCAGCCCAGTCACCGCCAGCATCGCCCCTCCCAGGAGCCTCCACCGTCCAACCCCCCAGCCATACTGCACCCCACCATCCGAGCCCACCCCAAGGCTTCCTAGGCTCCAGCTTCCTGTCGAGCTCCGGCGCAGGCGTGGCCCACGCAGTGGTACCGTCCGCCCCGGCTTCTGTCCTCCCTGGAGATCGACTATCCGGCAGTCTCGTGGGCGTAGTCAGTCTGACGGATGTTCTTCACCTGTACGCGCGGGCAAGCGGGCTGAGCCCGCTGAACCCGGCGGAAAGTCGGAGCCGACGCCGACGCAGTAGCAGCTCCAGCGTAAGCGTTCGACGTAGCGGGGAGATCGGACGGGAGTTGTTTGGTCGTTAGTCGGCGGAGTCTGACTGATCAGGCATAGCAGTACATAGCATGACTTCCATAGTTGCATGACTTACATATTCGCATCGGTACATACATACTTACTTGGAACACCCTATTGATTTACTTTTGAGTAGCAACTCGATTTACCTTAGCTGTGAGTACAACCAGGCACGACATATCACCAAAGGTGTACAACCCATCCCATCCCCGACGCGGAGTCACGGACACGGACAACCGGGTCCATAACTTACCAACCAACCCAACCCAACCCAACCGACAGAGCGAAAAATCCCCGACCCACCAACAAGAAACCTTCAAAACCAAACTCACCCACCAACCAAGCCGAACCCAACCACGGAACACGCCGATAGTACAAACGGGTAGATCGGATTGACGGATCGATTCAGCGTAGCTCAGCTTAGCTAGGCAGGTAGTCAGGTAGCTAGCTACCAGCTTACACCGATGTTGGTTCCCGACGTAGGACACCGAGTGTTTTGACAAATCGGTCGGTCGATGTTTGATTCCGTTTGATGGACTATGCATAGCATGGTAGGTTTAATCCAGGGTTGTAAAAAGAGGGGAATTCATTCTTCGTCTCCCTAATATTGACTAACTCGCCACTGTCGGGGGACGGGGATGACCTTCTAGTTTGACACCATTCCCTACTTCTTCTTTTCTTGCTGTTCAACAGAAACAAACCATAGCAAGGAGAAAGACGAGAAAATAAAAGCCTATCTCTATAACTAATACCTCGTAACTATCAGATATCACACCACACCTCCCAGGCCCAGACCAGACCCCGCTCACTACCTCATACAAAGGTTATATCCCAAGCTACCCAAGTATGGATGAACCAACTTCACCAAAGCAACGAGTCAGCTTCGCGCGGGGACTTTCCCAAAAAGTCAAGGCGAACGAATCAAGTTCGATTTTAAGTTACTGAGGGATGATGGACAGGGACGGAATAGGTTAGTAGTACCTCGCTACCTACGTACCTACTCACCATAAAGAGTTTTAGAGGAACTTTGTTAGCGATGGGTGGATGGATAGATAGGTTGACCCGCGAGAGGGGTTTGGGTTTTGGATCCGTGCAATATCGACCAGTTATGTTGTTTTTTTTCCTTGTTCGCCACTGGGTTGTTTTATTCATTTTACTATGATTTATTGTTGAATATTATTCATGCATCTGCTTTTCCTTCTGTCCGTGTCGGCTGTCTCCGATCTATCCATCCATATTCCATATTCCATACATGCATACATCCACCCACCCAACAACCCACCTCAACGCAATATCCCCAACGGGAGAAAGTAAATACAAACCTAGTAATACAACAGCCCAACCAAGGAACCACATACTCTAAAATGACCTACGTCCCGAAGATCAACCGCACTCAAAACATGTCACCCCCTCTACCACACACAAGTTCCCACGTCCAAAACAGGTGGCAGGGGAAACGAACCCTGGGTGGGGGAGGGGTCTATGTAACGTTGCAGGTGGGAAGGAGTGGGCTGTTGTTTGCCACTGTCCGTCATGTGAGCTTTGCTTTCCTCTATCTATCTACCTAGGTATATGAAGTATAGTGGTTATGGTACAAAAACGCATATAACTGCCTATCAACTTACATACACTATACACAAATGACCCTACATCATCAGTGGCAAGTTACACATATTAAACAAATTACAAACAAGTTATAACCAAGTAATAGTAGATAAGAAAAGGCCAGGCCAGGCCAGGCCTCCAAATGAAACGCTGCAGAAGAGAAAGTTTCCCGACCCAGTGGATCGACCCACACAAGCTGTCTTGTATGGTCTGTGCGGGCATCCCACAGTACTGTACTACTGCTCTGGCATACTTTCAGTCTCTAACTACGAGTACGTTAAGTTATCCAGATAATCAGTAATATCTGCGTGTCTTTCTTCTACACTAACAAGAATTATAATATAAAACAAATAGCAATACAATATACTATAACACCCACTAATAAATCCCCATGACCTTGAAAAGTAAGACCAGATTTATAGAACTGGAAATCCAAATTCAAATCCCATGCAACCCTACCGACCCCTCCCCCTCCCCACCCAACCACCGCCCTTTTCGCTGTTTCCGGGGGAGCCAAGCCCGCATTTTCATGGTTTACCTCACAGTCAACCGGGCATCCGCTCGTCCCCTCGTCCCTGCAGGGAAAGCCCAACCTTGCTTTGGCTGGGGGGCTCGTGTTGCGACGTCAGATTTGCGGTTTTTTTTTTTTTTTTCTTACCTTTTTTTTTATACTACGTAAATTGAAACGGTTTGTTACTACGTAAGTTTAACCAAAGATAAACTATACAGTTAGTGTGTAAGTCTGAGGTAGGGTTCGTTTTATCGGCGTGTTATTTATCATCATTTTATATTTTTTTTTTATTGGGATTATTGTATTGTATACAATAGTAGTAGTAATATCACTATAAAGATCAAAAGAAATAATAAAATAACAAAGAAGAAAAAAATATGTGCGAAGGGGGAAAAAAAGTGAGAATGTGGGATATTCTCAATGCTCGAGCTGAGAAAGCTGGGTATTGCCCGACTGGTCCATCCATCCCTTTCCCCAAACCCTTCAATCTATCCACTAGACTGACTACCTTGGTAGGTGGGTGAGTGTCATCAAACCAAGGTTGTAGTGTTAGGAGGGATAGATTGCTGATGGGGAATAACATAAAATAACAGGAGGTGTAAAAAATGAAAAGAAAGAAAAAGAGAGAGAAGGAAAGAGGTATTACACGATGATAATGATACATATAATATACATGAACATCATGAGCAATGATATAAAAGCATAACAATGATACAAGTAACCAGAATCAGTAAAAAGGGGGAAATGCAATCAATTAAGCAGAAACAGGATACTCATCCAACGCAACCAACTCATCAAACTTCCACTCCGGCCCCGCCCCAGCCTCGGGAATCATGCCACTGACTTCGTCCCCGCCGAGAGCGAACGCAAACTGACTGAACTCCGCGTAGTCGGCGTCGAACAGGTCGTTGGAGAATGACACTCCGTTGTTCGTGGCCGTGCCGGGGTGACCACCGCCGCCGCCGCCGCCGCCGCCGCCGCCGCCGCTGTCGTCTTCCTTGTTGAGCATGTTGAGGGCAGAGCTGAACATGGCGCCCGCGCTGGCGTCGTCGTGGTAGGCGGACGCCGCCGCCGCCGCCGTGGTTGTAGTCGGGCTGTGGGGCGTACTCGGGGTAGGGCACAGGTCCGGCGTGGGGATGGGCTCGGTGGTGCTCATGCTGCTCGGGGCCGTGGCGGCGTCCATGTCCATGTCGATGTGAGGGGAGCGGCCCAGGGCGAGACTCAGCTGCATCTGGTGGTACTGCTGCTGCTGCATCTGTTGGTGGTGGGCTGCGGCCGCGGCGGCGTTGGTGGGTTCCGAGCGCACGCGCGTGTGCTGGGCGTTGCTGGCGCTGCGTGCCGGCGTGCCGGTTGGGAGGCTGTGCACGGGGATCACAGGGGCGGAGGCCATGCGGTCGCGATACTGGCGGGTGGTTACCGGCAGGCCGGCGCCGGTGCCCATGGCCATGTCTGTGGCGACGGCCATGTTGGCCGGGTCGAACGGCGTGGGCGTGTGTTGGGTCGGGAACCCTGCTGGCCATGGGTTGTTCTGGGGCCAGGCGGGCGTGGACGGCGTGATGGCGGGACCCATGTAGGCGGGATACGACGGCGATTGCTGGTGAGGGTGGTGGTGGTGGTGAGGGTGGGTGGAGCCGCTGTAGGTGGGGGAGAGGACGTAGTTACTGGCCGAGGCGGGCCCGGCCGTGCCGATGGGACTGTCGATGGGGGTGTGGTGGGATTGCATGCCCTCTGAGATGGAGGAGCGGAGATGAGACAGGTCTAGACTCATCTTGTGGATGCCGTTGATGGATCCGCGTGGGGTGTGGCTCGCGGCGCGGCGGTGTTGCAGACCCCCTGCGGTGGCATTGCGCAGGGCAAAGGCGTTGTAGAGGTTGTTGCGGAACTCGTCCTGCACGAGCTGGTAGCGCTGGTTGTTGATGATGTTTTGGAGTTTCTCCTGGTAGCGCTCGTCGACTTCTTCGTACATGGCCTCGCGCTCCACGATGTCCCGGTTGATGTTGAGAGACTTGCCCGTGCGCTGCTTGTGCAGGACGGATGCTCGGTTGGCGGATTCCAACCGGGCATCTAAGCTGCGGTCTTTACGTCTGGAGGCGGCGATGAAAGCTCTACTTGATTTAGTGGGTTTTCTTTTTGAATTTGGGGAATCAATGCTGGCGTACCGTTCTTGATTCTCCTCGCGGGTGCGAGGGTTTGGAGAGTTCTCCAGCTCTGCGGACGGAGAGGCCATATTCATGACAGATACCGTAGGAGTGTAATTGAGGAGTTCAACAAAAATCAACGAGGGTAAATATCTAGATAAGACAAGTAACACAGCAAGATCAGTCCATATCACCAGACCGATATCAAGACAGGAGAACAAGACAGGAGCCAGAAGAGATGAACGGAAGGGAACCAGAAGCGAGAAGACGATGTTAAATAACTTGCAACCCCGTAGTCGGCAGTAGCAGCACCGGGGTAGCGCCCTGAGAGGGGGGGAGTAAGAGCAAGGAGAACAACGGTCCTCGTATAGAGTTTTCTACCATTCTTTTTTGTCCACTGGGCACTACCGGTGAGCAAGTCAACCCATATCCACGGTGCATCCCGAGTTAATCCGACCAGCGATCTACTATTTTACCTTTGGGCTGGCCCAAGGGCTCTAGGTCGAGGCCCCATGGACGTCACGATGGGCCAAAGCTAAATAGCTATGGGCATTCCGTGGATCACGTCCTACGGTGCGTCTTTTTTCTTTGGTCCGGCCGATGGGAAGCCCTAGCTGCCTTCCGGGACTATTTTCCTGCGTTTTTGGTTGGGATCCCCTTGGGACTGGTCGATCTGTGGGATTAGCCCTAAGGAAAGTAGTAGTAGTAGCAGTAGTAGTAGGGGAGATCTGGGGGAAGTCTAGACCGCAGACCGAACCTACCGCTTTTCGATACTACCTACTCGATTAGACCCTCCCATCTACGGTAATGTACTATATACTCCTGGCAGAGACAACGATGCTTCATGGACAACCAACCAGTCAATTTAATCACGTCAATTTGACGACTCGCCACTTCAGCCGTCAAACAACGAAAGACAGAAGTACAAGTAAAGTTGAAGGTTCAAAATGATAAGGTCAAGATCGAGTGACAGGCGATGGAACCAGTGGGGAGAGCAGATCGATCGATCGACAGTGGGGCGTTGGATGATGGAACATGGACAGTCCACAGTCCAGCAATTCATCAGCAATTCACCCAACTGACTAAGATCTCCCGGGTTGAAGCGGTTGACATGTGACATGTACGATCCTCCAACGCAGTCATCCATTACAAACCAGAGCTCGAGGTCTCAAGATCTCAACAGATCCGAATCAGAACTTAACCCAATAAGGCCCCAGGGCTAACCACAATCCCACAATCCAACCAAACAAATCAAACAAAGTGATCAAGTACGAGGCTGAAACAAGGCTTAAACTAAGGATGTTGATTGATAAAGCTAGCAAATCAATGGCGCTCAAGCTATATAGATACTGTAGATCGGGTGGAGGTAGTTCAAGCCTCATGCTCTGTCTCACTAGCGAGGCTTGGGAACGAATGAGGGGTCTTGTTGTAAAGGAGGTTGGAGGGCGGGATATGCAGGGATTTGAACCAGAGTTGCGTGAACTTTGTATACTTAGTATGCTGGGGAGCTATTCGGGGACCCTGGCTGGTGCCTTGTTGGTAAGGTACTTATTATCTAGACTGGATATTGCCACTAGATACTTATACACTTACTATCTACAATATGTTTACAAGAGTCAATAAATCTGACAACAGAGAAAGAGAAAGTAGAATGCAAACTCGATGAAATGTACTCGTTCTGTCGCTCAACATAGCATCAAATCAAAGCAGGTATCCACAGACATCCACACATTTCCCCCCCCTCCACATCACATTCTCATCCTCCAGTTCAGTTCACCTCCAGCAAATAAATCAACCCACTATTTACGCAATTCCCAAAGGAGGCACCATCCCCTGCTCCTCCATCCGTTTACCGCCCACCTGGTACGACACGCGGAACCGCATTCGCAGCGAATTCCCCTTGCCGACGTCCACCCCGTCCATCATCATCTCTTGCTGCACGCCATTGGCCTGTTGTGGCGCCATGTCGCGGCCGGATTGAGGGCGTAGATGGAGGGTGTAGGCCTGTTATGGGACTGGTTAGCGAGTGGCTCATCTTTTCTTCGGGTGTAATCGTGAGGTCTCCAGATATTAACTTCACGAGGGAGTATATCGGCAGGACAGAACCAAAAACGGGAATGAAAGAACAAAAAATAAAAAAAATAAAAAAAAAGGTGAAGCATAGTAGATGGATAATCACCTTTTCAACAGCAACTTGGAAATGCAACTCGTGCATCGGCTCGTTGATCGCATTGGAGAACAGAGCAACGACCTGGATCTGTCGGGGCTGCTGCGGGGAGCGTCGCGCCACGAACTCAATTCGCAACGCCGAAGCAAGCACCGTCACTCGATTGGTACTCGGTAAAGCGTTGCTTTCCGGCAGTGACGACGTAAAATCCCATTCGTCCTCCTCCGGCGCTTTGTTAGCGGGCTGGGGGGCCGCGGGCGGGGCCGCGGCCAGGTCCAAAAGCGAGGAGCCGGCGGGAGCGGCCGTCTTTCCACCCTGGAAGGGACTGGCATTGCGAGGGCTGGCTGACACCAACGAGGCGAACGGATCGACGGGCGGGGGCGTTGCTGTGGTCTGCTGCTGTTGCTGCTGCTGGACTCGGGCGACTGGTGTCGAGGACTGGGATGGCACAGGCGACGAATTGAGCGACGACAGGATGTCGTAGTTGGGTCTAGACCCCCCGGGAGATGGCTCTGGCCCTGACGAGGCCGTCGATGGGGCCGCGGGATTCGCTGCAGCTCAACGTTAGCACATGCCAGCGTAGTAGTGGCGTGAGGTGGGCTGGGTCTTGACAGACGCCACAAAGGTACATACCAGGTCCTAAGGAGATCCCGCCAGGGGCGGGCTCATCCAGCGAGAGTCCAAGAAGGTCGTTTTCTAAGGAAGTGGCGCCCGTCGGCGCTGCTGGGGCGTTGCCGTTGGAACTGGGCGGCTCTGGATCGAAGTCGATCAGGGAGAGTTCGTTGTTGGCGTTGGTCGACACGCCCGTCGTTGTGCCTAGCGTTCCCTTGGGGATGCGCGAGGCCGCCTCCAGATCGCCCTTCTTGGTCAGTTTGTATCGTTCAATAGTGCGGTGTATGCTGTCGTTGATTTCCAGCAACTTGTGGACTGCCTCCGGATCATCGCTCTCTTCCTCACACATTCTTTGAATTTTAGGATGGGCGCTCCGCAGCGCATTGGCGAGTTCCTATCAAATCGTCAACCAAAAACTTCCCCAGTTGCAATGCATAAAACATACCTCGAATACATCCCCCTCGGCTACCGTCTCACCGGGCTGCTGACTTTGCAGCATCTCCTCCAGAATCTTAGCCTTCTGCTGCACCTTGGCGACCTCCTCCGCCGCCTTGGCCCGATAGTCAGTCTTGTGCCGATTGTCGTACCCAGCCATGATCTTCATGAGCCTATTGGCCTCCTGCAGGTCGGCAGGGGTACCCCTCCGGATAAGTTCCTGCAGCTTAGCCGACTGCGCCTCGCGCTCCTCCTCCTCCATCTCCTCGGCCGATCGCAAATTCTACATCCGTTAGAAACAACATCACATACAAACCAAGGGAAGGGAATGGATCAAGTCCAGACATACATCACTCGGGTTCAGAACAGCAGCATCCTCCGTGCGGATCTCCGGAAACACATAGCCCTTGTAAAGCAGTAGCCGGTGCATGTCACGGATATGTCCGAGATCCTCCTTGTACCGCGACGTCTGGCAGATAGTCTGGCGCCATTCTTCGATGGACTCGAGGATGCGGTGTTGGACGCGCGAGGGCCGCAATCCGGGCCGCTCGGGAAAGCGGCGGACGAGCTCATTGAGGAATTCTTTGGTGCTGATCTGGAGCTGGAACGGGTACCCGCAGTTTTTGACGCAGATATCGAGGAGCTTGATTGTCACATTCATAATCAGCGCATGTTCTAACATCCTTCCTCTAGCCCCGCGGGACAAGGGACGCCCCAATTCAACATACCGCCAACGCTAACAGAGCAACATTTTGATTGCGGGAATTGATCAGACGGACGATCTCGAAGGCAGCTTCGCGGGGACTATATCCAGATGAGTATCAGTATGCGATGCGCCGTGGAGTTTCTGTCGGTGGTGGGGGGAGGGAGGGGGGCACGGCACTCACGCATTGCCCTTTTTGGAATTGATCAAGTCGGCGACTTCAAGGTTCAGCGCAAGATTAGGCTCGTAGTGGGAAAGATCGCAAGCATTGCCTGATAATAAATAAGTATTGTATAAATAAAAAAAAATGGAGTTGTTGTATGGGTCGTACGGATTGCCCGCTGTAAGGGGGTGAAGCCTAGGTCAGCAAAGACACCACCGTAGCGGTCCCTCGCTGCCATGCGTGCTGAGGCGGCCTCCAGGGTGACGACGGGAGGAAGAAAGGTGGGTTGCTGGTTGAGTTGGGGAGTGTGGGTTTGTCTGGTGAGGGTATGGGGAGACCAGACAGTATTTCTTTTTTTGTTCCCGGAACGAATCTAAAGAATGAGTGTGTCGGAGAAGGAAGGAAAAAGTTGGAGAGAGACGGAATTAAGGGTTCATGGATTAGGTGGTCGATCTAGCCAAAGTAGCCTGGACGTAATAGTCAAGTGGAAGTCATGGAGTCGGGCGGTGATGGATGTTGGCCTTAGCCTAGTCCGTATCAACCTTCCGCCGACCGCGGGATTTTCGCGATCTACTACACCGATCTTGACATTTTTCCCTCCTGAATTCTACACCAGTGTACCCTCTACTATACAATTCCAGCAGACAATTAAACTACAGAAAGACAAGAAGAAAATGGTCCGCCACAAAAAAGACCACATGCCCCGAGGAGGCAAGAAATTCTCCAATCCCCGCCCGCGCGTACCCCGCGATGGCGACGGCCCCTCCACCAAACCCTCCTTCAAGGCCGCCTGCTGGGACCTGGGGCACTGCGATCCGAAGCGCTGCTCCGGTAAACGGCTGATGAAATTGGGGCTGATGCGCGAGTTGAATATCGGGCAGAGGTTTCCCGGTGTGATTGTCAGGTATGCCTAATATGACTCTCCCGCGTCTACCGTAAAAAACGCCAACTAAGAAACGAATACCAGCCCCAACGCAAAGAAGATCATCTCCCCCGCAGACAAGGAACTCATGGAGCAATACGGCGCCGCAGTGGTGGAGTGCTCCTGGGTGCGCGTAAAGGAAGTCCCCTGGGCGCGGATAGGCGGGAAGTGCGAGCGACTACGTAAACCTCCCTCCCTCTCATTCTCTATCTCCCCCGTCTCGACGCCGGTTTGAATTGAGAAAGTGACTAACATGAATATATCAAACCAGTCCCCTACTTAATCGCCGCAAACACAGTAAACTACGGCAAACCCTGGCGCCTCAACTGCGTCGAAGCCCTCGCCGCCTGCTTCTGCATCTGCGGCCACTTCGACTGGGCGCGTGACGTCCTCCAACACTTCCGGTACGGCGAGGCCTTCCTAGAAATCAACTCGGAGCTACTCCAGCGCTACGCAGCATGCGAGACGGAAGAGGACGTCAAGCGGACCGAGGAGGAGTGGCTCGCGAAGATCGAGCGCGAGTACGAAGAGAGCCGCGAGACGGGCGCGGACGACATGTGGACGGTGGGGAACACAAACCGGAAGGTGCAGGCTGGGTCAGACGATAGCGAGGAGGATGGATCTGACGGTGAAGAGGAGGAGGAAGACAAAGACCCTTTTGCTATCTCCGATGACTCGGAAGATGAGGCGCAGATGGCGGAGATCAGGGCCAAGACGCTTGCGTCCAAGGCCTTCCAGAACCCTACTACTGTGCCGGAGAAGCCGCAGCCGGAGAAGATCGCTCGGCCGGAGGGCGAGAGACAGCGGCTGGAGGACTCGGATGCCGAGTCTGGGTCTGCTGAGGATAGCGACGATGAGGCGTTTGACAATATCATCGATGCAACGCCTGTCACGGACCGGACGGGGATTGCGGCTGCGCAGCGCAAGGGGAAGGCGACGGAGACGTTTAGTGCGTCGTTCTCGAGGACGGTGGTCGATGCGCCGAAGCGGTGGTGATTGTTTGTTGCATCGGGCAAAGAAAAAGTTACATCCGCATGTCTGGGTTTTGGAGTTCGGAGCTATGCACGATATGTACTACTTATGAATTTTTTATGAAGATTGATCTGACTCATGACCATTCTGCTACCTGTAACTTAACCCAGACGATCCCGGGTATCCAGTGTACAAATAAGGATCAGGCAACCCCATTTTCAATTCAGGGTAATTTATGCAAAAAAGACACAGCGGACAGGGGAAAAAAGATGAACAAAAGAAGGATATAGACTGCGAATAAAAACCCATACTAGGATAGAGAAGACAGGCCCATTTGTGAAAGCCCAAAAAGCACCATCCGCTAGAAACCATTCATGAGGGGGTGTATTTACATCACATAAAGCAGGTTGACATCTGGAACAATTAGCATGTTGAACCCGTCGGGGGAATAGCAGAAAGAAGGTAAAAAAACTTACCCACGGGGTGACTGGAGCTCAGCTGAGGCTTTTGGCTGTACTTGGTGGACAACTCGTCGCGGATGCTGTTCAGCAATTGCACATAGCTCTGCTGCGGGTTCTTGCGCAGCGCGCTGATGAACGCCCACGACATCGCCCCCGTCGCCTGGCCGGCAATGCGCGCGTCCTGGCTGGTCTGGTCGTCCCGACTGCCGGACCACATGATCACGTCGGCCGGACTGGTCTTGGTCGCCTTGTTGCGCTCGTAGACCTCGTCGCCCTTGGTCGCCTTCTTGATGAAGCCCATTGCCGTCGACATCATGCTGCCCATGTCGCCACGCGCGTACGCCGACACCACACCCAGCAAGCCCTGGCCCGCTTCCTTGGCCAGGTTGGGCTCCTTGAGCACACCCTGGGTCGAGTAGACGTACGGCAAATCCAAGGCGGAGCCCGAGTGGCACGAGTCGAAGATCGCCGTCAGCCGCACTCCCGGCTGCAGTGCCTTGACCATGATGCGGTGCATCTCGTCGTCGACGATGTGGCCTGCTTGGCGGAAGTCCACGGGGTAGATGACCTCGTCGTATCCGTCGTCCTCGTCGCCATCCAAATCAGGAGTCTGACCTCCGTGACCTGAACTGATTAGCAGTGCATCTCCCGCACGTCCATATGCGGCTTACCGGAATAGTGGAAGAAGAGAGAGTCGTTCGGCTGGTTGTCCTTGACCAACCAGTGCATGGCGCGAAGAATATTGGCCTTGGTCGGCTGGCTCATGGCGTTCTGCTGGTCGTCGGTCAAAAGCACCATGTCTTCACGGGCATAGCCGAAGTTTTGGTTCAGATAGGTCGACATGTTCTTCACGTCATTGATGCACCCGCGCAGCTGGCCCTTTTGGTTGAAATAGTTGATTCCGATCAAAAGCGCCTTCCTCTTGCCGGTGCAAGCGGAATACTGGAAGTTGTAGCCTTGAGGCGCGCCATGTCCGAAAGCGACGGGGGCGGACGGGGGAGGCGCCGGGCCACCCTGATGGCCGTGGCCGCCATAGGGGTTCGCTGGGGGAGGGCGTTGGTACTGAGGAGGACCACCGGGCGGAGGACCGCCGTATCCTGAATGCGGAGGAGGGGCCTAAGTCGATGTCAACGAGGGTTCAACCCCCATCTGCCATATGCGCACATACATTGTATCCGCTGGGAGGGTAATGCGATCCGTACTGCTGAGGAGGCGGCGGCTGACCGTAGGAAGGATAAGGGTTAGGAGGTGGATGTTGCTGGCGGTAGGCCTGGCCGGGATATCCGCCGCCGCCGCCGTATGGAGGTTGCTGGTGATTCATAGGTCTGCACGGTCAGTGGATGATCAAGAAGAACAGTACGCCAGTAGATGGAGATCGAATGCCAGTGATTTGATAAATCGGAGAGTCTGATTCAGGAGGGCAGTCAAAGGCCAACCAAACAAAGAGACTAAGAGGAAAGAACAAGTCTTACGGGTAATGTTGTGGGGAGCTGTAATTCGGAGGGTACCCTGAGTACTGTTGTTGTTGCTGCTGCGGGGGGTAGCCCGGCGCGCCCGAGTACGGCGGATAATATGACATTCCGGGCAGGAAATGCTCCAAAAAGAGTGGTGGGGCGCCAACAAACAGGAGTGGACGCAATGAAAATCCAGAATAATCAATAAATTAAAAGCAAAGAGGGGGTGAAACAGTCGAGTGGCGTTTGCGCAGGGAAGGGGGTGGCAGTATGAGGAAGAGGAAGTGAGAAATGGACGAAAGAGAAGACGAAGAACGAGGCCGCCTGACTCTGAGGCATCCAACTCCCCAAGATCAGGTGGAGTTCGCCCTCTCCGATTGGTCCCGGGGCGGATTTATTCGGGGCCCTAGTGCTTTCCAAGCCTTACTGCCTTACGGACCCACTTCAACACAACAAATCCAAGATCGATCGGGCCACTTTTGGGTCTTGGAACTTTCCATAAATAATATCTGCCAATATTGGATGGTCGATCATTCGTTCGACTCTGCCCTATGACAAATTTACATCGAGAATATTCGGGATGGTGCAATAATGACAAATTACTCGAACAGGAACAGAACCTTGAAGCAGGTTTGACCATACTGCCGGGCCTTGATGCCTTGGAATTATGTCAGCACCAAAGGGGCATACAGTACCTCCTCGCTGTGTACTCCTCGCGTGGTGTAAATTGACAATGTATCTTCTATTTGGCCTCGTCCTAGATTATGTGCAATTTACAGGCACGATCATTCCGCCTACTTCCACCACACCTCCAACACTCAAAGGGACGAGTATCGCGCCGCCTTTCTCTTCCGACTAACTCCTTTGGTTCCCAGTGGGTAACACAGCATGAAATAACATTTCCAGTGTCTTCAGGATCATGTAAGACGTAGTTAGACAAAGTCTTCAGACCTCGACGAGACCTATAATTAAAGGAAAGAAAGTGCCGTCCAAATTGGCAACTTCCAATCTCAAGTGATTTCTCGGAATTGAATGATGTACTGGGAATTGAATGATGTACTGGGTCCCGCACGTGCTGTAACATATCAGATCAGCATGACGACTTGGGTGATCAACGTGTCCGCCTTGAGTGCCTCGTTTCTGCCTCGGGATATATCGAAGCGAGGATGTCGTGGCGAGACTGTTTGGTTGGATTCGATCCAAGACCATTGCACCTTCCCGTGGCGGTGAGCCACGGACTAAATGGTGGTCCTCAGGCAGACATGCCGTCGTTTGACCGATCAGTTGGCCATTCATTCGAAGCAGATCAAATGCAGTGGCGTTGGCGGTGAGCCCCCTGCTGATTCAGGCAGGGTACTGGAGTGCCAAAAAGCGCCCATCCCCTGCGTATGGTTCAGATAGTGAGATACGAGTTGTTCATCACGCGATGAACAAATCTACACCCAATCTCTTAATCGTGCGAACCCAGTCGCCTTTTTCACAGTTACCCAGAAAGTGATCGTGGTATCCAGAGTTCCATATCATCTCCAAGGTGTCCATAGACGTTTGATATGTTTTGTAAGGGAGGACCTGGGAAATCGTCTGCAAGTACGTCATAATCCAAGCCCGCTGTTCTGGGGCAGTGGCCTCCGCGCCTGCAACGAAACAAGGCCAGGAAGTTGACTTGAACAGCTCACTGTCGGGGTGGATATTCGACAGCTGGTAAATAACAGTCGACACCAATTGCTGTCGGTCATCCTGGCTGTAGCTGTCCGGATGGTCCTGGGGCAACATGCGTGCCGCATAGAGACAGGTTGCCGCCTTGAATGCCGTTGCAATCTGCGTCCGTGGGCTATAATCGTTGCAGGGTGTAAGTGACTGGATCTCAGATGCCCAGCCGGCGGGGTCAAATAGGCGAGCAGAGCGCAAGATCATAGCGACCTTTTCCTCTCTCGCAAGCTGGCCACCGTCTTGTTCGGGTTCTGCTGACATCTGCGCGACTGACAGTATGTGTCTCATGAGTTTGGCCGGGCAGGACACATAATTGTTCACCTCTGCGATCGTCAGGATGGCGTCTATGTCAAATCCGTCTTCGATGCCGTAGATAGAGGTTTCCAATGAGCTCGTTGACGAAACCGTCGATCCAATGATATCCAGACTGTACTTTGAGTTAACTTATCCCGATCTTATGCCATGAGGACGAGGTACCTTACATTAGAAACTCCGATATCAGCCACCGACGAACAAAGAGACCCGCAAATGAATCGGTAGACTCCTTCCCCGCGTGGCTCTTAATGTACCGAATCAGCGACTTCGCACCCTCCAGATGAACCCTCCAGGTATTCTTCCCAGACTGGATCCATTCGAAGTAGATGAGCAGCATAACGACTGCCAGCATGATATTCACATCAAACAGCCCAATATTCCCCAGCGTATCTTTCAGTAGCTCGAGTGCTCTACCCTTGGACGACAATGCGTCTCTAAGAGCAAACGTCTGCGACGGTGATATGTTATATAGATGGTGCGCCGACGTAGCAACGATAGCCTGCAGCAGAACCGGATACTCCCGCGAGTATCTCAGCAATTGACGCACGGGATTCTGGTCCGGGACATCATATATCACCAGCTCCTTGACGAAATTCGACCCAAAGTGAGACAGATACCGCCGCGTACTCGGGCTGAGATCCTGGAATAGCGGGTCTATCAGAGGAAAGGCCAATCTCTGCTGGTAGAAGTCGTCGTGAGGAGAGCCGTTGGAAGTAGACAATATCGCTCCAGCCCCTTGGCCAATCTTCTTAGATGAACCATCAACCTGATTTCGAGCAGTGGGAAACGTCTTCCCCATCATCTTGCCTCTGCTCGCAACACCCTGATTCCACAAAATCAGCTTCCCGTAGCCGAGGCATTCCGTCCCCGTCGTGAGACATTTCTGGCACTGTGGAACAGCACGATCGCACTTAAGACGACGGCGACGGCAGGAGTGACAGGACCTGTCCGGCATCCCTGATCCTGCTGGCAGTGCGTGGGCTACTTATTGGGGAATCGAATCATCTACAAAATTTTCCGACACTGCCGCTGGTAGATCAGATCATATCGATCCGGATTAATCATCAGCCCGTGCCCCACAGACACATGGGGCTCTAGGCTTGGGCGAGACTTTTAGTTTCGTAGATCCACTTTTATAACAGGGGAGCCAATGGGTGGTGGGTTATTGGTGGGGATCGATTAGAGATGCCCTATAATTATCCAGGTCGTTTTGCATATGGACTTGATCAAAATAGAACTCATTTCATGGATTACATCACGAATAACCAGCATAGACAATATCAGAGATGCACGGCCTCAAGCAATAGAATACACTACGTTACCTCTCTATGCTCACCGAGAAATATGCATTTCCCTTGCCATTATATTGACCCTCCAAATAAGGAAAACCATGATTAGAAACCAGAATAACACTAATCACAGTCATCGCACACGTTATCCAGACGCCAGTGATATAGTACATCTAACTTAAATGCAGCACTTGCAGTGCTACCCCAAAGTCCACCGCCGATCAGGTACGCCGCCGATGCGACTCCGCGCTTGGACTTGGTGGTGTAGGGATATTCTTCATTCTAGGTCCAGCCCTAGGTTGAATACATTCTGTTTCATATGCCGCCTGGAACCATGCAAATACATACACCTTCACGCAAGACTATTTGTTTATAGCGTACGATGCATACATCTAGGCTTCTCTTCAAACAATCGCGTGGTCATCTTGCACTCGGAATATTATGCTCAATGGAGACCTTAGATCCGAGCATCAAGGCGGCATCATCCCGTCCTGGTCATAACACCAATGACAAATCCATACAGTATAGATGACGTGGGCTACAGAAGCCTTTTCAATGTCAGCATGGCATATTGGCCATGCGAAGTGAATTCAATCTGCAATAAGAGGAGGGGATTGGGGCCTGTGTGGTCGCCTGACTGTAAGCAGTGACAGGTCCTTGGTTATTCACTCTCCAAAGCTGCCACTAGTTGGAAGCTCTTGGTTGCTCGCTTTTTGAACGAGTGTTCAATGTGCTGTTTCTTTCTTCTTGCACATCCCGTTGAAAGCGTTGCAAGAAAAGCGACCCCGAATCGCAAAAAGTCAACAACATTATCCAAAGCCTCGTGGTATCTCTCACCATTCTCATAAAACCTAACATGGCTCCTCAAAAGTTTTCTCCGACCTACTTTGAGTATGGTGTACTTTAAGAAGGTTTTGATGCAGTATCTAACACTTTCTAGGTTCCTCGATTCCGAGATCATCAGCCTACGCCCCAGTGTCAGTTTCAGCACGCCTTCATATTCATTCAAGATTCACAAAAAGCTCCTTGCAGCCAAATCCGAGTACCTCATACAAAAATATGAGACACATAAACAAGACAGCGGAGAAGGTAATTTGTCCCTGGGGGAAACACCTGCGAAGATAGTTGCCCGTTTTATCGAGTGGGCGTACACCGGGGACTATTCGCATTTCTCTCGAGACGCTCCAGCCGGAGTAAAATCAGAGGGTTCAAACAAGAGAGCTCATAGTGGTGTTACCAGGTTGGGATGTGCAACGGAAGCAATGCCTTCCACTGTGCACTTTGATCTTTACATCTTCAGCATTGCGTACTCCATCGGTGGACTAAAGCGCCTTTCCCGCAGCAAGCTCTGCTCGTCCTTGGAAAACATGGGCACGTCTGAGGAGGAAAAAAGGCAGACCGTTGAGGTTCTAAGGAGAGCCTTCAAAGAACCTAAAGAAATCCAGGAAGACGATTCCCTCTTGGACTCGTTGGCACGGTTGGCAGCCTATCGAATTAAGAGCCTCTGGGCCCTGCCTGAATTCTGCGACCTCCTGCAGAAAGAAAGAACACTTCTTTCTAAGGTACTGTCTCAAGTTCGCCCACCAGACAGCTTTTCCTGGGAATGCACAACTGAGCTCTGAGTATGGGAGAGAAGACTAATAATCGAGCGATGTCATGTCTCCTAGTTGACTTCATTGCTCGAACATTGTCTGGATTGTATCGAAGGGATGCTTTCAATGCGATTCTAGTGGTAGCTACAAATGATAATGCTCAATCTGATTGACTACCGACAAAACGTAGCTACATCCAAAGCCAACCGCAGTGGCCGAGCCTGTTCACCATGCCATAATCTCTACACACAAGAAGAAACAAGCCTAATAACAGACTGAATTCTTTCCCCATTACTAATAGCAGCGTTTCATAAATTGGATGAGTTCCTCTGAAAGTAACTATCACATCAAGGGCAATAGTAAGAGGAGACTGAAGAACGTTCCTTGCATGGGAAACAGGAAACACCCCATGACTGAACAGACAAGCCCACATAATAAATAGTCTTACTGCATATGTCGCCGCGAGAGATTTTCGACAGATAATTGCGATTTCCAAGCTACCGATTGACCACTGCTCAAACGTCACGTTATAGGGAAAGTATAGCAGAGACATGAAAAAAGAAAAAACAATAAAAAAGAAATGGGCCCGAACCGCGATTCGAACGCGGGACCTCTCGCATATTAAGACCAGTATATGGCCCGAGAGCAACCCGAAGCGAGAATCATACCTCTAGACCATCCGGGCGATGATGTAATGTTTTCATCTACTAAGGAAATATATTGGCCACTCATACATCTCTGAAATCACCGTCCGTTCCAGCATCAAGCGATATTCCAAAACCATGGAGCTTCCACTCAACTCTTTTCTGATGCGACCGTTCTTGACGATGTGTATGCCGATATAACGGTACATCTATTTAACAGTAATGTTTGTCACCCTAGAGAACTGAAGAGCGTGTTTACTGTGTTCCAACCCTGCAGAGGCAGATGTGGTTTGGCTTTTGGCCTTACATAGATTCAATCCGATATGGCATTTCGATCTCGGATTATTACCTATAAAAACCCCTCATGCTCGATCTTATAGATCGTATCTTGACTACTCTCTACTGACTACCAGATTGTGAATTCTCGCCTTGGTGGTCCTTGATCCATCCGAGGTCCTTTATCGGTAAACACACATCCATAACCACCGCCTCGCTGGTCGGAACTTTTCGTTTTAGGAACCGATAATCGCAATGGATGTTTTCTTTGGGATTGACACTGGTAACTCGAGGGCTTCGGAGTAGATTGGAGGCGGTTTGGCACTCAAGCCCAACCCTGTCGTGGTCCTAATATGTGGGAGTCTGCGAGGATTCGTTGGTGTGTGCCATGCTGTCGATGCCCAGATTATATATAGTTATGCTCACCCCGAGCCACGCCATCAATAGACGCGAACATGGGCACGTCTACAATAAAAAAACCCCATATTAACCTGCCTTCTAGAGCTCACTATTGCAGAAACCAACGATCGTATGGGAGGACCGACGAAAACAGACCGAAATACTGACGAATTTGATGCCATGAAGGGTTGCGATAATTGCACGATTGCAGGAAAACAGGAAAACCCCCCCCCCCCCAAAAAGAAAAAAAAAAAGATAACCTGTCGGGGAAATTTCGGAACTTAGCTGACACGTTGCCTAATTGCATGCCTCGAAATACAACATATCGAAGCTTGTTATATCCCAGCTATTTGGCTAAGATTGTGTCTAGATAGTAGTTTTCGTTTGCGCGAGTTTAGAGTATTGAATAGCTATCTGTATTGTAGATCATAGATAAAAAAGTGCTATCATAAAAATCAATGGCGCCCGGATGGTCTAGAGGTATGATTCTCGCTTCGGGTTACTCTCGGGTCATCACAATGATCTAAATATGCGAGAGGTCCCGCGTTCGAATCGCGGTTCGGGCCCTTCTTTTTTTCTTTTTCTTTTCTTTTTACTACTCACTACATAGTAGTACTGCTACATACAATATAATTTAAGTGCTGATCAGATTAGCTGACTGACAGACATATAGGAAATAATGTCGAAGATATGTGAATATACACCGGTCTTACTTCATGTAGATGATCCTGTAAATTAGTTATCTGAAGGACTTTACTCCTACATGTACCACGGCTGTCAACTCGCATTACACAACTTGCAGAGACAAAAATTACTTAACATTATTCATAAATCAATATCATCAATTCATCCAGAACAAGACATTCACGATTAAAAGATACCGTGGAGCACAAACTCCACCCTTGATATCCAAAACCATGTCGCTGCTCCTCATCACAACCCAGCCCCTATAGACGGGATTTGACCGATGTCTGGGTTGCAGACATCGGAGACGATGGACACTCAAGCAAACGGCTCATCTGCGGATCATACAAAGGCTCCGCAGACACAGTAGCCTTAATCCTCCTCCCAAAGTACTCAATCTCAACGCCCTCACCCTCACCCACTCCACTAGGTAACCAGGCATAGGCAACAGGCCGACGAACCGTGTATCCAAACGCAGCAGTAGTAACATACCCCACAGTCCTGCCCTTATAATAGACAGGCTCCTTACCCAGAACAACAGACAGGCCATCATCCACAGTCAAACAGCGCAGCCGCCTCTCAGGCGTTTTCTTCGCCAGACGCGCCAGCGCAGCCTTTCCAACAAAGTCATCTTTCTTTCCCACATCAACAGCAAACCCAACACCGGCTTCGAAAGGATTATGCTCTGTGCTCATATCGGCGCCATAAACGCGGTATCCCTTCTCCAGCCGAAGGGAGTTGAAGGCGCTCCGACCAGCAGCGACGAGGCCGTGCGGTTTTCCAGCCTTCCAGATGGAGTCCCAAAGCCGGTGACCGTACTCTGCGGTCGTCTGAATTTCCCAGCCGTACTCACCGACGTATGATTTTCGGAAGACGGTCACCGGGATGCTGTTGATTGTTGCCTTTTTGGCGCTCATGTAGGGGAGGCCGGTGTGGGAGAAATCGTCTGTGCTGAGTGGGCGGATTACGTCGTGTGCGCGCGGTCCCCATAGTCCGATGCAGCAAGTGCTGCCGGTTATGTCTCGGACTCGAACCCAATGGGCGGGGGTTTGTTGGGCTTGGTAGCGGGCTTCTCGAGAGAGGTAGGCGAGGTCGTTGGCTGTGTTTGCGCCGATTTGGTAGAGATTGTCCTCGAGACGTGTGACGAAGATATCGCTGAGGATGCGGCCGTGGTTGTTTAGGAGAAGAGTGTAGATGGTGCTGCCTGGCTTCGCGGCGACGTCGGCTGTAGTCAGGCGTTGAAGGAGACGGACTGCGCCTGGTCCGGACACCTCGAACCGGTGGAAGGAGGTCATGTCGTACATAGCCACAGCGTTCCGTGTTTTCCACGCCTCGACTGCTGCAATGGGCGAGTAGTATCGTGCGGACCACGTGTCACGGGGAACAGGCTTCCACTCGGGCGGAAGAGACCGGATGAGGGGTGCGTTGGATTCGTACCAGAATGGGCGCTCCCAGCCTCCGAGTTCCAAAAAGTAAGCTTCTAGCTGCTTTTGCTGAGCGTAAAACGGGCTGGTTCGTAGCTGTCGCGGCGATTCCTTTGGTTGCATCGGATGGAGGATATCGTAGATCTCGACGAAGTTCTGCTGCGATGTCTCGTTTACGTAGGACCGGCTCAGTTGGACTTCTTCGAAACGGGATAGTTCGCACTCGGACATGTCAATCGTGGATTGGCCTGTGGTGAGCAGCTCTGCCATTGCTCGTGCTACACCGGCCGAATGAGTGACCCATACTGCTTCCGCAACGTAGAAGCCGTCGAGATTGGGTGCCTGTCCAACGAGGGGACCACCATCTGGGGTGAATGAAAATATGCCGTTGAAACCATCGGCAAGCTGGCTACCTTGTAGAATGGGTAAGAGCTCTTGGGAGGCCTTCCAGGCCGGGTCAAAGTCCTCGCGAGTGAAGTCCAGACGTGACGGCATGTTATGCTCGTCCACATGCTTCGGGGTGAGATCCAATGAAGCTGCAACGACAGGCATTGGCCGGTGTCCGTAATAGCCGATACCATACTGATCGCCGTGTTCGCGGTAGTAGAGATCCTGGTCTTGATACCGCAGTATTGGAAGCTCCGCATTCATCCCATTTATCAGGGTGTTGGCCTCCCGTCCAGCGAGAGCAGGCAAGGCAGTAGTTTTGGCGTATTGATGTGCGAGCGGAAGTAAAGGGATCGGGACGCCGACCATGGCTCCCAACTCGACACCCCAGAAACCGGCGCAAGATATGACAATGTCGGCAGAAACGGTGCCGCGCGGTGTAGCCACGCCTGTGACACGATTCTCGGTTCTCTCAATGCCGGTGACGGGAGTTAAGCCCATGTAACGAACGCCAGCCTTGCGAGTGCGTTCAATGAGGAGTTGCGTTGCGCGCGCTGCTAGTGCTAAACCGTCGCTCGGGATGTGTAGACCCCCCAGTACCAAATCCTTATTGAGGTGTGGGTATATCTTGACGCACTCCTCCCCGCTTACGAGGTGCGCCTCTACACCCCACGAAGAGGCCAAGCCGTGCTTGCGTTTGAGGTCATGAAGGCGTTCAGGTGTAGTCGCCACCTCAAGGCCTCCCACTTGGTTGAAGCAGCTCTGTCCATCCTTTTCCAACGACAGTAGCTTTTCGACGGTGTAGCGTGCAAGATGGGTCATGGTCTTTGTCCCCACTGTTTGGAAGACGAGACCGGGCGCATGCGACGTAGATCCGCCTGGCATGTGCAGGGGGCCCTGCTCGATGACGGTAATGTCCTTCCATCCTCGTGAGACCAGCTCGTCAGCCAGGTTGGTGCCCACAATACCTGCTCCAATGATGACGACTCGTGTTGTTGAGGCCATTGTTGGAAAACGATTGACTCGATACCCGACCGGTCAATCAATGGGATATGACATGATACATGATCCCGGTATGCTGCTCGAGGCAAGCATAGCTGATATAGCTTGAAATGCACCGAGATGCGGAGAAACGGCAAATATCCGGGCCGGCCATGAATTATATCTAGAGTACATGGATATGGTATATGCGAGGGACATTTTTGCCCAGAACGGCATGACTGGTTCCAGACTGGAGAGCCCCTCCACACCTCGCTATCAAAGGTGGAGAGACGCACGTACACTTTCACTGATTAGATAGGTTCCGGCCAATAGGAAATGAAGTGAATAGACTTGGCCGGTCGGTTCAAGGAATGTTTTACCATATGGAGTGAAGTGGTGGAACCATCATCCGTGAATGAACATGTTAGTGAGGAGAAAGAGGAGAAGTTGATCAAGACGGTCCGCCGGTCCGCCTGATATCACGGCCCGTATACTTATCACCTGATTTGACAAGTACTGCATGTCAGATAACCAGGGTACTTGTAGGTTGGTAGTTCAATTATCATTGCTTAAATAGAAACTCCTTTGGGTCTGTCTGATTGGGTGACTGAGCTGCGGACTTCGAATATCAGCCTCAATGCTACATATTCGACGTTAGCTTTTAGATAGTTATACTGTAGCTAGTAAGTCTTGTTTCCTGTATCTTCGCCATTTGGACCATATCAACTTGGTGCCTTACACTGGTAATTTGAGTTTCACCACCCTTGCCTGCGAAATCATTATCTGCTGGTTTTGTATTGATAGTCAAGTGAGCCACTGTGTAGCTCTTGCTTTTGGCACTGGCTTCGTTGACATGCTCTACAGATATATTGAGATCGATGGTTTGGAAAGAACAATTGCAATCAATTTGTCATATAAAACATTCAAAAACAGGCTATCATTATCAGGTCATCATGACATATATAATGTCTCCCCACTCTCACACTCGCATATGGAAGGAGGCAAATCAGCAAATACACCCCAGATCGTCCAATTGTTATAGGAATATACTTTCCCAGAAACTTGAACCAAATCTCAACCTCAATGCAGTCTCAAATGACCATCCCGGTCATCCGCATCACTGAGGGCGTCGGTGATGCGCGATCCATCGCCCTCGTGCAGGAAAGTATCGTAAATAGCGGCCCCAACGAAGCAGCCCACGACCGGGGCTAGGACGGGAATAGCAAAATAATAGTGGTCCGAGCTGAACACTTCTCTGCCATAGACAAAAGAAGAGAAGAGTCGGGGACCGAAATCTCGAGCCGGGTTGATGGCCTAGTTTCACAGTGAGCATCCGCGACGAGATCGATTCGATAGCTGGAAGAGGGGAAAAAAAAAAAGAGAACCTACATATCCAGTCTGCCAACCAAGCGCAGCCCCGATCGCCAGAAGCAGCAAAAAGTTCGACAGCTGAGGCGCAGGAAATCTCTCCGCATTGACTGGGTCAGAGATTCCCAACAAGCCAAACATCAACACCGCCGACGCGAGCAGCTCCGAAAACACCGCCTCCCAGTTCGACTCGAAGATATCGGCGGGATAAGTGGAGAAGATACCCGCGGAGTGGTGTCCACTTGGGCTGAGGATCGACCCACCCGGGATGGTATACTCGGGGTCCCATGCCTTGATCGCCGACCGATAATTGATATACACGATCGCGGCGCCGACGAACCCGCCCAGGAACTGCGCGAGCAGTTTGCCTGGGAGCTTTCTCCATTGCCCTGGGGAGGGACGGACGAAGGCCATGACAATTGAGATGGCGGGGTTGATTGTGGGGCTGGGATCGCTGAGATAGCCCGAGAGACAGACTGCCGCTGCCCAAGCGAAGTTGATCGACAACCAGGTGCCGTAGTGGTAGTCTGAGAGGAGACATTGTGCGACGACGCCGTCGCCGATGATAATCAGAAGGGCGGTGCCGAGGAATTCGGCCATATAAGGCTTCAAGGCCTTGCGAGAGAGCCGGGGCATGTTGGTAAACATTGTCTCCGATCGCGAAGAGTGGTGATAGGAGATGGGTTGAAGATGGAAAGATGGGGAAGATGTCCCACTTCTCTTGTTTGTCCTTCTCCTCACCGCTGTCGATCTTCCCGATACAGTTTACTTGAAAACGACATACTGACGTGGTGGTAAAAAGCTTTCGGATTCTTCGGGGGTTCAGAAGCTTGACCAGCAGAGCTTATTAGTGAGCAGTTCTTGGATTGCGAGACTTCTGGGAATTGTTTGAACTTATTAACAACAGACATATCCCTTGTTCATGTAGAGCAATTGCTGTTTTGAATGCGTATACCTACTTCGCAGGGGATTTGCAAATTTAATATATCGACAAGGAATATTTCAGGACAATATCCCAGCACGATCGGGGCATCGATCTCCGCTATGCCAAAAATGACGCTAAAAGGGATACTTTTGGTAGGGATCGGCGAAACTCTAGACAAGTGATTGAAAATTGTAAAAAAATTGTAAATTCTGGTATTTCTGAAACAGAACCGTTTAGATTTTGCCTGTGGCTGGCATTATTTATTGACTTGATATACGGATACACAGTAGGTTGATAATATCAAGTCCTTCCGCATTGAACTGCGCAGACTTCATCCAAAGTAATCGTCAACACATAGGTCAATACTGGAATCGGATGGTTGATCGATACTTGGCCTAGAAATTCACTCATTAAGCTCAAAATGTCTTCCGCCATCGTATTCTTGGTGATTTTTAGGCGCTACGATTAAGTGCTCTTGGTATAGGGCTTCCTGACTGATATCCCCAGCAGTTGATAATACAGTAACTGGTCACCTCGGATCACTGACTGCGAGACTTGCCTGATGGTATATCGTGCCTCCAAAACCAGACTATCCAGAAAGTGTGGGCTCCACTTGCGTGGAAGACTACCAACAGAGATAAGACAGTACAGGCCCAGGGAATGAAACTCTAACAATATAGGGCAAAATGGTTCAAGCTTTCAGCTCTGAAGCTAGGAACAGTGTGGACCAAACAATTGATCAAAAATCACACCACACATGGGAAGAAGACTCTGACAGTAGCAGAATAATACGATTTTAACCACTACTGCCACGCAAGATGGGATCCTGCACGGTCGACTCCAAAGCAAGGGGGAATATAATATTTGAGCTCTCAACGCTTGGCATGCTGTCTGTTAGGGTCGCGAATGTGATTCCGCAAGGGCGCTTATTCTTCGGAGCTACCGTTGATGTTGCTCTTCCGAGAAGACTGAGATTTTCATTTTATTCAGAATAGAGTTGTTGCTTTACGCCGAGGAAAGACCCTAGCACAGCGCAATTGGTTTGCCTGTTCACTCCTTGTCTTAGAACCCTGTTGGGTCTATACAACCGTCCATAGAACTTTTCCTTCATCAACAACCCCAACATGTTAGAAACAAAAAATGAATCCCCAGGCACAGTGACAAGGCAGACAACCTCCCCCAAATCATTACAATGCTTGTTACTTCTCACATGAACAACCGACTAGCGAGCCTGGCGACTTGGATCTGGCGGCTATCCGCCACAAGGTCGATCGGCGTATCTTGCCATTTTTGTTCTGCTGCTATTTATTACAATTCAAAGATCAAGTAATGGATAACGTGAGTTTAACACTCCACACCACTCCTGTTTAACAATCATGAGATCTACAGTATGCGGGCGTCATGGGGTTGAAGGAGGACCTCAATCTGAAAGGGAACATTTTAGCGACGTAGTAAGCGCATTATACATCGCAAATGTGATAGCTGACGTAACAAACAGTAGGGGTTAATTGCCCATCTGATGCTACCTTGACTCACCCTATTCAAGTATACCTCCAAAAGTTACTCCAGCAAATTGGCTCAGCATCAATGTGGCGCTCAGCAGCCGGAACGAGAAACTGCATAACTCTCCCCATCGCACGCATTGCTCTCGGGATATTCGAAGCGACCGCATGCCCGTCGCTGATGCTCATCAGTAGCCTTTACTACACCAAATCAGAACAGGCCCCCCACTTCGCTTCTTGGTAATTGGGCCTGGGCGTGGCGCAGATCTTCGGCAGCGTGATCTTTGTTGGCTTCCAGCATGTTCAACATACCTTTGCTGGCTGGCGCATTATGTTCCTGGTTCTGGGGCTGGTCACAGTCATAGCTGGGCTGGCCACATGTGTGTTTCTGCCAGACACGCCCATGCAGGTGTCGTGGCTATCTGACGAGCAGAAGAAGGTGCTACTGCAGCACACAAGCGTCAATGAGACCGGCATTCGGGGTACCAAGTTCGACCCCCAGCAAATCCTAGAGGCCCTCCTCGACCCACAAGTCTGGCTCTTTGGTTTAATAATCGCATCTGTGGGTGCCCTCCAAGGAACCTCCAAGGGGACACTCTCCAAAACCAACTAAATCCAATAGCAAACATGCAGCAGCGGCGTAATCCTAGCTTAATCCTCAACCCTATATCCGGTTTCAACTACGGCGGCCCTATCTCCGCCCTCCTCAACTGCCCCTCCGGCCTCTCAGCATATTCTTCACCCTGCTCGTCGGCTTCGGCATCCGAACGGCCTCCAACCGCTGGTTTTGGGTCTCCATCTGCTGTATCCCCGGCATCATCGGCGCCGGACCGATGTCGTTCCTCCCCAAGTCCAATCGCGGGGGCGTCCTGGCCGGAATATATCTAGTCAATGCGATTATGGGCCCGATTCCCATAATCCACCACTAGGTGGCGGCGATCTGTGCGGGTCACAAAGCGGGCGTTTCTCCGGTGCCTTCGTGACGGCTTTTGGGTGTATTGGGAATATTATCGGGCCGCAGACGTTCCAGGAAAGGGATGCTCCGGAGTATAAGCCGGCGTAGATTTCGGTGCTGACTACGCAGGCTACATCTGGGCTACTGGCTGTCGTACTGTTCCGGTATTATGTGTGGGAAAACGGGCGGAGGGATCGTGAGGAGGCTGTGCGTCGAGAAGAAGGGGTGGCAGAGGAAGAGGCTCAGGATGGACTGACTGATAAGCAGAATAGAGATTTGAGGTATGCGTACTAGGGAGGCATAATGCTTGGATATCAGTCATATCAAAACCGACCAAATGCCGAGTCGGTGTTTTGGTGCGGTGGCTGCTATATTATGATTGATTTACTTCTATCAAGCGTGGCATCTTGTTCTCAGGGGATCGCATGGTCTGTTTGGTGGGCTCGAAGCGAACATACCATACCGAAGGAGGTTACTTTGCGTCCAATCATTATCATAATGCATGTTATTGTTGTTTGGAAGAAATCTGCCCAATAGATAGTACTTTATAAAGTGAGCTACATGCATCTATGATGATGACTTACCCAACTCGGTCTTCGGACTCGAGGGGCACGATTTTCCTCAATACGATAAGGACAGGGTGCGTTTAATGACCGACAAGTGCAGACCAGACTTACTAGTCATTAGCTGATGTATTCTTGGTCGAACTCGGTATGCGCTGTTAATGACTGGCATAGATCTAAGTTGTGTAATTGCAATTCTATGGTGGTACAGTTCTTTTTCTATCACCCCAACCCTAATACACGCCCGGACACCCGGGAGTGCAACGGCGTCGAACCATCTCCTCACACCACCCAACACGCATTGAGTATTCCCAAAACTACGATCTACTAAGTAGATCCCGCAACCACTCCACCCGAGCCGCCACAGCCCGCCGACTAATAGGCGCATCGGGCACTATAGTGTCAAAGCCATGCCAGCAGCCCGGCCACAAATGCAGCTCAACCGACACCCCAGCTCTCAACAGGGCCGCAGCAAAATCCACACCTTCATCACGAAACAGATCCGCCGTGCCAGCATCAATCAAAGCAGGAGGCAAGCCCTCCAGATCTGTAGCATGCGACGGCACAGTATAAGCAGACACATGCTCGCGGTTCTTGCCAAGCGCATAGTCACAAGCAACCATACTCTTCTGTCTCGTCCACGGCTGGATATCAGCACACTGCTTCATGGAAAACGTCTCGTTGCTATCATCGAGCCACGGGTAGATGAGAACCTGTGCGAAAATAGACGGGCCCGCCCGGTCGCGCGCCAGCAGCGAGACACCCGCCGCGAGGTTCCCACCCGCCGAGCCACCGTAGACGATCAGTTTGCGGGGATTAAACCCGAGTTCCTGCGCGTGGTCGCTCATCCACGCCAGCGCGGCGTAGGTGTCGTCTAGCTGAGCCGGCTGGGGATGCTCCGGCGCGAGACGGTACTCGGCTGTGACGCAGACGGCGCCCAGGGCAGTGATGCAGGGGAGTACGGTGTTTGCGCCGAAGAAGCGACTGCCCATGCAGTGGCCGCCGCCGTGGATGTGGAGAATGCCGGGGGTATCCTCGGCGGTGGTGTGCTTCTGGTGCTTTGGGCGGAGGATTGTGGTTTTCATTGGTCCTGTGGGGCCGGGGATGTTTGTGTCTTCGTAGGAGATGGTTTCTTCGTATCCTTGTATGATGGTCTCGATTTTGAGGTCGAAGGCGGCCCGGGCTTTGTCCAGGTCATCTACTAGGTTGAACCTTGGACCTGCTGAGAGGAGCTTTTGCATTTCTTGCAGGTCTGGGTGGATCTCGAGCTTATGGAGATCAGTCGACATTTTGAGGTTGAGAATCAGGAACAATTATAATTGGTTGTATAGTAGAGGCAGAGAGGGTCGTTGATATAGATTTGGCTGTAGTTTGTAGGAACCAAAAAAAAAAGAGAAGAAAACGACGATCTTTATATATATACGAGAACCCGATGATTGCATGGAATAGAATGGAATGTACGAATGATGAAAAATCAGTAGAACATCACGCTGAAGGGAAAAAACTGCGTTTGTATAATTGATTGGATGTTCAAGCTATTTGTTTAGCTCGTGCCCGCTGCCTAATTAGTGCGCTACTAACTAGACGCGATGTCTCGGGTGTCTGCAAGTGGCGACCGCTCGTAGCCGTTATAGAAGCAATGATAGTTGATTGATAGCTGTCAGATTTTAGTGCTCATAGCCCTTAAGGTCGAGTAAGATTGTAAGCAAATCTTCTTTAGGTACGGATGGCGCACATCCTTGCTTGGATATTTTGGGCTGAATTCGCTTAGTTCAGTTGGTTCTTGTTAAATGAAACAATCACCTGGCTAATAAAAATACCATGACAGTTTTATGCCTCGCAAGTAACCCCATACTTATTGCAACATAATTATATACACAAGACATGATTGAATCTTGTATACGCTGTGCTGGTTAGCCGGACCGCCGGAAACCGCCCCCATTGAATCGCCCTCCCGTTGCGCATTAGCGCCTGTCCCATGCCTTGGATAGGCCCCGAGAAAACTCCCACGCCTTACGGTCTAGCATGTCTGCTTACTACTTGACAGAGGCCATCCGAACTCACAGCTATAGAGGCTGTGAGTTCAAGGAATGGTCCATAAGAAACTCAGAGAGTTGTAGTTCTGATTTACCCTACCATCACAGTAAACCGATGTCCCACTGAAGCCAAAATGTCATGATATCTTTAATAGCCGAGTGGTAATCCTTTACAACAACTGAACACATGGATCAAACGGAAATCCTCCCGATTATTACCTTTCCTCGACAGCTTCTTCCGTAGCAGACGGATCTCAACTCCACTTCACCAGATAAACCCCATGCTCCACCGATAGGCGTGTCCCACTCTCCTTTCGCACCAAACGGCGAGCTTTCATCGTTGCTGCCGCCAGGTGACCAATTTTCCATGAAACAGGAAGCAAGTTTTCACCGCTATCAGAAATCCAAGTGTCTTTAGCGGCAGGCAGTGGGCCTCATTGATGCCATTGGCACTGTTTTCAGAACTCGAAGTATGAGGTGCCATCTCAATAAACCAGTAACGCGAAACTACTCTTAACGACTATATCAAATATTAGCACACCACTCGAGTACAGCCACCGCAAGAGACTCACCGGAAGGGCGATACAAGGCACAAATAAGCACCGGAAAGCCGAGCGCTGGGGAATCACCGGGTCAACCGGGGCCTAAGGTAAACAGTAGCAAAACCTCCTTTCGAGGCGCTCAGACAGTACTCCCTTTCTTCCGTCCATGTGCAGTGGAAGACTGCAGGCTATTAACCCTCTCCGAGAAGCTTGATACACCACTGACCGAGTACAGCGGTTAGCGGAAGGTAAGAATTCCGCTTCGTTGCCCCTATGGGCGGCAGTAGACCGCATTGACCACCTGCGCGCCGGCTCCCAGAGCGAACCCAAGAGCGAGGACGACAATGTGTCATTAGACGAAAGCACTTGTATATGAGCAAAACTGAATCCGTTCTCTGGGTACGTTTAGCAGATGGTTGCACTTTTCATCGCTACCAACGGACGATGGGATGAGATTAAGCAACATTTCATGCATCGGCTCATTCCAACGTTTCCGCGGTTGTCGTCGGTAGTGAATCCCATGCCTGAGAAGCTGTTTGCCGAGATAATTACCTAACAGCGAGAACGCCTATGTGCCACTAGACGAAAGCACATGGCAGAAGGTTGCTCGTTTCATCTTTACCAACGGATGACGGGAATCTTTATCAACGGACGACGGGATGAGACTTAGCATCACCACATGCACGCGACTCATTCCAACGTTTCCGTGGTCGTCGCCGGTGGTAAATCCCATTTCCGAGAAGCTGCTTGCTGAGGAAATGACCCAGTCGTATATTACAACTCTTGATTCCTTGCCTTGCATGGAATCCGTAGTCGCAACCTTGGGCAGGTTTGAGTACAGGAAGGCACCCTGCTGCATGAGCGGAAAAAGTGCCTTCCAGTATTTTAAAGAATGAGCCATGTACGGGGTGATTATTGCGATGTCTGAAGCTCGATATCCACCAACTCGGAAGTTTTCCGCGATAAGGATGGGTATAATGCTATAAATATAGTTAAGAGCACGCTGTGTGCGATAACCAATGCCGAATGTTTCGCTTGGCTGGGGATGATGGTGCATATCCTAGAGGAATTCAAGTAAGCCATCCAGCTGATAAAACGCGAACGGTGTACTTACTCTTCAGCACCAAAAGATGCCACTTTAAGTGAAACAATAATAACGGGAATACTGGTTGGATTACAGTCAAGGCGATTATGAAGCCACGAGTTTATCGAGTGGCCAATATCAGTGCTTGTAGAAAATAAAAAGCGTAAGCACCATGATATAACTGATAATTCAATGTGTCTGGTATTCTCTGTCCAAATACCCAGTCGATTTGTGGGCGAGAAAGACGCCTGCTCTGGAGACATATAAGTAAGCCACCCAGCTAGTAAAACAGGACGGATGGTAGGGACAAGCATGGAAAGCGTGTACTTCTCATAATTAAGATAAGCCATTCTAAGCTTTACGCCGAGAGCGCTAATTGGCGGGGCCCGAGACGACCTGGTCTGCCAGTGACCCACTCCACCAAAATAAAGGTATATCATACCCGGACGCATGTGTGACACCGGTTTTGGTATCTGATGCAGTTGGTTCCCCCGAGTTTGATGAAGCACCGGACCCCAGGACCTGAGCCAAGCGGTCAAATGACCAAGAAAGTGCAAGAAGATAGGCCCTTAAGCTCAGACTGAAGCGAATAAGGGTGTTGAATACCTGTACGGGCTTAGTTGTAGCAGAAGGCTACGTATACCATACGCATAACAAGGAGAGAAAAGAGGAAGAAGTTTATCCTTTCCAATAGATGTCGACAGCAAACTACTACATACTTATATCTGGGTAGGGGAGTCAAGCAAAATAAGACTGAGTCACATGAAACAGGGGCAAATTCCTATTGTAACTTGGCTTTGTTACTGAGATGCGAGTAGAAGGCTGTTTGTCACTTGATTGAACAGTGTTACTTCCAATCACTGAGCTAATTGACTGGATATTGTCATTGTAAAAGCTTCAAGGGTAGAGGGATACAGGGAAATCAGTGAATAATGTTAGTATAGCAAAGTATGAAATTCGTATGTGGAAAGAGGACGACGAAGTTGGAGAGTCATTCACAATCAGGATATTGAAATCCCCCTCTCGTGGGTGAGAAGAATCCTTGTATATCATTCAAAATTTCATTATTCTTTCTTTGGAAAGTTTTTCTAGATAACTTAATTATCTGACATAGCTTGGTGAATACTCCTTCTCGAACGCATAATTTGGTTGCCTAGTACATAATGCGGAGACATCTCGTAGTACAACTACATGAGGAGGGCAATTATATTGGCCATCAGTCACAGTAAATTTCAATGTGAGAAGTAAGCAGATTAGGTAGAGGACTTCAATACTGGAAACATATGGGATGAGAGTTGTTTTGGAGTTCAACTGCGCTTCAGTACACCTAGTAATCACCAAGAAGAAACGCGTGATTTCCTTGATAGAAACTGGCAATAGAGATAGTGTATTACGTTGCTCGTGATAACTTCTACAAAACAAGTGACAATATTGGCCGTTGGTATCAAAGCCGTAGCACTTAACACAACTATTCAAAGTATCCCTGATTTAATAAACACCCCGCGAGCTTTCAGCAGCGTCATAGCAAGACATGAGACAGTACCCGGTATGCAATTAATCCGAAATCAACTTGACAAGCTATCATCCCCACTATACTTGGAGATCCTAGCGAATATCTCTTCCACATCTTCCCAAATGCGCTTACGATTCTGCAAGCCTTTCAGCTGGCCCCAATTGCGACGAACGTCGGTATAGAGCCGGTACCAGTTTGTTGCATTCCGGGGTAGTCGAATCTGGGGTGTCCTCGGCCACGGGAGAAGATCACCGACAGCGTCAGAAGAATACTGCCCCTCACTTGCCAGTCTGCTCTTATAGGTCTCCGTATATTGACAGAACAGTTTGGTCTCATTTGCTGTCATTTCAGTCCAGCGCGACGGCGTATGTGCGCATTCTGTCTCCGGCCATGCTTCCCATAACCAGGGCATTTCTTCGCGAACAAGACGGTACCACAGCCCATTGGGGAGGTGCTGAAAAGCCCTAGATGCGAGTCTCAGGTTTGCGATATCGCGAGAACCGAGGAACCCGAGAATGAGGTGTTGGATCTCAAACGGTAGAGTTGCAAGAGGATCATGCACGCTTGTGCCGTGACTCATGTGTAAAGACAGGTCAAACACGCCCGCTGATGCATCGAAGCTAGCATCTTCGACTGCAGCTTGAAGAATCCGTGGGAGATAGGGGACGTGGAGTGGGTTAGCCGCTAGAAACTCGCTTCCCGGTTCGTGGCCCCAGAATTGTTCCTGTGCGCTGAGCACTTCAGCGCAGCGAGGAATTTTGTGGAAGTCGTCGTAAGAGAACTCGGAATCGCGCCACTTGATGAGTCCTGCGACATTTATGTGGTCAAAACGGCTCTGCGATTGACGGCAGAAGATGTCGAAGCACCAGGGGTGAAAAGGCATCGCGAACTCATCCCCTTGCATGTGTTCTGGCTGTGGTAGGTGAGCTATAGCTCTTGAATAATCTATCTGGATTGTTGAGCACAAGAGGGTCTTCACTCACATCAAAATTGATATTGTCAGCCCACGGATGAGAGACACCACCTCTTGCCGGGAAGACCTTGTCTGGTCCCATATCGCGCGAAGCCATTCCATCTATCAAGCCTGAGAGAAACCACGGTTGAGAGAGCTCCCAGTCTTCGCACAGACCATCGGGTCGCCAGTTCCCGTTCGACTGGTTTCTATGGACCAAAAATTGAGCGGTTCGACAACCTCTCATTTCCTCGAGTGAGATGGCGTAACCAGAGTAGGCGTTGTGTTCTGTGCAGTTTGGCCCACCAATATGCTCTAGCTGTTCTTCGGTATATCCATCGGGTATCCCATCCGATGTCACCGGGAAGCTCAACTCAGTTCTTTGCTTGTTTGCTAGATCACTCAGAGCCCGGATGGGCTCTCCTCGCTGTGATCCCAGGTCCACAGTGGTGGAGAGCCAGTCGTAGTACCACTGCATTTCTCGCTCCCCGTCATGAGCATCTTCGTCACTTTCGGAGCGACTCATAGCATCCGTGGACTCGTAGTCGGAATCATACTCATAACCGTCGTGGGAATCATCGGTATGAGCAGCAATATAGTCGGGGTCATCGATCGCATTATCTTCGTATATATTCTCCGTGCTGCTGGAATACATCACAGACATAGTACATCCTTTCTGAGTACACTCTTCCAGGTCTACTTCGTCCACGCCCAGATTGGACTGGTGGCCCGTGTAATCCCATTGGGCGAAATCAGGCTCTCCCAGCTTGCGACTGCGAACGATGTTGAAGCTCACTCCACACAGGTGGCAGTATATCTAACCATTTGATCAATTTGTTGCAGCTCAATAGAGAGGGAACGAGAATTATGTACCTCCGAGTATCCTGCCAATAATTAAGATGAATTCTGTTACAACTTCAAGGATGCGAAGAAAGACTTACCCATTTTTAAACGAGATTTTCCGATGGTTAGACCAAGAATTTTGGAGGAAGTAGTAATTAAACAGACGCAGGAATACTTATATGACTTGTAAACGATGGAGATTCCATGGATAGCTTGGATTCCTCACTTAGTTTAGCGTGTGGTTGCCTGAGCTAGTATGAACTCTCGGAGAACTTTACAGTGTCGGACCCACTGCAAAGTGCTGCCATTGGACCGCGAATAGGCTCCAGCTCATCTGCCTAAGTACCAAGTCTCTTTGAAGCTGTTATGTCAATCCTGGCAAAATCAATAGTGATATGCCATTAGACCAAAGATACAGTGTAGAGTATTGATAGGGCTCGTGCTTGGCAATTTCTTGTAAAAACACTTATTGTCTGGGAATCAAGGCTCTTCCAATGACCGGATTGTTGAAGTATATTCTCTGAAATTTCTGCAACCGAGATAAGCAGCGTATAAAGCGAAGCCTTCACGATTGACATCTCATTGAGCAAGTCGGGCAATGAAGTTCCGCCCTGTAGTGGTTTTGTCTAGCAAACGTAGTCATTCCCTCCGTACAGCCGCTGCATATCTGCCTATTGACCAAGATCATATGAACCCAATTAGTCACCGTCGCTTCTACTCTTATGTACAGAAAGTTCTAATGGTTGGGGTATGGAATGCCTATATTCCAGCCGACTGCACAGGTATCCCTGTTGTGGGAATAAGGGATGGAAACGCGCCCGAGAGCACGAAATTGATGATATCTTGGACCATGGAAAAGCTTGCTGGTTGTTGGAAAACTAAAATAGTAAAATAGTAAGGGAGAAAGGCTGCAAACGCTGCAGGTTAGCTGACCATTTGGCCGGTTGCCAGTCGCTGCTTCTAGAATACCTGTTGATTAAAGGTGAGGCTAAATGATCAGCGTCCCTGGATGTGGGGACCGAACACTGCCACCTAGCCCCCATCATATCTTTATATAGTCAACCTCGCCCTATTTAAGTGACAAGCCATTAAGCTCAACAAAAGACACAACAACAAAAATGGCTCTCAACCGCCTCCCAGAAGAGTTATCAGTCATGATCGCAGAGCAGCTCGACGAAGCCAGTGATATCAACTCCTTCGCACAGTCCAACCGACTCATCTACCCAGTCGTCAACCACCTCCTCTACACAAACAACATCCACAGGGCCAAGGCCTCTGCACTAAGCTGGGGCGCAAAGCACAACAGCTTGGGCACAATAGAGATCAGCATGTCCATGGGAGCCGCAGTCTACAAGAGATGGGAAACCGCTCCCCTAGCGCACGCCGCTAGAGCAGGCCACGCCGCGGCAGTGGAGCTCCTTTTATCGCACGGGGCAAACCCCGACAGCAAAGACAGTGAAACCGACCAAACGCCCCTGTACATCGCTTCGGAGTACGGCTATCCCGCAGTTTGTGAGAAGCTACTTGCCGCGGGGGCGGATGTTAGCTCCCGCAATCAACGAACAGATCAGTACACGTGCGATCAGACGCCGCTGCACACTGCAGCCTTACACGGCAACGTTCTCGTGGCGCAGCTACTTATCAACCACGGTGCAGACATAAATGCCCCAAATGACAAGGGATGGGTGCCGCTGCGAGAGAGCCTCCGATGCGAAGACCCCGAGCTCCAGCCCCGCATGGTCCGCCTGCTGCTGGACGCGGGGGCCCCCGTCGACGGACACCCTGACCATCCCCGCGTGACGCCCTTGCTACTTGCCACTATAAGATTCGATGACGAGAGCGTCAAGACACTCCTCGAGGCAGGTGCCGATCCCAACGCCCGCGACTGGAACAACGGGACAGCGCTCATCGACTCCGTCATCGGGTATCGACGAGACTCAGTCCGTCTATTACTCGAATACGGAGCCGACGTTGACGCAAGGGCTGACTACGGTGGACGGCCCCTGTATCTTGCCGCGCGATACGGTGACCTTGAAATAACTTCCCTTCTGCTGGATTATGGCGCCGATATAGACTTGCCTGCTACCTCCAACGAGCCGGCACTGCACGTGGCAGCGCTTCGAAACGAGCTGGAGACCGTGCGGCTGCTCTTGCAAAGGGGGGCTAACGCTGAAAGCCTGCGGCCTTACGGCTCTTCAGGATTCACCGCTTTATTTCTGGTGGCGCGGTGCAATTTTATAGACGTGGCGCGGGTTTTGTTGGAGTATGGGGCGAATCCGCTTGCTGTGTCTCCGCTTGGCAGCACGCCCTTGGACGCGGCGAAAGAAGAAGGTCATGATGAGATGGTTTCACTTTTCCATGAGCATGTGCGCATGCGAGGTATGCTGGCGGAAGGGAATGATGCCCACAGCATGTCCACGTGATATGTCTTGCTCAATTATTACTAGACACATTACATCTGTATATATTACGTTGTCTTCGAAGGGGTTCCCCTGGCTATCTCAAGACTTTTCAAAACGTAACCTTTTGAAAAAAAGACTTATTGTAGAGATGTTTCCCCCGATCATCCTGCGACGATCAGTTCGGGGGAGGGGGATGGGATCCTCCTTGGGATAAGAATTGCCACGTAAAGACAGGAAGCTGTAAAGCAAAGTTGGTTTATGGTGAGGGGTTACATTTGCTTAGCGCTATCTGGTAGAGTGCTCGATCATCATGATCTTGTTTTGTGAATTGGAGGAATGACGTGTTTGTGTAATGTACCGTGACGAGGTTATTATGGTAGTATATCGAGGGAGTAAAGATAGCCCTGTGGTAAGGAATACAATAGAAGCGAGTACTCATCTGTGGCTAATTACATACTATGGTCTCCTGTCTAATCATCCCCACCTAAATATCTAAGGCACATACTCAGCCGCGCATAAGAATCCCTTGCCCACGTGTGACTAGCACAATGCAGGGCATTGACTTGCTTATACCGCGATCGCGAGACATACCAGCAGAATAACACTCATAAACTAAATTTATTATCTTCCAGTAACAATAATGCCAATAACAATGCATATATCCAACCCAATCCTAAATATTACTAAATATCAACCCACTCGTTAACTAACATGCGAAGCATATATCATCTATCCCAACGCCCGGCCTAGATATTATGATCCCCAGCCCGTACCTTCTCCGGATGTCCATCGGGCAGAACATCCTCAATAGTACCATCGGTATCCTTCAAGTCCTCCTCTACGCTAACATGATCCTTGATCTTGAAGAACACCACAGGGGCAGCGACAATCAGCGACCCGCACAGCAGCACCCAGTTCGAGATGAACTCGTTCATGAACGGCATCTTGTCGCGGTCGAGACTCCACATGACGGCTGCGCCGGCCGATTGCAGGCCCTTGTAGAACCCGGCGAGGTTGGCGAGTTTGCGGCCGGAGTTGCCGAGGGCGCCCATTAGCCTAGAGAATTCCGTGTTAGTAGATGGTCGGGGGGGGGGAGAGGGTGGTTTGGGATTGGGTGCGTACCAGTAAACGTAGCCTTGCCAGACGGCGTCGTACCCGCCGTAGAACATGTACAGGAACATGGGGCCAACATAGCCCGGGGTCGTCCAATCGGTGGGCTCGAAATCCTTGGACGCGACGGTTTCGCGCGTGTATTTCCTCTGCCACTCGTAGCCGCCGCCCCAGACGATCATCGTCAAAGCGAACACGAGTCCAAAGGCATACTTGGCGCGCACACTGCGACGGAATTGCGGGAGGTCAAACAGCGGACCGATAATAACGGCGGCGATGATCTGCGCAAACCAATACAAGAATCCGTTGAGCGCCTTGGTGCGCGTGCCGAAGTGCGCGCCATTGATGGCGTTCTGCTGGTAGGTGTAGAACCAGTTGGAGGTCCAGAACATGGGGAACAGCAGGACGATGTACGGCTCGGAGCGGACGGTGGTCCACAGGCCGATGATCTCGGTCTTCCAGCTGGGGTTGTTCTTGAGGATGACGCGAGACCCGTCCCGTCGGACGATCTTGTCCGCGTCGCATAGGAAGAGGGCGAGAACGGCGCCGGCGAACATGAGCACGAGAAAGCCGATGTAGGTGCCGTCGCTGACGGTGACGTTTGCTTTGACGTGGATGTTTTCGCCAAGGGGGATCTATTCATTCATTATAGTTAGGAAGGGGGGGGGATGTTGCCGGGGTTTGTTGAACGTGATGTCCAGGAATACATACCAAACTACCCAAGCAGCCGCCAATATTGAAAATCGCCCAGAACCACGCGAAATACCGACCCTTTTGTTCTTCGTGGGGGTAGGACATCATGATGGCGCCCTGGGCTGCCCACAGTAAACCGGCGCAGACACCGAGAAGAGCGCCCGCGAAGATGTTGAACCCGGAGACGTTTGCATGCTCCGAGACCAGCAGACTGATGGTGTAGATCGTATACCCAATGCCACCCAAGGACAGCGCCAGGCGAATCCCCATGCGGTTGACAAACGTACCGGCGAAGAAACCTACGACGGCGAATGTACTGTTCAGGGCGATGTTCTGTTCATGTTAACAGTTATCGGAGATAATGTCTTGAAGAGAGCCAGCCGCAAAGCAGGACGAATTTTTCGAAGGAACATACCATGTTGTCGGCCAAGTGTGCGTCGGTCTTTCCACCACCTCCCAACCCGCTCAGCGCATTAAACATGCCGGGACACAGGAAACAAACAAAGGCGACCATGCCCAATTGAATGTGAGGCGACGCATACCAGCCTGCAGACCACCGACCCAGCTTGATCTCCTTGTACATCCATCCCGGCGGGCGTTGTAAGTCCGGCACGGGCTCATCGGCCGCGAGCTGCGGCGGCGTGGTTGGTTTCTCGGTCGCCATGACGGGCGCGACTTTGAGATCTGAGTCGACCATTGGAGGGCTTGAGCAGGCAAGCGAAAGACAGGAACAGTCGTTTGGTGAAACTCCAGGGAAAGTCGGGGTGGATCCCAGACCGGGGACTTTAGCGGTCTTTAAGAACTGAACAGCAACCGCAGTGCCACTGATAGACAGCACAGTTGACTTGGGGGCTGTAGAAATCTAAATAGCAAAGACATCGTCCCCTGGCACTTTACGACGGTAACATTAACCGCTAGTTCAACTGAAGCTAGTTCACTTCACACTGACCAGTACTATTACTAGGGGGGATTAATTGGATGGCTGACCTCTACTCAGCCAGATGAATGGCAGAGTTACACCAGTGGGGAGAGACACGCCCCGATGGAACATTATTTGACCCTCGAGAAATCAAGACAAGTCAGACTAAGACCAGTTAGCTCTAACCTCTTTTTCTCACGATTGCTCTATCTCGCCAGTTATCTTGTGATACTCCTCGGGCCACTCACGTCTCCCCGCCTGGATTGGATCTAACCGAGAAAAGTATGCTGCATCCATGGTCCAGAAACATCAAAACGCCAAACGCCCCACGATTAGGACTAACTGGGGCCTTCACTAACCCGGCCAGTTCCAGTCAGCACCCCTTTTCTTTTGCTCTTTGTTCGCGCCTCCATTGCTCTTTGTTCCCGACCCCTCCCCACCAATCCCCAATCCCCGCAATATCGGAGGAAATCTCAGCATTGGATTGTCGACCATTGAATTCTGGATTCTCTGGAAACACGCAGTCGTCCACTGCCACAGTTACATTCATCTCCGACCCCAAATCGAAGACATTATGTAATTTAACGTTTAGCTCATGAACCCTCGAGATTCCCAGTCACCAGGCCGATCTCTTGATCAAACTTCCCACGATATCAGAGTTCTGGTTCCATCCCCGGGGTTGAGTCAGGTCCTCGTATCGATCCATTTCACACGACACGATGACTGCCACATTGTGGAGGTTACATGAAGGAGACCGTGTGACACCGATGGTGCGATGCGGGCCAACTATTTTTACCAATGCAATCATGGATGTCTCCCTAACCTCCCCCTCGTCCCCGACCGGCCTGTCTGGGCGGCATGGTTTCTTCCCTGTCACTCTTGGCAGTCTGCACTGTCTTCCCCGGTGGGCCAAGGCACGTTGACTGGTGGTAACTTCCCGAGGCCCCAGTCGCCCACACGATGTATCATCAGGCTTGTACAGCAACGTCGCGTTTGATGTTGGAGAAAATAATATAGTCTAATAGAGGATTGAAATAAGAAATGGAAATAGAATATGGATATTTGGTACATCCCCCCGCTGACGATCTTGTTGATCAGATCTCTGGTGAGGTGGGGATTGATTGTCCCACTCTGGAGTTCCATCCCTATTGTCTGGTTCCACTTGGCAGAGCCCATGCACGTTGTATCAAAGATTGGAAGATCATGGTCCTGCAATTCCGGGCAGGTTGAGTACATAGGCAAGAGTAACAAGGACTCGAAATATTTCAGTGTACTCCGCACTACAGTCAAGCCAGGCTATTAAACACACTGTTATCCTTTTCGATGGCACTACTCAGCTCGACATGTGCAACCAGTATTTATATGAGATTCTTTTTCGTGTTCTCTCTCGAGAGTTGAGACTGACTTCTGACGAGGAAAAAGTACGAGTCGAATTTGCATCGTGCCTCAGGCCACATCTCTCAGGCCAAAACACAACGGTGGCCTGGAGCTAAACCCAAACAAGTAGGTGCTCGCCAGGCCACCCGCGCAGGCCTCGGCCCGGGCCCCGGCCAGGTCAGGGGTCAATCCCAACAGCGGGAACAAGCGGTTGGTATGTCCCACTCCTTGAACTCAACTTCAACTCAAGGCCGTGATATCATCCGAAAGAGAGTAAAAACCGGCCGGCCTGACTGGACTGTCGAGAAGAGATACCCGGTCCATGGCAAACAGTCTTCGCAGATGAAACTAGAGTACTCCGTATGTACATCTAGCAAACCAAACGACATAGTCGCAGGATTGGGCTGTCGTCGGTCGTTTCCCCACACCGAACTTGACCGGTCTGAAAGGGCTTTTGCATACCCCCCGATATTGTTCCTTCGAAACGAGTTCGACCCTGAAACCACAGTGTACGAGATGCTCAATCACGACGCAAGGTCGATGCCAGCATCCGAAGACCAATCAAAGCTAGGGAAGGCCACCCCCATCCAACAGATCTGGGAATGCGGAGAATATATAAGGAGGCTTGACACGCTTTGAATACTTCAGGCATTGCGAGGTGACGATGATGATGATACCATTGAATATCTTGGTGAGTAATCACACGCATTAATCTTATATTTAGAGCCACGACAAGAGAGAAATAAATAGATACATAGATAGTCAATGATATTTAGTCGGCTACATCTACAAGAAAAGCCAACAGCCTAGAATCGCTAAATAAAATACAGAAACAGAATTCGAGGTGAAGACTAAATCAAAGTCATCAACCTAAACATGATCCAACCCGCTCCAAATCCGGAAATACCCCACAACCCAAATCTCCGACAACGCTACATAACCTCTCAAGCAACCCTTCCATGGCCGCAGATGTGATCCTGCCCTTGGAAATAACCAACCGCACGCCTAACTGTGCTTGTCCTTGAACCTGGCCTTGACCTTGATTTTCTTCGCCCTTCAGCATCGGATGGGCCAGGGGCATGGTAACAACATGACAAACTGGCGTCCCACCAACTAACCGAATGCGAAAGGGGCATTGATGCCCCGCAAAGTCGATATCGGTTCTGATATCGCCGTCATTCTGGTGCGTCACCAGGCTGTTGAAGGATGTGTTTGCCGCCCATGAGGTCGCGTGTTGCCGGATGAGCTCAAAGTCGATGTTTGCGTAGGGCATGGCGTGCATGTATTGATGTTGGGCGTGCTTCAGGAAGTTTGAAACGTGACTAGAAGACCCCTGAGGAACCTTGATCCGGATAGGCGACACCGTCACGCAGGGGCCGGAGATGGCGTGGGCGCCTTCAAGAGGCACGTCGCGGCCGTTCAGGACGTGGCCGAAGACGATGTCGGATCTCCCGGTGACCTGGGACAGGACAATAGCCCAGGCCGCCTTGATAAGTGACGAAATGGTGATTCCATTGGGTGTGGTCGGCATCGGGATGGTTTTATTGTAAATTGCCACACCAGAACCATCACAACTCTGGCAGGTTTCCATAGAAGTTGTCTTGGTGGGAATTGGTAGGTCCAGGGGAGTCATTTCCGCGTCCTGCAGATACTCTGTCCAAAACCGAAAGGTTCTTGTGCTTGCCTGCGCCTGGCGATACTGAAGGTAGGCCGGGAAAGATGGAGGAGACAGTACCTGATCAGATGCCGCATCGCCATCATATGCAGAGGCCAAGTCCCGCAAAATGAAATGATAGGACTGCCCATCGTATTGGGCATGGGATATGCGGAGAAGGAGAGCAGCAGCGGGGTCACAAGAAGACACGCCCACGGACCGTGAGACAAGAACAGCGCGGAAGACTGGAGCCCCCCAGGGAACTCCCTTGGCAGCGTCCTCCAAGCAAAAGCGGTGAATAAAGGCCTCAAAATCTTGCGTACCATCAGTATTGATGGTGTACAGCGTGAAATCATGTTCAGGTCGGCGTAACAGAGCCTGGAGGTAGCCGTCCCCTTGCTGATCGGGGACGAAGGCGGAGTGCAGAATGGGATGGCGGTCCAACATCGCTCGGCAGGCGCCTACTAGACGATCCTTGTCTAGGTCAGGTGGTAGAGTCAACTGCATGTATTGGACTTCGACTGGCTCAAGGAACCGGCGTTGGAACTCAGTCACGGGGAACATATCCTCGACGTCAGAAGGTCGGACGGTGGCAGGTGAGCCCAAGAAGGGCGCCAATTGAGCAGCAGCAAAGGTTTCCAGTTCCTCCGAGTCAATGCCGACTAAGGAACCCGGTCGATATAGAGCATCGCCGCCATGGTTTGAAAATTCCTTCGCCTCACGAGCCTGCTGAGAAAGTGTGGGCCATGAAAATATATCAGGAACAGTCAAGGCAAGGCCCCTAGGCCGCAGAAGACTGGTGAGTCTCATGGCTCGGATTGAGTCTCCGCCCATGTTGAAGAAGTCGTCATCAGGGCCAATATTATCCAAAGGGACAGAGAGAACCTCGGCCCACAGTTCCTGGAAGAGGTGTTCCCGATGCGTCATTTCCCGGCTGGGACCTTTTTCAGAGGGATTCAACGAGAACGCTCGGAACTGATCTAGCGACAGCCTGGCAACATAATCACGAAGTCTCCGACGGTCCAATTTGTCACTGGCAGTCCGCGGCACCCGCGCCAGCTCAAGGAAGACCGACGGCACCATATATACCGGCAAGGTTTCTTTGAGGCGAGCAGTTGCATTTTGAGCCTGTTCTCGAAACATAGCGCTGGGGGTAGAGATTAAGGTATCAGTGTGCGGCATGTCGCATTCATGGAGGTGCTTAGCAATAAAGGCGATCAAGACGGGGACTCCATCGCGAAGGACAGTTTCCGCCACAACTTCAGATGCGTCTGAGAAGTACATCCGCACATTGTGCTCAACCTGCGCTAGTTCCACACGCTGCCCTCGCAGTTTGATCTGTGTGTCTTTGCGGCCTACGAACTTGATGCCTCCATCGTTCGTATATTGCATGAGATCGCCCGTGCGATAGAGGCGAATCTTGTTGTGATCCCCAGGCCCGAGTCCGCGAATATCGGCCAGCCAGTCAGGAGCCGGGATATAGGCTGCAGCGGTCCGCTCGGGGTCATTGAGGTACCCGCGGGTGACGATGGGACCCTCGATAAGCAATTCTCCTACAGCACCGATAGGGGCGAGACGTGAAACATCCGATGGGGTTGTGATCCAGCCCACACCGCCGGTGACCGGCCCAATCTTCCCTACGGGCCAGTTCGCGGGATCGATGCGGCTGACTGCGCAGATGGTGGCCTCTGCCGGCCCATATCCGTTGACCACGGTGAAACGACCTGTCCAGGTGTCGACGATGTCCTGCGTGACAGCTTCCCCACCGAGAGACACGACTTCCAAATTAGGAACCTCGTCTGGTCGCAGTAAACGATTGACTAGCGACGGAGCCATGATAGCATACGTTACATTCGCTGCCCGGATATAGCTAGCTAGATTGCTCAAACGGTCTGTGTCCGAGGGGATGCAGACGCAGCCGCCGTTGCAAAGGGTAGTAAATAGCTCATAAATGCTGGCGTCAAAAGCGTACGAGGCAAAGTGCAGAGTGCGGCTGGATGAAGTAATCTCCATGCCCGGCGTGTGGGCCCGAATGCTAGTGCAGAGGTGGGAGTGTTCCATGAGAATCCCCTTAGGCTGACCGGTGCTCCCCGAGGTGAAGATAACAAATGCGGTATCGTTGCATGAAGGGGGTAGCCATGAGCTGTCGGCTGCTGCCGATTCGGGACTTTGAAGTGGGACAGTTTCGACCCGGATATCGCTTTTGACTTGTATAAGGTGCCTGGTAGCTGGAGAAGTTAGGACGAGATTTGCCTGCACTCGTCCAATGATACTTTTAATATATTCAACCGGATGGCCGGCGTCTAGCAGGACACACGCCCCCCCGGCTCTGAGAACGGATAGCATCGTGATTACTGCCCATTTGGATTTCTGCATGCACAATGGTACTAGTGAGCCCGATCGCACTCCAAGATATCGTAGCTGACTGGCCATATCTTGAGAAAGAACATCTAACTGTGCATAGGTAAGGTCGCCATCCCAAGCAGACACAGCCGTTGCGTTCGGCGTTGTGACCGTATGCCGGAGGACAAAATCATGAAGACAGACATCATGCGAGGGCGGTACACTATGGTTCCATTCATGCAGCTGACGCCGATCTTCATCGCTAACCAGATCAAGCTGGGATAATGGAGTTTGCAGATTTCGGGGAAGTTGCTGCAGCAGGTGAGAAAACTGCCCAAGGATTGTTCCTGCCATGACGGGCGAAACGACCAGCTCGTTATAGTTGATTTCCACGGTAACAGTGGACTTGTCAGCGGCGTCCAAATGGCAGATAACCATCAATGCATATTCGGAGAACGCGACAAGATTGTCATAGTCAGAATCAATGAGCTCAAACAAGTTGGACCCCTCTTGTACGTCTGATGTCAGGTGGGAAGTCTGTATACCCAGGTGACACTGGAACTGGCATGCCTGATCAGCCTCGCTACTTAGATGTCGTATATTCTGCAGACCGAATTGTTCAAAGGGAATGCGTGTCACTGCTTGCGCCTGGATAGTAGACAGGGATTCCGCGACTGTATCAGTATTAAGACCAAGACGAACTCGCAAGGGGAGTGTTGTAATCGCTGGCCCAGTCATATCTTCAATTCCGACCACAGGTGCCCTGCGGCCATTGAGTATGGCACCGAACACAACATCGTCCGAGTCAGTGTAGCAGCTCATCAGCAGTGCCCATGCGAGGTGGACCACGCTGGTTGTGGTAAATTCCAACCCCGTGCCGGAAATAGAATTTGCCAATGTTCGGCGTATCGAGCAGTACGTGGGTGCTGCGCGTCCCCGTTGTGTCAAGGGTAGGGTCGGCCAAACGGGCGCATGGAGGTGCGAAAATTCAGCGCGCCAGTGTGCAGCCGCTTCTTCCAATTGCCGTTGCACGTATTGAATAAAAGGACTCAGCGATCGCGGAAGTAGAGGCGTAGAGGGTTCATGATAGCTTTGGATGACCTGACGCCACAGAGCAGGGATCGACCACCCATCGTATACAGCGTGATGTATCGTGAGGTGAAATTGCACTGCACCGTTCGGTCCGGAATTGACTAGAGCAAGTTCCACTAGGCGCTCTCCAAGACCCCAGGGCTGTGCTTCGAGGTACCGACTATGTTCCACCCGGCTGTTGAAATGGCGAAACTGGGGAGACTTAGCTATGACCACTTGCCACGTGCCAGGAGGGTGATCTGATTGGATCATGCGCGTGCGAAGGATCGGGTTTGCTGCTGCAGTCGCTCCCCAGGCAGCCTGGAAGCGGTCGAGATCAACGTGAGAGTCGAGGTTGTACCGAAAGGTCACGACGTAGGGGTTTACTGTTCTAGTCGACTTGGTGGAAAGAGCCATCAGCCCCTCTTGCATTGGGGTACAGGGGTATATATCCTGGACATCGGCAATGGGGACACCGCAGCAGGTCGCTGCAAAACGGGCCAAGTCGCTGGATCCAGCGTTGGGAATGAGCGCAAAAGGCCTGACCGCATCGTGCGTAGGACCTTTGTGTGTCAATCGTGCCGCTTGAGCCAGGTCGCGCAGCCTGGGATGTTGGAAACAATCAGCCATAGTGATGACATATCCTGCCTCTCGGGCTTTGGGAATCAACGCCATTGCAAGGATCGAGTCGCCGCCAAGACGAAAAAAGTGATCATCCCTGCGAATGGATTTCACGTTCTCCAGGTTGAAGACATCGGCGAACAAGAGTTGGAACGCGTGTTCAGCCGGAGTAATCGGCAGATCTTCAGTGGTGGACTCCTCCGAGATGGCCATACATCCATTCAAGAAATTCTCCGAAAGACCTTCGGCTACTGCGCGAAGAGAACGACGATCGACCTTGCCAGTATGGCTCAGTGGGATACGTCGAACAGGAATGAAGGTACTGGGAACCATGAACACTGGCAAAACCTGGTCTAGGTGCCTCACAGCCGCGGTGATCGCCCTTTGGAAGGAAGCATCGCACACGCCGATGAGGCCGTCTTCCTCTATTGTCAAGCCGGAAATCTTCTGAGGTTCCGAAACGAAGGCCACAAGCATAGAGGGTCTCTGTCTAATGCTCAAAACGTCGGCGACTACATCGATGTTGGCTGACGGGAAGCCGCGACGTAGATGGAATTCGATCTCCGCCAGTTCGATTCGCTGCCCGCGCAACTTTACCTGTGTATCCCGGCGGCCAATGTATCTCATGGACCCGTCTGCCGGCTCATACTGGACGAGATCTCCCGTGCGATAGAGGCACCCGGGCTCCCGTCCGTCCTGGGCACATACCTGACCTAACCAGGCGGGAGGGGGTATGAAGGCATCTTGCGCTGAAGTATCGCTGGTATCCAAATAGCCCGTTGTGCTTACAATCGGGCCCTCGATGATGAGCTCACCGACGGCACCCACCGGCGCCAGTACCGAAGGGTCCGCGGCATCGGTAATCCAGGCCGCACTGCCAAATGCGTGCCCGATATTGGTCACGTCATTAACGTCCTGTAAGCGGGGACGCGCGGTGCTTATAATGGCACATTCTGCAGGGCCATAACCGACATGCAGCTCCACAAACGGTTTCCATTTGGTGACATCCCCCGGTGCCACAGATTCTCCCACCAATAGGAGGGTACGAATACTGGGGACCTTTGTCGGCTCTATCACTCGCGCCACAGAAGGTGTTAAACATGCCCAATTCGCTTCGAGCCGGTTGATGGCCCCCTCAAGATCGCCCACGCGCTCCGCGTCGGAGGGGATACAGATACATCCCCCAGCAAGCAGGGTAAACAACAGCTCCAGGACACTGGCGTCAAAGGCGTATGACGAGAACTGCAGAACCCGGGAGAAGGGTTTGATTCCAATGTGGGATCCGTTGGTCGTTGCATTTGTACACATATTTGAATGTGATATCACAACTCCCTTGGCTCGGCCCGTTGAGCCAGACGTGAATATTACATAGGCAGGGTCTTCTGGTGAGACTGTCTTCATGATAGGTGTCACTTCTGCCGTAGACCACGCGGCATCGGGTCCTCCGATAACTAGGCTCCGCGGGGCGAGTGTCTCCGCCTTCACCATCTGAGCCTTCGATACCATGACCAAGGGGGCCTTAACCTGCCGGCAGATATCTTCAAGCCGCTCGCGCGGATGTGTGGGGTCCATGAGAACAAAGGCTGCCCCTGTTTTTAGGATTGCGAGTATGGATATCACAACCCAGTGTGATTTCTCACAGCAGATGGGGACAAACATCGTAGGGCCAATACCGTAATCACGCGCGAGGTGCTGCGCTAGATCCAATGCCAGGGTTTCGAGGGCCTCGTAGGTGAGTTTTCCATCGTGAGAGCAGACTGCGAGAGCATCCGGCTGCGCCCGGCAGCGTTGTGAGACCAGGTCATGCACGCGGCAGTTGACTCCTGGTGGTGGCAGATGGCGGTTCGAGGCCTCTATAAACCTTCTTCCGGCCGGGCCGAGCATTCCCATCTGACCAATGGTCCGCTCGGGAATGTCGGCCTCGAGTTGGTGGATGGTGTGCTCGAAAGTATCCATTATCATGGTCGCCTGTTGGTCGGACAAAAAAGAAGACCAGTAGTCCAGGGTGATAGAGATCTGATGCTCACCGACCACCACACCCGCGTTGAGGTCATACTCGTTCGCACCATCTTCACTCACCATCTTTAACAGGATAGAGCCGTCTTGCCTCACCGGTTTTTGATTGGTGAAAGATAACACGGTGTTAAAGAGAGGCATATTCGAACGGCCGACGTCACGATAAATGTCACCTAGCGCAACATGCTGGTGGTGGGCATTCCGGATCAAATCCTCCTGCACCAAACGCGCCAGTGCATGGATATTGTTACCGGGAGTCAGTCGCATTCGACAGACGAGAATAGTGACGAAGGGGCCCACGGCGTCGACAATGCCGGGTACATCCGCCACGTCGCGCCCCGAGTTAGCATAGCCAAAGCATATCTCATCGGACCCCGTGTATGATCGCAAGACGAGACCCCAGGCTACATGTATTAATGTAGCTAGCGTCACATCATGATTGGTCGACAGCCGGCGGAGATCGCTTGTGCTTCCGAGATCGACTTTGATGCTGCGAAGGGAGCGTCCCCCCGACACTGGCGGAGATATGACCTTGGATGCTGGCATGAGACAGGTGGGAATATCGTGCAGGTAATCTGTCCAGTAGGTTTGATTGACTGTCATGCTCAATGACTGCCAGTAGGCGACATATGTGGAATACGATGCAAGCGCACCGATGGGTAACCGCCCGTCATAAGCATCGATCAGATCACGGAGGAGGATTCCGAATGATGCCCCATCCGTCAGTAGATGGCTAATCTCGAGCAGGAGCCCAATTTCGCCTTTTTGGGACGACGGACACAGCGTCAGGTGGTGGGGCGGTTGCCCATCGTGCGCGGCAGTGGTATGGCGCGTGTGTTGGAGTGCTGCCATCGGGTCAGGACGAGGAGGCAGGATGGTGGTAATCATCGTTCTCGGGATGGTGCGGTGCACGAGCTGCAGGTCAGCCCCACTCGATAAGTTGTTCGGTACGATGCATGATCGCAGCATTGGATGGCGTGTGACGACCTGATGCCAGGCGGCAACAAGCCTATCAGCTGCGACGGTGTGGGAATCACCGTTCGCGGTGACCATGAGAAAAAAGCGATTGTTATACACATCATTCGCACGAGATTGACTGATCAACATTCCCTGCTGAATTGGCGAGAGTGGATACAAGTCCTCGACGTCAGTGCTGGATAGCCCGCTCTGCGGCAGAGCAGACTGCAGGAGGGTGTCCAACTCGGAATAATATCGCGTGGGCGACAGACTAAAGGGCGTGTAGACCGTCCGCTCGCTCGTGACTGCTTTGGGTGTGTCGACAACGGTGGTGGCTAGTCTCGCAATGGTCTTCTGTTGGAAGATGGCCTGCACCGTCGTGCGGATGCCGATACTGTTCAGTTGCATGACGAGCTGCATCGCGCTTATCGAGTCCCCACCCACCGAGAGGAAGCTGTCGTCCACACCGACTGCCTCAAGTGCGGTGTTTAGTACGCTTGCCCACACTTGCTGGATTGCCGCTTCTTCTGGGCTGGTTGGCTGTCTTCGGACGGGAGGTGCTGTTGAAGCATACGCCTGCATGTCGGAGAGAGACAGAGCTTCTACCGCTTCCTGGATGCGACAACGATCGGTCTTTCCACTCGCTGTTGTGGGTACGCTCCTTAGAGGCAGAAGTAGCGATGGAACCATATATGACGGAAGTGACTCGCACAGCCGGTGGTGTAGCGTACGGGCAGTCTCTCGGAAGGCATCTGTGGGGAGCTCGAAGAGCTCCCAGGCAGCCCCTGAACCTTCTAGGAGGTGACTGGGCAATTTATGACCGTGGATAATACAAGCAAACAGCACGGAGGAGCCAGCCACGTTCGCCACGTCGACAACTCCGGTGCCACCGCCAGTATACTGATTTACATGATGCTCGATCTCCCCCAGTTCGATCCTCTGGCCTCGCAATTTCACCTGTGTATCCCTGCGACCAATGTACCGGATGGATCCATCGTCGTTTAGCGCAACCAAGTCACCGGTTCGATAGAGTCGACAAGGCTTGCCCTGACGCCAGCGTACCAGCCATTCCGGTGCATCAATGAACGCGGCTGTCGTCGCCTCCGAATTGTTCAGATAGCCTCTCGTCACAGCAGGGCCTTCGATGAGCAACTCGCCCACCGCACCCAGGGGGGCTAACCGTGTCGGGTCCGAGGGAACCGTCACCCAGCCGGCTCCCCCGTGGACTCTCCCAATCGTGCCGTCGGCCCGGTCTGAGAATTGCTGGATGACTTGCCCGGCAGCACAGACGACGGTCGTTTCCGCGGGGCCATACCCGTTGATTAGCATCACGCAAGGAGCCCAACGCTGGGCCACGCTGCGACTCATTGCTTCACCAGCCGATACAACAGTCTGTAGACTGGGAACACGGCCTGGATCAAGTATGCCGAGCATGGAAGGGGTCAGGATGGCCCAGTTGACTTGCTTTTCTGCGATAAACCGTTCCAGGCCATTCATCCTGTCAGCCTCAGATGGCACGCAGACGGTGCCCCCCATCACAAGCGTGGTGAAGATCTCAGCCAAGATAAGGTCAAAGGCATAGGATGCAAAGTGGAGCGCTCGACTTGACGAGGTAATGTTAAGTGGTCCGCTGTGATCCCGAATGCCGGTGGAGATCTGGCGATGTTCCATCATTATGCCTTTTGGGCGGCCAGATGAGCCGGATGTAAACAAGATAAAGGCCAAACTGGCGGGTTCCACATTCACGGAAATGGATTGGTGGTCGGGAGGTAAGTCTTCAAACGGGACAGTGAGTACGGTGACTGCACATCCCTCGAACGTCTTCATTGTATCCGTAGACGCAATTATCATCTGTGGCTTGACTTGGTCCACGATATCCCGTACCCTCGCCGGGGGCAAATTGCAGTCGACACAGACCACAGTTGCCCCAGTGCGTAGCACAGCAAGCATGGTGACAATCGACCATTTCGACCGTTCCAGACATACGGGTACAACGGATGCTTCGCGCAAACCCCGGGCCACAAGAAAAGAAGCAATCCGAGAAGACCAGGAAGCTACCTCCCCGAATGTAAAGTTACCGTCCCAGGCGGAAACAGCCACCTTCTCCGGCTGTGAAGCACAGGAGTCGCCAACCAACTTATGCAAACAACGCTCCTTGGTAGACGGCAGCATTGCATTCCAGCCAGCCAGCTGTTGCCAGTCGGACGGACTAAGTGGAGAAACATCTTGCACGGCAACATCTGAGGGCGACGACACAATTTGGCGAAGGACACACTCAAATTGTTCAACCATTCTCTTCATCGTGGAGTGGTCCATCATCGTTTTGTCATAAAGAGCGGTGATTTCCAAGGGCCGATCCTGATCCTTAGGAAGGTTGCAAATCACAACGATACCATAACTGGCAAATGCACGGTAGTTTTCGTCTTGCGATTTCACCTCGGTGGCGGGTCCGGTCCTCTTGGACCCTGCGGGCGGCTGGATGATGAGTTGATTCTGGAACTGGCACGCTCGTGCAGCATCATCGCTGGCGGATTGTATCTTCCTCAGGCCGGTCTGCTCGTGGAGCATCATCGCCGCCAGTTTCTGCTGGATCCAAGTCACATGGTGTTGGATGGACTGGCTTGGGTCCAATTGCATGCGGAATGGCACAGTGGTCATGGTCGGTCCTGTGAACCGCTCAATCCCAAATACGGGTGCACTGCGACCACTGAGGGTAAGTCCGTAGACAAGATCATCACTGTCCGTGTAGTAAGACAGAATGATACCCCAGGCCAACTGGATCGCGATTGTCAATGTAAAGTCCATGTTAGCACGGGGGGTCAGCGGAATCTCGCGACCAACTGCCAAGTTCGCCTGGGGATTGTAGGCAGGGGATGGGAGACTTGGAAAGATGGCCACGTTCAGCCCATTGAACACGTCTGCCCAGAAAGCGGTTGAGTCTTCAACCTGTTGCAAATAAGATATAAATGAGGAGAATGGTTGGCGCACGAGCTGTTGCCCCCCATATGCGGCGTCGATCTGATCCCAGAGCAGAGGGAGCGTCCATCCATCATAGAGCGCGTGATGGATGGTCAAAACAAACCGAGGGGGGTGTTTTATCAGTGTCGGCTGCATCAGACATGCGTTTGGACCCATTACCGGTGTCTGATAGTTTCTCTCGTATTCCTGTTGGCTGCCGTAGACCTCCCAACGGGGTAAATCCCGCACCACGACTTGAAAGCTCCCTGTGGATCCCTGGGCGAGGCGTGTCCGGAGAATAGGGTTCGCAGCCACTGTTGTATCAATTGCGGCCCGGAAACGAGCCTCGTCAGTACCCGGGACAAACTCGTAAACAAATTGTGCCACATATTTGCCTGGGTCTTTTAGACTCAATGCCATTAACCCTTCCTGCATTGGTGTGCATGGATAAAGGTCTTCAATCTGGTCGTGGCTGAGGTCAGATTGTTCCAGAAGCGCCGTCAGTATATGCTGCCGCAACTCTGGGTCTGGACCCAGACTAAAAGGTAGAGGCTCGTCAACAGGTGTGTTTTTCTGGAATCCCATATTCTCTGCTAAATCTACAATCCTCGGGCGTGTGAAAACGTCTCCAACGCTGAGAGTGCACCCAGCTTCGCGGACAAGGGCAACCAGCCTCATGGCCGAGAGGGAGTCGCCCCCTCGTCGGAAGAAGTGATCATCAATACTGACCTCATTTTGAGGCAACGACAGGACCTCAGCAAAGGCTCGTTGTAGCTTCCTCTGCATTTGCGTCGTTGGCTCTCGAAAAGGTCGCCTCTCCGCCATCCTGAATGTATCAAGCTGTTCCGCTCCCAGCTCGCTGGCTCGTGCACGCAGTTCCCGCCGATTGAGCTTTCCCGTGGCCGATATAGGGAGACTATTCACCGGAATGAGCACGGCTGGGACCATAAACGTCGGTAGAGCAGCTTCGAGTTGCGATAGCGCAATGGCCACGGCTGCACGGAAACCCTCGTTGTCCGCTTGGAATATACTCTCACTCTCTACAGACGTTTCACAGATGAAGCCGGCCAGCAATGGGTCTCCACTAGCTTGAGCTAAGATAAGTTCGACGGCCACTTGATCGGCGTGAGGGAAGCAGCACCGTAAGTGATGTTCAACCTCCGCTATCTCCACCCTTTGTCCCCGCAGCTTGATCTGAGTGTCCTTGCGGCCCACGATCGAGAACTCACCGCTAGCAGTATATTGAACCAGGTCACCAGTCTTGTACAATCTGCAAGGCGCATTTCGAAAGGTGTGTAGCCAGGGAGGGTTTTCAATAAAGGCCTCCGATTTGTGCGGCTCATTCAGATACCCACGCGCTATGACTGGACCTTCGACGAGTAGTTCACCAACAGCTCCAACAGGGGACAGGCGTGTCGAATCGTCTGGGTCGATGATCCAGCCGGTGGATCCAAAGGATTTGCCAATATTGGTGGGTGTTGTGCCTTTTCGCATTTCCTGTACACACATTATCACGGCGCATTCGGCAGGGGCGTAAACCTGGATGAGATGCAGATAAGGCGACCACTGTTCAATGTCCCCGGAGGTCATTGTTTCACCTCCAAGGACCAGTGTCTGTAAAGAGGGCACAGACTCCGGGCTTAGTATACGCGCTATTGATGGCGTAAGTAAGACCCAGTTAGCCCGGAGGGCAGTAATGGTGCCCGGGAGGTTGGAGATTCGGTCACTTTCAGACGGAATACAGATACAGCCACCCACTATGAGAGGCAGGACGCTGTCAGAGACACTTGCATCGAAGGCGTAGCCGGAGAACTGTAGCACGCGGGAATGCTGATTGAGACGTATTTTCTGACAGTAGGCCTTCGCCCCACTGTACCAACTGCCGTATGTCATCACAACGCCTTTCGGATTGCCCGTTGACCCGGAAGTGAACACGACATACATCGTGTTATCGGGTGACGGAGGAATCAACGGCTGCTTCTGACACGTAGACATCCATTCTGTTTCGTTGGAACCAACAGCGACAACCTCACCAATACCCAGGTTACGCGCAACAGACGTTTTGGCCGTCGAGCAAACGATGACCGACGCCTGAAGTTGGCCGCATATCTGTCGAAGCCGATCCATGGGAAAGGAGCTATCAAGCAGAGAAAAAGCTCCACCTGCTTTCATGACCGCCAGAATGGCGACATTGACCCAGCGAGACTTCTCAAAGCACAGCGCTACAAAGCTCTCGGGTTTCACACCTAGACATGCTAATCGTTTTGCCAGGTGTTCCGCGTACGTTTCCAGTTCACGATAGGTAAAATCGCCATCCCATGCGCAGATTGCCGGTGCATCTAGTTGGTTCAAGCTACGCTGGTAAATGAGCTCGGGCGCACACTGGTCAATTGGATTCCATTGTTGACCATTCCATTCTCGCAGCTCCTTCATATCCGACGGGCTGATAGCCTGGATGTTGCCGATTTGGTCATCGTATTTGTGATGCAGCTGGTGGAGGATGTGATCAAACTGAGAGATCATTCGATTTATTTGTGTCTCCTCGACTACAGCTGGATCGAACGTGACGCTCAAGTTCAGGGCGCTTGTGGATTGCTTGATCGACATGTTGATTGCGTAGGAGCTCACATCTGACAGTTTCGTCTCCTCGAGGTGCCCTGAGAATAAGGGCGGCAGAGTGTATTCACTTTCGTCTGGCTGAATGACGAGGTGACTTTGAAATTCGTTGTAGATGGTATATTTGGGGTCTAGCTGGCTCGTACGTTGGAGACCAATTTGTTCAAAAGGCATGTCCTCGGCAGATTGTGTCTGTATCCTTCTCAGAGAATCCGCGACCGTTGCCCTGGGGTTGAGAAGCAACCGCATAGGAATAGTCGCAATGGTGGGGCCGGTCATGCTCTCAATTCCCTGGATGCTTGCACCGCGGCCAGCGACCGTTAGCCCAAAAACCACGTCCCAATTGCCGGTATAATGTGCAACTAGCAGACCCCACGCTAGCATAACCTTGCTGGGCACGTTCGATTGGCGCCCAAAACGTTGCAAGGGCAGATGGATGTTGAACGTCGTTGAAGCCGTCGGCACAGGAATGTATCGTGGCGACGGGAGTTTTGGAAAGGCCGTTGCGTTCGGATCTGTTAAACGTCGTCTCCAGTGGTTTTCCAGCTCTGCCTGAGACTGAGAATCCAAAAATTGCACAAAGTGACTGAAGGGTCTTCGTTCCAATGTTTGTCCGTTGTATGCCGCGTTGGCCTGCTGCAGGATTAGATGCAGCGCCCAATCTTCAATCAGAGCATGGTGAATAACCAGTGTAAAGAAGACTGGACAGTGTGGGGAGTTTGAATGACTCAATGCCAATCGCACAAGTCGTTCCCCCATTTTCCAGTCTCTCCACTGTTCGGGAATCTTATCATCTATCTCCCTGGTCTCCCATGGAATTTGCCCCTGGATCACAGCTTGCCAAAACCCACTGGTCTTGCTGGGAATAATACGTGTCCGCAGGATTGGATTGGCTTCGATTGTCTTCTCCCAGGCGTGCCTGAACCGCTCAAGATCAACGTTCATCATCAATGTAAATCTGTGGATTAGTGTATATGCGCCGAACCGCTTTGCCGTTTGGGAAAAGAGACCCTGCTGTAGTTGCGTACATGGGTAGACATCTTCGACCTCTGATCGCTGAATATCATACCGTACGAGCGTCTCCATCAGCTCTTCTCGTTGGCTCGCATTCCCACAAAGCGCGAACGAGGAACAATCTCCAGCTAATGGCGAGTGTCCGCGCAGGCTTGCCGCCATTTCTTTCAAGCTTGCAGATGTCCAGATATCATGCACCGTCAGTTTGAAGCCCTTTCGTAGCACCAGTGCAGCCAGTCTCATGGCGCGGATCGAGCTTCCGCCCAGCTCCCAGAAGTTATCATCAATTCCAATCTCATTGGCTGGGATTTGAAGAACATCAGCCCACAGGCACTGGATGATCTTTTCAGCAGGATTGCGCGTCGATCTCTTGACAGGTGCCTCCAGCTTCGACTGCTGTAGCTCTTGGCGTGTTTTAGAATTACCTAGCTGGCGAAGGAAACCGCGGTTCAATTTACCATTGATACTCAGAGGCATCTGGGACACGGGCAAAAAGATAGATGGAACCATATATCGTGGGAGCTTCTCATGCAGCTTGCCTTGCACCGTGCGGGTGAGCTCGCGAAACTCGTCGCTCGCCCCAGTCAGGTGGACCTCTGTACCCATTCCACCCATTCGCTCTACCGCTACAAACGCGGCCAGTAGATGAGAGTCTGGGTCATCCTTTGGTTGAATAATATCTACTGCGAGATTTCCCGTTGGTAGATGCTGTTGGAGATGATGTTCGATCTCAGCCGCCTCCATGCGTTGACCGTTGAGCTTCAGCTGGGAGTCCTTACGACCCAAGCATTCTATCAACCCATCGTTGTGGCAGCGAGCGAGATCACCCGTTCTATATACGTGTCCCGTGACTTCTGGCCATAACTCCTTCAGCCATTGGGGTCGACTGACGAACGCAGCTGCCGTGCTTTGGCGGTTCCCGATATACCCTCGGCCGACGATAGGCCCCTCGATCAGCAGTTCCCCGATCTCCCCAACAGGGCGGAGGACTTCAACATTATTTTCATCAACGACCCAACAGCTGCCTCCGACCGCACGGCCGATCACGGTGGGGATATCCGTTGGCCTCCTGATATTGGTTATGCAAGACAGGATGGCACATTCGGCCGGTCCGTACGCATTAATTGAGTCCACTTGCGGCGTCCATCGGTCAATATCGTTCTGGTTCATTGCTTCTCCGGTGAAAATGACGGTTTTCAACATCGGAAGGTCTATGGGATCTAGGGAACGAGCGACTGATGGCGTTAAAAAAGCCGTGTTGACTCCGTAACGGCGCAGAGCGCCGACCAGGTCTCCTCGCCGCTCTTCCTCAGATAGGATGCAGACACAGGCGCCATGCACAAGGGGAGTCAAAACCTCTAACAGACAGGCATCAAAGGCGTAGGAGGCGAATTGTAGCACCCGTGATGTCTGTGTAAGGGTAGTGGCCGCTCCATGGGCGACGCAGGATGTTGATATAGATCGATGCTCGATAACCACACCTTTTGGTTTCCCAGTGGTTCCTGAAGTGAACATTGCATAAGCTGCATTGGTTGGGGTCACACCGCTAGCAATCCTTCCATCGCTCATCGCCTCGTTCTCCGTTTCGAGCCCTTCGTGTACAACAACCACTTCCGTAGCAAGATCTTTGGCCCGTGACGCAGTTTCAGGCGACGCGAGAATAAGCTCGGCATTGACCGTTTGACAAATAAGTTCCAGGCGTTGCATAGGATGCGATGGATCTAGCAAGACAAAAGCACCTCCCGCATGTAGTACGCCTAGGACCGCAACAAGGGTCCAGCGGGATTTGTGGAAGCATAACGGGACGATGACTTCTGGGCCAACGCCCCTAGTCAAGAGCAGTCGGCCCAGCGCTGTGGCATGTCTTTGCAGCTCCCGATAAGTAAAATTGCCGTCGCAGGCACACACTGCAGGCGCCTCGGGGCTCTGATCGCAACGCTTGTCGATTAACTCGTGCACACATGCATTTACCGCGACCGGTGGCTGGGGACTGCAGTGTGCGAATTGCGAGTCCGGGCCATGCTGTCCCCCATTGCGCAATTCAAGGGTCGCTGAGGGTCTGGCTGCCATTCTAACGCTTGAAGGAAGAAGCGGTAAAAAGGATCCTTCCTTTTTTTTATACTCTTGCTCCCCCGAGAAGGCTGTTCGCGTCTTTGGATTTTTTGCTGCCGAGGCCTTGACCCCCAACTAGATATTTGTAAAATCGTATGAGAAGTGAGTCCACGAACACACAGTGGAGGTACCACTACAATGTAGTAGTCGTGACTTATCAGTCTTACTGTTCCTCATGAAGTGCAGAAGATTGCTTTTACACACCCTATCAAGCTCCATTCACGGCCTGATGCCATATATAGTCAGTCCTGCCTGTGGGCTCCTTGCTAGCCTGAGTGTCTCTCTTTTTAGTCAGGAGTTTGCCCCCCCCTTGCTTTTCCAATCTTCAGAGTTCGCCCTTGCACATTCCTGCCGACGCGGACCAGATACAGCGCACCTCCCATCGATCGACTTGATTTCCCTCCATTTCTTGTGCCCCTGACCTAATAGACATGCTATTTATAATACCGCGGGATTCACGTAGTACCCGAAACATCATCGGCATCACTCCATTGCTGACAGTTGTCTGATCTCCATTGCGACTAGTCTACAAATGTCAGGAGATCTTTATTCCTGGATTGGACTATAGTTTAAATGCTATTGCTGCGTCTGCAAAGTCCTAGACAGATATGTTGGTGCACCTTCCCGTATATTATAAATGAACGGCACTGGAATGAATGTCTAAAGAGCGATTCATGTTTGACTTGTATTCATTGAAGAAAGGGATACCCTGCATCCTGGATAGTGGAATTATTGGTCCCCAGAACGACATATTCTACCACTGGCTTCATAAGTACCTTCAGTTTCCCAGTAGATAACAGCCTTTTCCATGACACAATTAGTCTCACATCCAAGCGTAGTAACGTTAAAAAAAGAAGAGGGGATGCAAATTCAAGCTCTGACGTACCGAAATTGTAGACAGGCTCAATCCAGGAATGCTCCAGCTCCACCCCAGCAGCTTCACACAGTCTCTCTACCTCCTCGGTCGTCCACTTGGCGCTCGTGATAGCATGGATCTTTTCTCCCTTTGCGATCTGAACAATATTACCATCTACTGTCAATGATATTTCTCGCTTCGCCACATGGTATGCCCGGTGTTCCTTGTCCTCGGCATACCACTTGGCTTCCAAATCCCAATCGCCTGCGTTGAAAACCCCTTCGTCCAGCAGCAAATTTGCATGCGTCAATCCATTCCGCAGAAACCTTCGGTTCTTTCCATCGGGCATGTCATATGCCATTTGGATGGACTGCGGGTTTTGGTTTCCATCGACTGACACTAGGAGAGCGCTATTTGAAGACCAGAGCATGCGGCGCACAATGTCGACCGAATCTTCCCAGGGCATATTGGTGATGCTATTACCGAGCCAGAGGAACAGTAAGTGACGGTTGCGGATGCACAACAACTTCTGGCCCTCTTCTTCATTGAGGAACGTCAAACAATCCTCGTAGCTCCCCAGGAGGCCTTGACAGGATATATACTTGGACTTCCCCAGAAAACGGCTCATTTGTGCGAGGCTTTGGATGAGCGAATCCGATGCAACGTCAAGCGCAAAATACGAGATTGGTTTCCTTTGTCGGTGCAGTGCCTGTAAGAGCACGCCCGTCTTTTTGCAGTTTCTGGTTTTTGGTGTTAGTACTCAATCATCAGTGTCAGACTGAAATTCTGCAATACCCAGCTCCGAGCTCCAGGATCACCGTGCCTGGTTTCACCGATTCCGCAATCCCCTCAGCACGCTGGCTCAGCAGGCTCAGCTCCGCACGGTAGGCATAGTATTCTGGCGCAGTCGTGATGTCTGCGAACAGCTCCTGGCCCTTCTCATCCCACAGTAATAAAGAGGGAATCTGTTTCTCACTCCCAGGCCTCCTTAGGTCCTCTATGAGCTTTGCTCTCAGATCAGCTAGATCGCAGCCTGGACGGCGGATATCGTGTATTTTCACTTCGGTAAGCATAGTAAAGTCTCCAGCCAGGGTTCCGCAAGACGGTTTGGGGAAGGTAATGCTGCTGAGAAACTAGGTGTCTAGCCGTTAGCAAAAGAGAAGAGGTCAACACATTGACTTAATGTTGCGCCCTCGTATAATATAGACTTCGGCTTCTCTTGCATCACACGCGGACTGGCACATTATGAGCGGAGGAATTGTATGCAAGGGAAACAAAAGGAAGCCTTGATACAAAAGAATGTGGATCTTTTCCGGTAGTTACCCTTTGCATTGCCTCTTCTTTGCGTTCCACTATAACCCACACCAAGTCATTTGAATGGATTACACCATTCATACATATTCTATGCACTGGTGAAAATACAAATTTAACATAAGATCAACACCTGCCTTTCCTATCCCTGTTCATTCCTACCATATGTCTCCTACTTCCGACACAGTACAGGTAAATTAGATTCAGTATCGGAGAGCTCGCCTCCCTCGACGTTCAACACTTTAATGAAAACTATGAAGGTGACTGTCCACTGACAACTGGCTCTACACTATTGGTCGACTCTGCAGAGCCCTTGCATTGTTAATACAAGTACCTGTCTACCCCTTGCCAATAGGGTCATCCGTCTTCTGAGGCAAGAATCAAGCCAATGATAGGCTGGGTTTGGGCATTATGTAAAGTCAAAAGGAGCACGAAGTGGGAGCTCTCTGCGATACGGTAAACCCAACGGATGACTAGTGTGTCAAGCTGTAAGGCAAGGCGCAGTAGCCGGAGGGGAGAGAAGGAAACGACGAGTCAGGATCAAGTCCTTCCTGGATCGCGGTGATGGAGGTCACAAACAGTGATTTGCAGCGCTGATCCAGAGACTGCAAAACTAGTCAGATAGAGTAGGTAACAAGCCCGCTATTCGCAATACAAAACATTATATTTTTCTGGGCAGACGTAACATATCAAAAGACAGTCACAGTCACCCATGACAGATCCCTAAGACCCCACCTTCGCCTCGAACGGCGAAAGGGGGGGGGATGTGACTGGGGAAAACCCCATAGAACGGGACCAAAGACTGGCCGCCAGCGGCCGCACTCTGGGATGCCCCGCAAATTCGCATCCCCCCCAAGTATCGATGGAGAGAAAAAGAAACCAATATAAAAGTTTATTTGAATCAAATCCTATACTAAAAACGTATCCGAACTCTCCAAAGTATATACAAAGAAATCAAATGGCCTGGAAACCCAGACTCCACGTCTAAACCTGAGTCATGGTACATCATGGGTATGCCGCCGCGGAAGTTCAATACCGCGCGACTCCAACACATAAGAAAATCAGAAAGGAAGGTAAGTAAATCTATATCTTTTCGTACGTCCCACCAATCGCTCAGAATGGGATCTCGGACATGGGTAACGATGTGTATTCGTATAGAAGGTAAGTGCGGAATGGCGGATGAAGGTCGACGAAGAAGCAGAGGATATGGCCGGTGAAAAGGAATGCGACCACTGCTTGGGTGTTAGCTTGTGTCTGGCGATAGAAGGGGTAACGGATGGTAGGGCTGCATACCCCACTCGAGGATGGCTGATGGGTGCTTCGTGCTAGTGTTGATAGACGCCCATTTGAAAGCGAGGGAAAGGAAAAGTTCAACAATGACGATGAAGAGTCGCACTGTGGTGATTTTGACTAGGACTTCGTGGTCCCAGTTGCTGTGGATGCCGACTTGGATGTAGTCTGCGCAAATGAATATTCCGCTGAGAAGGAAGGAGGTTCTATGCGTATCATGTTAGTGGTAAGGCTTGGTATAGTTCAGGACCAACAACAATAGAAACGGATATACAGCAACAAGATTTCAAGTAGGAGGGAGGAGGGAGCTCACATAAAAATGAATGACGTATTATCATGCAATGTTCGATAATGATTGTTATCAAATACCGCCGATAGAACCAGCGCCATGCTCCCGATGATAGAAGAAAGAATGGACAGATATGTGCAGAACGGGCCCGTGTATCGTGATCTCTGAACGATCTGGTCTTTCTCCCTCGGCCATTGTTTGAGAATGATCGAGAGACTCAGAAACAGCATCGTAAGGAAACTCCCAAAGACAAACACGGGCTTCGGTTCCTGCGATCCAATATCCGATATGAACCTAGAATATTTCCCCGATTAGCTAGGTGGACGGCACTGATGTGATTTATCAGGGCAATGCATACGGAAATGTCCGCGATCCCCGCATCGTCTCATAAACCGGCTCTCCCGCCTCCAGCCAGTAGGCCAGCATGCTGATGAGCATTGCTGTACAGCATCAGTTAGACCAATCCATCCGACACGTAGTAGGTATCCGCCAACAAAGTGACATACCTAGCCAAGAACATGCTGCTATGAGAGGGTAGGTCCATAACGGGACGGACCACATGGCGCCGCTACGCAGGAGAGAGCAGTTAGCATCTGTTGGTGGCCCATCTGGGGGGAAGGCAGGGGGGGGCGCGACAACAGAGAGAGACTTACATATACAGGCCGACTCAGCTCTGCGTATCTACGGCTGTACGGGGTCGACTGATAAGAGGACCGTAGACAAACGAGACTTCCACGAGCTGGGACTGTCGTTGAAACAAGGTTCCAGCAAGGATAAGAGGAGACCTTCCTAGTGCGAAGGGAGAGGACGACGATCCTTTCTAGTGTACCATGGCTATCAGATTTTCCTATACCGAAGGGGCTTTGAGCTGGACTTCTTGCTAACACCGGACAACCCCAGAAAAAGCCAAGGGTGTGAGTGAAGAAAGTGGTGTCAACGGCAAGGAAATGGACGTGTTTGTTTTCTCCATTTCCTTGCCGAGAGAGAAGAGCCACAAAACCCCTTTTATGTGGGTCTCTCTCAGCATTCGACCGTCCGAATCGAACCTGTAAAGTTTCGGTCGATGGAATATCTAGTAGTAACTGTGGGGCGTTGGAATGTAATCCAAGTCGACAGACGCTCATTTATTATTAGTATTGGTTGTGCATGATCGGCAGGTGGTGGATAACCGCGTAATGAGTCTGATACTGGGACCCACTTAACCACTTGTCCGGTGTAATCATTTAAGGGACGCCAATACTCTCTTTCTCAACCACCAACATATCAATGCCTCCTGCAGACACAGTTAGGTTGTTGCCATTAGGACAATCTTCACAAAGATTTACCAGCAATTGAACATTCCAACTGGACACGGTAACCTGCCACAGTAGCGATCAACATTGCTCGACATAATGATCTACATACTAGTATGGTTCATTACATATAGGGTAAAGATCGTCGTGATCCTGATTTTGGCGTGTTTCAATATGGTACTTCTTCTCCGTACATGCTAATTTCCAATCAACGCTTGGTTTCAGGTTAAATGGTAATTAATGACTTCATACAAGCACCTTCCTCTTTAATATCCATGTAACCCCAAGCCCTTATCAGCACAGTAACACCCGCAATGCCGCAAATAAAGTGAAACCCAGCTATGTTTGGATATCACTGGCTAGATGTTGAGAAACCAGTGCTTGATCCTGTAATAATGTATAGAGTAGTCTTGTTCCAAAGTGAATCATGATTGAGTGCAACTTGATAGATATGGGCATGGATATTAAATTCAAGACCCGATTCGCTCACGTGTATTTATCTGATAGATTTTATGCAGGTCAAATAGCTTATGTTCAGAGCTCGTGTTAATGATTGTCAATCTTTTCCAAACCCATCACTATTCACCAGTCTTTCATTGTACATCGTGCCAGATTTACTCAATTACATATCCGTTTCTTGCCACACACACAACTGCAAAATGTGGAGAACCAGTTTTTGTACTCTGGCATGACTACTCAATTAATCCGTAACTCAAATGTCTCTGAAACGAATGGTTGTCGCCTGAAGTGGGCGTACCTATTTTATCCCCCTGCCCAGTGAAACCATTGATTCAGTGGTTTGGACATAATGGGATTGTGCCAGTAAGTGCACTTTATTCGTTGACCCTGGATCATTGTGGCGGTAAGAATGGAATTGTCTATTGAGCCCTTATCGGGCGCTAAAAAGACCCGCCGGGGCAGTACAGTATCAAGTGGAGAGAGGAGTGGAGGGCAGTGCTGGCTTACCCAATGATATATGCCAACCCGGTAAAATAACCGGTTTCACTAATTGCTGGAGCCCGCCCGCCCGGCTTCCCGCCCATTGCCGGTACTTTGGGCCTCGACTCGCAAACTTCGCCGTGATCGATCGTCCTTGATCGCGGACTACCCGGGACAGGAGAGAGAGACCGATTTCAACAATCATAAGTTGATGGACACACAGACAATTTATGCTTTGTTGTGCATGGTTGAGCGGTGTACGGAGTATATGATTGTCCGTTGCTGCACCCTACCCGTCACGTGTTTGTATCATGTATCGAGACGGAGTAAGCATTTCCTTACCAAATTACCAGGGGCCTGCAATGCTCAATCCTCTAGTTGGCGCGCCCCGCGTTAGCTCTCGGGAAGATCGGCCTCTTGCGGGTTTAGAACAGATGATCCGTCACTCAAGAGGACAGAGTGTACCCCGAACGGAGTACAGCTTGAAAGATCTAGGAAACTATAAGGTTGGAAGCAAGATTTCTGACACTCCAGCCGCCCGGCCCCGTCCCAAAACAGAACTAATCTCCGTATATGAGCACTATACTACCTACTATCTAACGAGTCCCACTTCTATTGAAAACCGGTCGGCGATAAAGCTTTTCAATTTGCCACTATTTACGATTCGTGTCAACTGACCGAAGTTTCCGAGCCTTTTGCTGCGGATGGTGTTTCGCCGGTGGATGGAGAAAAGGACACGAGTACAAGATGAGTATATGGAGAGAGTAATCTACTGTTTCATGACACCTATCTGTGAAGCCGCCGTGGTTGCTTCTTGGTTCAGTTCCCATATGCAGGCAAGGGGAATGATATCTTGACAGGGTGTCCACAGCCTGTTCTGGAAATGAAATCAATAGAGCACTGGGCAATGTGCTACCTTGGTTTGGCGATATGTTTCAACCAGCACTTGCCTTGGGCTGTCGATTCTCAATGTGTCGGTCTGAGAAAACAGACAGCCATGCCAGCCTGACTCTCTTAAAGGCATAATGCACATGGTGCTGTCACATACAATATCGGCAGCAGTCGCCATGGCTATAACCAGGATAGGACCGAGAATGTCTTCCAATCCAAAATTTCAGACGGTGGTAATGGTAGTCTGAAGTTGTCACTAAGCGCTGTCCGCTCACGGGGCCCCAGACTTCGGCATTCCGGTCTAAGGACTTTTTTTGGCTGTATCTTCATATTCAAGGTAGATTGAGACATCAATGATCCCACTAGTTATCTCACTACAAGAAGCAGAATGATATGTGGACAGGACCATATGATTGAGGATGCATCAAAGTCTGGACGGAGTGCCATGTCGAGTACCGTCATCAAAGCCTCGACTGACTGCCCCTTGACCAGGAGATGCGGTCTGCTGAAAGAGCTACCTCATGGGGAGTTATAAGGAGAGGGGCAACCGAAAAGTGGGGTGATACTGCCGCGATGGGTGACAAGACAGCGGTATGCAGCTTGCAAAATATCCTCTTACAGCTACGAGTCCCCCTGCTCTTCGGTCGACACTTCCGGGTTCGAGTACTTAGTCCACCAACATAGCCGTGCATGTGGAAAGAGCGATACATCTAATTGGACGTGAGTCGCGTTTGATTGAACCTCCTTACAACTATGCAACAGACCCCGCCTATCAACGCCATCAAACATACATGAAAACCTATTGCCATCACACGTCCACTCCCAGAGCCCAAGCCCTAGCACGCGACGTCAATCAGTTGCGTGGCCTGCAAACAGTAAGGCATACAACAGGCAAGACGGCGATTTGAAATTTGACGCTACAAAAACATTTTTGGTCCCTAAACCATTGCAACAAATGCAAGTTTTCGACAGCTAAATACAAAATGTGCACAAAAAATAAAAAATAAAAATAAAAATAAGCTAAACGGACACGTGATGAACAGTAAAGTGCTGAACATCTTGGTCGGTCGAACGGTCGAGCGGGACCGTATATTGCAACAACACGTGGGTCGGCCAGTTCATCCCGGCGTCAATCACGATCTCCTTTCCTTTGTCTCCCCCTTGAATCGGATTAGCCACGGTATAAACCATGCTATAAGCCACGGTAGGATGATCCTTGTCGGAAACCTTTCTCTCCCCGCTGTAATCACCAGGCCTTGTCGACCCATTCGGGATGTGAAACCGCTTGTCGATTCTCGAAAGGGTCAGGACGCAAAGTATCAAGATCTCGAGCACAAACGAGAAAACATAAAAAGACGCCTTGGAGTGGTACCAGGCAGGGTCGATCTTCGGACGGGGTGGACTCCAGCTCACGCCGACCTTGAATCCCGCGATGAGGACGCTTAGACACGACGAGACCGCCACGATGGCCACCTTTGGGAGCACCCCGCCTTGTCCAAACGACTCCGCCTGTCGCGACGGTGGTAGGATGACAGCCAGAAGGATATGCAGGAGCGGCAGACACGTGAAGACCAACAGGTATGTCATAGCCGCTAGCTGGACATCGCGCCACTGCCTCTGGGTGTCGGCATTAAGCGTATACGCGGACACCACCGTCGCGGTGATGGCCAAGCCCAGCGCGTCCGCGATCAGCGCATACTGCGTTATGGTCCCGATGCGCGTCACCGGATGCCACCCAACGCGAGGCTGCTGCGCGCGTAGTATGCGCTGCGCGAGGATCAGATTGATAATGTACACCAGGAGAACGCCCGCGTTGACGAGAATATTCGCTGCGATGGAGAGCCGCACGTTGTGTGGACGGGTGGCCAAGGCGATGCGCAACACGAGCGTTATGGTCCGTGCCATGCAAAAACCGAAAAGAAGCCCAGAGAGTATGAATTTATGGCGTCGACGGCGGTTGATCTGGAAGATGGTCATGTTTGTCGCGGCGAACCCGACGTAGAATGCGATCAGGACTGCGCAGATGGGGATGTCGGTGGTCACGCTGGGCATGCCCCCCATGTTTGCTGTTTGGGGGACATAGGGACCGCCTGAACGGGTCTGTAGCAGTATCGAATTGAACATGATGGGCTGTCTCTGTGATTTTCTTAGGGTTAGATTCAGTAGCTGTATGCGCGTGCCGCCCTTTCAGTCTATAGTACGTACTTAATCCTCGATGGTGGTTTTGCCACACTTTTTGCTCCTTTGTCTGGACCCGGGGGATCGGAGAGGCGAACAGCGGTTTCACCAAGGTCATGGTATAAACTATGGAATTATCTTGCTGGAAAATAGTTTGTAGAGGGACATTCTAAGAACAATGACATGTTCTCGTAGTTCGGACTAGTAATCCTACCGCGGACGAGATTTTGGTCCGGTTCCGTCCACCCTTCAACCCCGCAAAACTGACGTGGGCTCTCGGCCTCGGTCAGATTTCGTCCCAACATGTCCGAACAGCAACATAGTTCGTCCGATATGTCGAGTCTTCAGAACAATGCTGCCCTGCGGAAAGGAACAAACAGCTGCACAGAGTGTGAGTTCTCCGTATTCGTCACCGAAGATCTTACTCATTCAAGACAGGCAGACGTCGGAAAGTGCGTTGCGTCCGGCCTTCCGAGGGTTCAGCCTCGTGTCGACAGTGCGAAGAGCGCGGCTCGGCGTGTATGGCACAGACATCGGTCCACCGAACGTCACGCACACCACGACTACCATCGAGATACCGGATCTCCCAGCTAGAGTCGCAGGTCTCTCAGCTCACGAAAATCGTTCACAATCTGGAATCCAAGATTGGAGGCAAGCCGACTCATATCAACACACCGGGGAATGACAAGAGCGACGATGTTCAGGATGAATCCGATGCGGAGAGCAGTGTATCAGAGGTTCTCGTGGCGGATCAACCATCGCACCTGCGATCGCTGTTCCAAAACGAGTGGCTTAGTGTTGACACCCGCCGCGATGAGGCCCAACTCCAGGAGCGAAGAAAAAAGGACATTGACCTAATGGAAATCGCACGACCACGACTGCAAAGCTTGATTCCCTCCCGTGAGGAGGTTTCCGAGATTACGAGCTTCGCCTACGACTGGCTTACCATATTCCAAGCGATCCTGCCGCAGCCGTTCACGGTCGAGTCGCGGCAGGAAGTTCTCGATCGCTATGAAGAAATGTGCAAACCCGAAGTGGATGTCATTGACCTGGCTTTGTGGCTTTTGACTATTGCTATATCTGTTCAGCAGATTCCGCAGGGACCGATGAGCCCTGAGGTCCAGTTTCAAATGTACCGTAGTCACATCGAACTGTGTCGGCGGGTTATAGACACGGTGGAGGACACGCTGCTCTGCCATGATCGGTTGCTGGGGACTGTCAAGGGGTTGGGGATGGTGGTTCATATTCTTCGTCTGTAGGTCTTGCGTTTCTATCCTCTCAAACATTCCGTCCACCATGTCTAAAGCATCACAAAGCTAATTAAAGCAGCCGAATCGGACAAGGAAGTTTCCAAAAAGGCTGGATACGGCTCCGTCATGCGATCGCACTGGCCGAGCTCATGGGCCTCCCTAAACTGTACAAAGCAGTGAGATTGAACAAGCTTGGTGAGGTAGTTGATTCTATGTCGCAACATGCAGCACAGCTGTGGGAATTGATCTGCAATGTGGATAGACTGTTCGGGATGATCTTGAACCTACCCCCAGCTACCCGACGCTACCAGCTCACAGTCACAGACCCACTGGTCACGGATGGTACTGTCAACACTCGAGTATATCTGTGCAAATTGCTAGACATCGCCGCGCGAGTCTACGACATGGAAGATAGTGTAGCCCACGGGTCTGGCGGGAACCTGCATTTGGAGCTAGCCGGAGAACTCAGCGCGCTCGCATCCAAGACACCACGGTCCTGGTGGGTGCGCAGGCCCGGTGTAAACGCCCGACCTGAAGATTTCCTCCAATTCATGCACCACTCCATCGCGATGAGGATCCACCTACCACTCGCTCTACAACAAGACTCAGGCGCAGGACACATGTACAATCGACTAGCCTGTATAGACGCCTGCGATTCCATCGTCAAGAATTACGAATATTTCATCCAAACTCTGCCACCCGGGTTCTTCGTATCGAAAATGCTAGACCTGCACGCCTTCATCGCGGCGGTTGTTCTTCTGCTCACGTCTCACAACTCCCCGGCAGACAGAAACAGCTTTCGCATCGATAGCAGCCGGCTTCATGATGTCGCGATGGGAGTCGCTGACCTTATGGGTGAACGCTCCCAGATGAAGCCTGGCTCGGACTTGGCGCGCGAGGGTCACAACACGCTTTGCGCTTTGAATCGCCTCCTTCAGCAGGATTATGGCACTGCCCGGGATCAGGACTTGACGCTCAAGGTTCCGCTACTGGGGAAAGTTCATATTCGCCGCAATGCGCGTCAGTCTAGTTCAAATGACCAACTACCGCCTCAGACGACTATGACGCCTGGAATAGAGACGGATACCACGCGTAGTACAGAGCACATGCTTACGCCCACTTCGTATCAAGCTCCGCTGGACTACAACCCAGATACAAGCATGCTCAATACGGATATCTCGTCTGACCAGAGACAGTGGAACGGACTGTCGTGGTCGATTGAGGAAAGCTATGAGAACTTCTTCGATAACTCGGCGATGGGGCAAGATCTGGGCGAGTCGCCGCTGTGGTTGGATATAGCGAATCCTACTTTGTTTCCTGCTTGAGGGTATGATTCTAGGTGTGGTATTGCTAGTGATTGCTGTCATTGAATATCATCTTCGGTATGGGCGGTTCATACATAGGTTATCGTCACTATGTCTCAGTGGAAACCCTTCACAGTAGGACTAGGATGGGATTTATGCTACTAGACTTGTTGGATTTCGTGGTGGACTAGAATCTATCTACAAAATATTAAAAGTAAGTTTGGTGGATAGCTAAATCTGGGTAGTCATTTGAAGGGCGCACAGTAGTTTAGGGTATTAGTAGAAAGATCAGTACATTGTTCTCAAGATATCGGATACAAAGTCTAGCTTACCCCACCTCAATCATAAGCCCCTCATATTCCTAGATCGACGGGAGTAGCCGACCATATGGAGGAACTCCGAGTCACAACACATATTTCCAGTCTCCATCGACAGTGACCTACATCAGCATTCACCCGTACACCTTTCTACACCTCCAATCCATCAATTGTCCCCCCATCCTACCATCAAAATGGCATCCCCCGCATCCAACGACTTCCGCAGCGACACCTTCACAACCCCCACGCCCTCCATGCTCTCCGCAATGGTAAACGCCACCTTCGGCGACGACGTCTACCAAGAAGACCCCACAACCGGCGCCTTCGAGACCGAAATCGCCCGCCTCACCGGCAAAGAAGCCGCGCTGTTCACCCTCTCCGGCACAATGGGCAACCAGATCGGCGTGCGGCTGCACCTCAGCACACCCCCGCACTCCATCCTCTGCGACTACCGCGCGCACGTCTACGCCGAAGAAGGCGCCGGCCTCGCAATCCTCTCCCAGGCGATGGTCACGCCCGTGCACCCCGCCAACGGGATCTACATGACGGCGGAAGACGTGAAGAGGTGGGCTGTGCTGGGGGACGATATCCACGTTGCGCCGACAAGGGTGGTCAGTTTGGAGCTGACGATTGGGGGCGTGGTGACGCCGTTGGAGGAGATAAGGGCGATATCGGAGTTTGCGCGCGCGAACGACATCGCTGTGCATTGTGATGGGGCGAGGTTGTGGAATGCGGTTGCTGCGTCGGGCCATTCGCTTGAGGAGTATTGTCGGTATTTTGATAGCGTGTCGATGTGTGTGTCGAAGGGGCTGGGCGCGCCTGTGGGAGGCGTGCTTGCTGCTTCGGAGAGGCATATTCGCCGCGCGAGGTGGCTGAGGAAGCAGCAGGGTGGGGGCATTCGGCAGGCGGGCGTGTTGACTGCTGCTGCTATGGTTGCGTTGAAGGAGGTGTGGCCGACTATGAATGATACGCATGCGAAGACGAGGAGGTTGGCGGGGGATTTGGGTGAGATGGGCGTCGTGCCGCAGATTCCGGTCGATACTAACTTTTTCTTCATTGATGCGAGGCGGTCGGGGATTGATATGGGGGTTTTGTTGGAGGAGTGTGGGAAGAGGAATGTGAAGTTGATGGATGAGAGGATTGCGATGCATCATCAGATTAGTGATGAGGCGATTGAGAATCTCAAGGCTGCGATTGCGGAGGCTGTGAGGATTACCAAGACTCTGCCTGCCGATTATGTGCCTAAGATCCAGCCGGCTGGGTATGGGAGCACTTCGAAGATGAATGAGTATAGTTGAGATGGGCATTAACATAGGTGGTTGCTCATGTTAAGTAACTGTCTGGGATTCATGTAGCATGTGTCGACCTTATACTTCAAGCCTCTACAGTCTGCTACAGTCCAAGATAAACCATCAGGTTAACCGTTGGCCAGCAAGTTCCCACTCAACCCTGCTGATGCCCCCATTGCCCATCAACCACAATGTCTTCAACTCAGGCCCAGTCCAAGCAAAGTTCTGCACGGTATAATTGGTCTGGATCGTCAAAAGCAGCTGACCAGACGGATCGAGCACATCGACCCCCATCCCAGCCCCAGTGAGGATATACCCATTCTGAGCCACCTTCAGCCCGTCGGGCACGAAGCCGGGAGACAGATAGAGGGGGCGTTTGTTGGAAGCTTTTGTTCCATCTTCACTGACGTCGAAGGCGTAGATCGTCCTATACGGTTGATAACGGTACGGTTAGATCTCTATGCTTGCCTATGTTTAGTGGGTCTGAACACTTGCCTTCGGTGAGTGGTGTTGTATTTCCCTCCAGGGTGGCCGTATTTCGGATCGACCGGTGCGCTCACCGCAGCCGTATCGCTGATATACAGGGTCAAGCCATCGGGGGTGAACGCAATGCCATTAGGTTGCCCGATGCTGTCGTCGACCACGATGACCGCACCTGAGGGCGCGTTGAATCTGTAGCTAGCACTTGGAAGTTGAGGGGGGGTGTCGGTGAGGTCATTGAACCATGAGTATTCTTGTCAATCCAGTATATTATCAGCTTCAGTGCAAGTATGATGTAGGCCCATCAGAAGACTCACGCGGATCAGTAAACCAGATGTCCCCAGTCTTCGGGTGAACCGCCACGTCATCAATCGTGTTGAAATAATATCCGAAGTAATTATTAACAAGCATGGCAGTCTTCCCCGTCTCCGGATCCAACGTCCTCAGCGACACCCGCTGCTCGGTGCCGCCAATCGACCGGTTTCCACCCGACGCGCCCCACACGATCTTCCCGTCGTGGAATGTCCCGCCGTTGGGCGCATACACAGGCGGGTCGGAGAGGAATTCCGACAAAGTAGGCGGATCTTCGTTCAAGTCTACCACGAGCTGGGGCAGATAGCCCGTGGGCGGCGCAAGCTGCGACAGGTACAATTTGTTCTGGGACTCGACGTAGACCGGTGCTTCGTGGACGGCTTCGTTGACGCGGAAGACGAACTCGTAGCTGGGTTTGGGGCCCAGTATATCGAGTCCTCGTTCGCGATCGTAGACAAGGAAATCGGCTGCCTTGATGCTGTCTAGGCGCGTCCCGTTGGCTACGGTCGTGTCGCCGAATGTTGTCACTGCTTCCATCGTGGATACATTCCGGTAAAAGTGATCACTGCAGTATAGTTAAGAAGCGTCTACCATTGATTGCAGACATACTTACGGGAGAATATTCCCATACTTATTGACGCATACTACCGAAGGGCCGCATTTTTCGGCAATCGGGCCGGTGGCTCCTGTTTGGGCGGCGGCCAGCCCTATAAGAAGGCTTCCTTTCACCACAGAAGCGAAATCCATTGCGATTTGATCTGATTCTTGGGAAATCGTGTTATTCTTTACTTCAACCAACGCTGGCGCTCTGGTGTTTGATCGGCTGTTGAATAACGTGAAGGCATTAAATTGATAGTGTCCGAGGTATACGGAGTTCCTCCGACGATGACATCGACACGCGGGGACTTGACCCGCCTACCTTCCTCCGATTATTTTCCGGTTTGTTGATAGTGCCTCGAGTTTCAACTTGAAGACGACCTCGTTTAGTAGGCCAAATCGCGTGGAACGGGGATATCGGGTCGGAAACCCTGAAACAGCCAAACACTCACATGGCGGAGAAGGATACGGACCTGATGCTCATTCTAGTATATGGAAAAGCTTCAATAGTCGAGGTAACTATAGGCCATATAATTAAGAAGCTTTGAAGGAATACAGGTAAGACCAGCACTACAAGTGCAAATTACTGAAGAAGTTGGCCAGGTTTGAAATTACTGAGTAGTTTTGTGACTGTGTTTGACTGCTACGCGCTTGAGTAATTGCAGGTTCCGGCTATCCCTTGGGCATTCCCAGTTTAGCCCCTTGCATTGTTACTTGTATAGTCTAATATTGCTAGGGGTAATGCTTAGCAGTTTAACATGATATATCATATCACGGCTTTATGCTGAGAAATGGAGAAGCCTGTAGGAACTATCATGCGCTGCCTTTGTGCTTTCCATTTCTCCGGAAGGGTTGAGTTTATGTTCTATTATAAAACAGATATCTTTGGTCATACGTGCTTCATGATTAGTATGACAGTGATTTGGTTCACCATATATATCCGAAAGACGCTCAAATGGGGACCAAAGTATTGCCTGGTGCGGTTTAAACAGGAGTATTTTAGGTTTCTCGCAAGAGTAAGAATCCACTGGCCATTAGGGGAATTGTCAAACAGATGGCTACATTAATATTCAGTTTAGGATGGTGTGGCAGGTCTTTTTTCGTCTTTGATCATCAATAAATACCACCGACCATTCTCTCTCGCTCAATTGCTGTTGAGTACTATTTGATCCCCTCTATCAACTCAACTTATACTATTATCAACATGGACTCTGTAGTTTGCGCGTAGACCCATGGAATCAGTAGGAACGAAAGAAAACGGCCTTACTCAGTGTCGAGTCATCAGCAGCACTTAGACAAGGTATACGGTATATTCAAGCGCACGCTACAATCGACACGAAAAACCTCCCCACCCCAAGCGAACAGCAATCGCCACTCTCAGCTCGCTTCGTCGTCCCCTCCGTACGATCGGCCTTTACATCAAACCCGAACCCATCCGCAATCCCTGTGCTCTGTCAGGTACAGTGGACACCTCAGTGGATGTCCGCTTAATCTCCCCCAACCAATGGATTATTCAAGCGTACCCAGGTAGTATTCTAGAATCCAAAACACCTCAGACTCCGTGGAGACCAGAGTCGTAACCGCGACGAAATAATTCCATTAGATCCAACCCAGCAGACAAGTTAAGACCCACAGCGGTTGCTATTTCCGCGGGCGAATGTCAACACCATAAGAATCTATCCTTCATAGTGGGGAGCTCGGTTTTTCAATACAAATAATAAGCCACTGATTGGAGGAGATTATCAAAACCATCAAAATCTATCCTTCGAGGTGGAGTACTCGGTTCAATTAGCCACTGAGTTGGAACTTGGAGGAGATCCACTTTTTGACTGGCATGGCGATTGCCAGGGGATGCGTTGAACAGTGCTTGCTGCCAGTGGGGCGGGTTCTCTCCGTAGTGGCGATTATCGTGGATCCGTGTGAGTGGAGCCTTGAAGATATTTTTTAAAAAGTGGAGTGTCTATACAAAGTAAAAACCCTAATTCTTTAAAGGTGGATTTGAGTGCATTGAATGTGTAGGTAATGGATTGAAAGGAATCCTATCTATATGCTAATCAAAAAAACCGTCAAAAGATAATTATGAACATAAAAATGTATCACGTGTCCGAGTTTTGAAGCAAGCTGCCTGGCCCTGTCCTAACCCATGTATGCCGTAAGGTATTGTGAAATCGTAAAGAGAAAATAGGATCGTAAGAAGAACTGGAAAAGAAGTAAAAGATGTGAAGAAAGAGTGAAAGAAAAGATTATTAAATCGCAACGACTGGGTCGCCCATTCTGTCCTGAGGTCCAATCCCCTTTCTTCGGACGGCGATGAGGGCGATGATGAGCCCTAGACCTGCCAGTCCAGCAGAGCACCAGAGTCCGGTTGTGTATTGCTGGGAGAGATCATGATGCTTTTTGATGTCCACTTCTGTGGTGACGGCCGCTGAGATGGCCAGGGCGAACCCGGAGCCGATCTGGAATGCGGTGTTGAGCTGTTTGGTGTTAGCATGTTTCTATCCAACACAGCTATTGAAGAACGGGGGAATTGACTTACCATTCCACCGCATAAACTCTTGATATGTACCGGAACACTCGTCAGGATCACAGTGCTGGTGGTGACAAATATAAGGGAAACGGAGGAAATGCTGATCAGGGAGGTGGGGAGGACGTTGACCCAGCTAGGGTAGTTAGCATCATTTCATGATAGGATATAGCGGGTGCGATGCATACAAACTCGTTTCAGGACTCGTAGTCAAGGCGCTAGGGATAGGGGCCACCACGGCGAGGGCCATACCGGCCAGGAGGAGGTATTTTCCGTTCATGTACTCGAGGGCCTTCCCGGTCCCCATCGAGACGATGAATCCGATCACGCCCATGGGTAGGAAACGGAGCGCGGTGTCCCCCGAGCTCAGCTTGTCCACTTCCTGCGCCGTGAGGACAATGTAATAGATGACGTTTTGGTAGGTGCCATATCCAGCTGGTCTCGTTAGAGATGCTCATCAATAGGGGAGGGCAGAGCATGAGACATACTGAAGCCCGCAATCCAAAGCCCCGCAAAGTTGCGAAGCTTCCACAGGGACAGTGGCATGATGGGGTTGCTAATGTACTTCTCGAGCACGACGAAGCCAACAAGTAACAAGACTGTTACCACCAGTAGAGCGATGATGAATGGCTGGTTCCAGCCGTAAACACCACCACCAGACAGCACAAACTGCAGCAGGACGAGTCCGGCGGTAGAAAGCATAGCCCCCCAGTAATCCATCTTCACCTTCTTCCTCTCGGACTGGATATCCTTGGGCAAGGCGATCATGCCCAGGATGCCCAGGGAGCCGGTGATAATGACAATGAAGTAGAAGATGTATCGCCAGCCCAGCGAGGAAGTCAGGAAGCCGCCAAAGATAAGACCTGCGCAAAATCCAAGAGTACCGGAGGCTGCGTAGATCGACAGACCTCTCGTGCGATCGGTGCCAGTAAAGTATGAGCTGATGATGCCAATTGCGGACGGGACTGTCATTGCGGCGCCGATTCCTTGAAACCCGCGGAAGATCGTAAGCTGGATAAACGACTGTCCAAAACCGATGGCTAATGTCCAGATAGATAACCAGCAAAGACCAATACAGAGGATCATTTTTCTCCCATAACTGTCTGGATTAGATAAGTCTTTCCAAGGCACTGGTGGGAAATGCTCACCGGTCAGATAGTACACCTGCTAATAACAGAAAACCACCAAAGGCCAACGTGTATGCCGAAATCATCCATTGAAGGTTGCTACTGTTCACATTAAACTCTTTCTGGATCGGCGACAGGGCAATATTGGCGCTCGTCATGAATACATTATCAAGAAATTGGGACCCTGAGGTCACCAGCAGGATCATGGCACCTCGCCACGAGGCTAGACGGCCAAACTCCGGCCGTTTCTCTAACCCAATAGTCTCCTGGCTGCCAAAATTGGAAGCCAGCTCGGGCTTGGGTGTACCTGGAGGGGAAGTTTGCTCAGAGCTCGTTCCGGACCCAGGGATGGAGACAATTGTAGGCTCGGGGACTTTGGGAATATGTTCGGCATTCTCGACTTCGTTACTAGGTGTCTGGCGGGTGTGTAGCCGTTTAATCCAATTCATAATCGCCATATCGGATATGGTTTATGAGAAATGAAAAGCTTGTCTACTCCAACCACGGGCAATGACTGGCACTTCTTATAGCATGTGCACCATCAATCAATGATTGATTTGTTTTTTAATTCTTTTTCTTTTTTTCTCGCCTTTTTTTCAGTCGCCAGAGTAAAAAGTGGGTATTGTCCCTTCGGGAGGTATCTATCCTAGGCGTGGTGGAGAGATTCCACAAATCTGATTTTTAATCCACGTCTAGCTTGCAGGGAAACAGGGATCGGCCAGATGGAGAATGCCAGCCACTATCGCAAGTGATCCAACCTAAGCTAAACTGCGTATGATTTTCCTGGTTCACCTGGACCCCCAGCTGCAACACGATGATCTTCGATGTCTGAGGTCCCTTTGTTGATCAGTCGTTCGATTTCCCTTCTTTTACTGCTCGCTCCCAATCTATTAATAAACTAATGATCTACTTGACCATAGCAAGCCATCAAGTTTTGTAAAATTAGGAGGAAAATTTATTATATCACACGTGCGCTCAAAGTCTGTACCTTGGAGTTCACTTTCTACTTCAACGTCAAGATGATACCCTAAATTATGTACTATCTTAACACACGTCAGATGGGCATATTCTAAGTAACAACGCTCGCTAGACCTACCACGGCATGAGCAGATACTATGTCCATTCTGTTAGATAGGAGGATTGGTCGCTGTAGAATTACGCCAGCCGCCGCGCATGAACATTCCGCACCCATTCTGACTTGTATCTACTTTAATTTTATTCCGTAGGGAAACCAGCTTAATCCCATCCCTTTTGTGACATCAGAATAAGGGTTATCTGTACTACTCAATCCCTTCCTTCTCCCTACAGGACCGGGCCCGAGCCAACTCGCATAACTTAACATTCTGGGCCAGCTCATTCGACGAAGCATGCCTTATCAGTTGGTCACATCACCAGTAATGCCCACTGATGATGAATCTGCACAACCATAAATTACCCAAACATGCATACTCGTTGACGCAATCCAATCGGGGAATTTGAGTACCATGCAGTAGCTTGATATGGGCCTTATCATATTGCCTCTCGATCTTCGTCAACCCCAACACCGACACCACAGCCCCCGAAAATCATGCATTAGCGGTTATATAGCCATGTATGGTGAGCAGCACCTACACCCCTCGCCACTTGATCCCGTCAACAATAGAGCACTGATGGATCTTCGAAGTAGTGTGGTAGTAAAAAAGTAAAAGCCTTCCGCGCTAAGATAAGAAGCGCGGGAGACCCACACCCGAGTGGAAACCCCGAAACCAACGGTACGAACTAGACTGAATAGTTCTCAGCGAAAGAAAATAGCATGGTCAAAGCCCAGTACACGGTTCCTTGTAGCTATGAACCATTGGTTCTCAGGAACAGTTTCTGGCATGAAGCTCACGATGG